CTGTGAAATCAATTAGCGGTTGTGGAAACCCTTATCTCACTACATTTCTTGCATGGAAAAATAACAAAGGAATATTTTCTTGACCTCGGAGGCTGGCCATCAAGAAGATAATCACTTGGCAGACTTTTTAATCACATTACAATGGGAGGTAAAATGACCATCAGAAAGTCCTCTTCCTCCCAACCCATTTTCTTTCAAGCCTTCTCATTCAAGACATTCACCAAAGTCCCCCTTTGTGCCCCAATCCAACCGCAAGAGGAATACTCGGATTAAGTGATCAATGCTTATCTCCGACCCATCACGACACAATAGATTGCCTTTTCTTGAAGGCCGGTTTGGAGTCGTTAGCCCCCCTGGACATTTCCTGTAACTTCATAATCCATTCAAGAATGCATTGTTTTCCTTCATCCCACCTCCCTCCCTTCTGATTCGCTGGAGCACCGAGGCGGCAGGAGTCTTCTGATTGGCTCTGGTGCACCGCGGAAGCCCTGTGTTGGGCGGGGAGCGGGAGTTTTGAACCACATAACGCTGTATTTTCTATAAAAATGGCATTTATTTCTGTACATGCATGCTTAGCTTAGCGAATGATTGCCGCTTTGCATCCTTTTCAGCTGAATCGCTAATAAATCATCTCGGTGGCACTTTCTTCAACTTTGGTGAGATTCTTTTTGGGAACTTAGGGAAAATAAATTGCTTAAAATTAGGCTTCTCTATGCGTATATATGCATAGATGTGTGTATGTGTGTGTGTTTGTGTATATATATATGTGTGTGGTTTTGCACATGCATTGTAATGTATTTTTGGGGGGTTGCTTTTTAAGTCCCTTCTGTTGTGTTTTTCAGTGTTTTTATGAGTAACTAGCTGTACCCGCCATGCGTTGCTGTGGCCAACCTTCCCTCTTTCTCTCCTACTTTCTTTCTTTCCTTCCTTCCTTCCTTCCTTCCTTCCTTCCTTCCTTCCTTCCTTCCTTCCCATCTTTCCTTCTCCTCTTCCTTCTCTATCTCTTTCCTTCCTTCCCCCCTTTTCTTTCTCTTCTGTCTCTTTTCTTCCTTCTCTCTTTCCTTCTTTCCTTCCCTCCCTCTTTCTCTACATCTTCCCCCTTCCTTCACTCCCTCTTTCCTTCCTTCATTCCCTTTTTTCTTTCCTTCTTCCTTCCTCCCCACTTTTTCTTTCCCTCCCTCTTTCTCTCATTTCTTCCTTCTCTACCTCTTTCCTTCCTTCCCCCTTTTTCTTTCTCTTCTGCTGTCTCTCTTATCTTTCCTTCCATCTTTCCTTTTCTTTCCTTTTCTTCTTCCTTCTTTCTCTTACTTTCCTTCCTTCCCCCTTTTTCTTTACCTCCCTTTCTCTTTCTTCCTTCTTTCCTTCCTTCCCGTCTTTCCTTCTCTTCTTCCTTCTCTATCTCTTTCCTTCCTCCCCCTTTTTCTTTCTCTTCTGCTGTCTCTTTTTTTCCTTCCTTCTCTCTTTCCTTCTTTCCTTCCCTCCCTTTCTCTACGGGAAGGGGTGGGGCGGGGTTTGGAGGGGGCGGGGTTTGGAGGGGAAGAAGAAGGAGGGGGAGGAGGGATGGATTTGGACAAGGCGGGAAGGGACGGGGCGGGGTTTGGAGGGGAAGAAGAAGGATGGGGAGGTGGTAAGATTGGCGAACATGAACATGTGGGGTGGGGTGGGGGAGGGAGGGGGCGTGGTGTGGCGTGGTCATGTGGGGCGGGGCGGGGGAGGATGGGGCGTGGCTTGCACGGAAGGTCATGTGCGTGTGCCAGGGATTTGCGGCGGGGTGTCATTGCGCATGCTCAGTTGTTTTGTCTAATTGTGAGTGTGTTGTTATGATGTATAGTATTTTGAATCGATTTGTGCATACCTTGTGGGTTGAGGTATGTGCATGGGAATTTTGTTAAATTTTCGTTCGGGGTTTTTTTTGAGTTTTGCTGTCCCGTTCGACGCCCCTTACAGATTTATATATATAGATGGTCACTTGTTGTCCTGATAGGTGTCTTTGTAATTGTATGAAATTATTGGTTTTATTATGCATTGTTATTATGTATTGTTATGTACTCGCGTAGGGATTGAATCATGCTGGCTGGAAGCTGCCCTGAGGGCCCCCCCCTCCCCCGGGGGTTGAGAAGGGCGGGGTATAAATATTTGAAATAAATGAAATGAATAATAAACCATTATAATTATCATTGTTATTATTTCTTACAAGCTCCAAGGATCAAATGAACTGGAGAGGCCAGAAAAGAACATTTTCTGTTCCTGGTTTGAAAGGGTTCTATTTCCTGTTTAATTGCGCTTCTGCTCCAGATATGTCCTTGTTGTGATTGACACAAACTAGGCTGCCATTGGTTGAGATCCAATGAGAAAGTATTGCCAAAGCATGCAATCCCTCCTTCCCTTCCACAGAAACCAAGCTTTGGCAGTTTCATAAACTTTCCCATGTTTTTATGGCAAGACCAATTAGGAAATAATGACATCTATAATCCAGGGACAAAAATCATAGTTTTGTTGTGTTTTTTTTGTTGTGTCAGGAGCGACTTGAGAAACTGCAAGTCGCTTCTGGTGTGAGAGAATTGGCTGTCTGCAAGGACGTTGGCCAGGGGACAATGCCCGGATGATTTGATGTTTTACCATCCTTGTGGGAGGCTTCTCTCATGTCCTCGCATGAGGAGCTGGAGCTGACAGAGGGAGCTCATCCGCCTCTCCCCGGATTCGAACCTACAACGTCGGTCTTCAGTCCTGCCGGCACAGGGCTTTAACCCACTGCGCCACCGGGGGCTCCTAAAAATCATAGCGATACATAGTGCAATCTATATAAATAAAAATGTCATGTTCGTTTGTGGGATTCACAGAACTCAAAAACCATTGGACAAATGGACACCAAATTTGGTCACAAGACACCTACCAATCCAAAGAGTGACCATCACTCAAAAAATTGATTTTGTCACTTGGGAGGTGTAGTTGCTGGGATTTATAGTTCACCCAAAATCAAAGAGCATTCTGAATTCCACTAATGATGGAATTGAACCAAACGTGGCACACAGGACTCCCATGATCAACAGAAAATACTGGAAGGGTTTGGTGGGCATTGACCTTGAGTTTGGGAGTTGTAGTTCACCTACATCCAGAGAGCACTGTGGACTCAAACAATGATGGATCTGGACCAAACTTGGCATGAATATTCCATATGCCCAAATATAAACACAGATGGAGTTTTGGGGAAATAGACCTTGACATTTGGGATTTGTGGTTACTGGGATTTATAGTTCACCTACAATCAAAGGGCATTCTAAACTCCACCAATTATGGAATTGAACCAAACTTGGCACACAGGACTCCCATGATCAACAGAAAATACTGGAAGGGTTTGGGGGGCATTGACCTTGAGTTTAGGAGTTGTAGTTCACCTACATCCAGAGAGCACTGTGGACTCAAACAATGATGGATCTGGACCAAACTTGGCATGAAACCTCAGTCTGCCCAAATGTGAACACTGATGGAGTTTGGGGAAAATAGAGCCTGGCATTTGGGAGTTGTAGTTTTTGGGATTTATAGTTCACCTCAACCAAAGAACATCCTGAACTCCACCAACAATAGAATTGGGCCAAACTTCCCATACAGAACCCCTATGCATGACGAACAGAAAATACTTAAGGCCATCCCGTCCAACTCCCTTGTTCACCAGGGCAAGAACACGCAACCAAAGCCCTCCTGACAAAGAGCCATCCAGCCAGAGATATAGAGAGATAGATATGACTCACACACAGAGATATAGTATCCTAGATCTGAAAGGGACTCCTAAAGAAGGACTATGATATGTTGCATATTCCAGAGTAGGCAAACCAGACACTCTCCACATCAACACTGACAAAGACACAGCAAGAAATACTGTTTACCCCCAAGCAGAAAGGAATTACATAAATTAGAAACCAACCCTGTCTCATTACCAACAGCACAACAACAGAGAGGAAACCAACAAGGACCTCTAATCACCTCTCAACAAAAGATTACTCCAGGCACTGCCAGGCCATTGTATGCTAATCAAGGTGGTCAGTTGAAACATTCCCACTTAGCTCCAGCAGACAAGAGTCCTTTGTCCCACCCTGGTCATTCCACAGATATATAAACCCATTTTCCTACTTCCAACAGACCTCACTACCTCTGAGGATGCTTGCCATAGATGCAGGCGAAACGTCAGGAGAGAATGCCTCTAGAACATGGCCATATAGCCCGGAAAAACCTACAACAACCCAGTGATTCCGGCCATGAAAGCCTTTGACAATACATTAAACAAGGACATCTAATCACCTCTCAACAAAAGTTTGCTCCAGGCACTGCCAGGCCATTATATGCTAATCAAGGTGGTCAGTTGAAACATTCCCACCTAGCTCCAGCAGACAAGAGTCCTTTGTCCCACCCTGGTCATCATTCCACAGATATAGAAACCCCTTTTCCCAGTTCCAACAGACCTCACTCCCTCTGAGGATGCTTGCCATAGATGCAGGCGAAACGTCAGGAGAGAATGCCTCTAGTCTAGACCATGGCTATGTAGCCCGAAAAAAACCTACAACAACCCACTTTGTGATGATTACTTTATTTTCCATATCCCCAGAAACGCCTGGCAGGGGATGGCTAGTACATCATAATAATAATACAATTGTGCTACAATAACAGAGTAGAATGGGCTCGAGCAGGAAGTCCCTCCATCCTGAAGAAAGAAACTTTGTGTCCTTGAGGAAGAGACTTTCCTCCTGTGTTGGTGAGGCGATGACGGCATTGCAAACCTAGGGACAAAACCCAGGGTTTGCAAAACCCGCATCCTGACGTGGGAAAGAGACACGCGTGGCTCCAAACGCCCCCCCCCCCGCCCGCCCGGCTGTGTGCTGGCAGCAAGGGAGGGGGCGGGGCTTCTCCGGGGAGACTCCCGGTGGGCGGGGCTTCATTCCGCGAGGCCCCTCCCACCTGGGCGCCTCTGACGTCACCGCGGAGGAAGGTGGGGGGGCCTGGGAGGCATCTCTGCTGCTGCTGCGTCTGCGTCTGCGCCTGCGTCTGCGCCCCTCGGCCTCTGCGGGTAGGATTCCGGCCCCCGGGGGAGGGGGGGGAGTTTGGGGGGGGGAGGCCGAAGTGAGTGTGTCTCGGGGGGGGGGGGGTCCTTCCTTCGCTCCCTTCCCCCTCCTGCAACAACACCCCCCCTCCCAGAGGGAAGGGAGCGAAGGAAGGACCCCCCCCCCAGAGACACACTCACTTCGGCCTCTCTCTAGAGTGCAGCCCCCCCCCCTCTTGGGGCCCACTGGCAACTTCCAAAGGAGGGGGTTGTGGGTATTCCCCCCCCCCCAACTCCAGAGACTGTTTTGGGAGGGGTGTTCTTTCAGCCCCCCCCCCTCGTTACCCCTCCCTTTGCCCGTGGTTCCCATATGGGGGGTGCCCCCCTCCCACATAACCCCCACCCCTTGTTGGACAGGCAGGGAGGCCTCCTGGGGGGGGGGGCAATCCCCGCGGGACTTCATGCCTTTTGGGAGGGGGGTTGTTTTGGGGAAGGAGGAAGGGAAGGAGGGGGGAGGAAGAAGAGTGAGAAGAAGGAAGGAAGGAAGGAAGGAAGGAGAATGGGAAGAAGGAAGAAAAAGAAAAAAGGAAGGGACAAGGGAAGGAAGGAAGGAGGAAAAGAAAGGAAGAAGGAAAGAAGGATGAGAGGCAGAGAAAAGGGAGGAAGAAGAACGGGAAGAAGAAAGGAAGAGAAAGAAAGAAGTGGAGAGAGAAAGAAAGAAAGAAGAATGGGAGGAAGAAAGGAAGAAAAGTAAATCAGAATGTAAGGAAGGAAGAATGGGAAGAAGAAAAGATGGAAGGGAAGTAGGAGGGAAGAGAGGAAAGAAGACAAGTAGGAATTGGATGAAGGAAGAAAAAGAAATAAAAAAGGAAGGAAGGAGAAGGGGAGGGAGGAAGGAAGGAAGAAAAGAGAGGAAGAAGAAAAGAAGGACGAGAAGCAGAGAAAAGGGAGGGAGGAAGAAGAAGGGGAAGAAGAAAGGAAGAGAAAGAAAAGAATGGGAAGAAGGAAGGAAGAGGAAGAAGAAAAGATGGAAGGGAAGTGGGAGGGAGGAAAGTGAGGAAAGAAGACAGGCAGGAAGAAGGAAGGAAGAGAAAGCAATAAAGAAGAATGGGAGGAGGGAAGAGGAAGAAAAAGAAATAAAAAGGAAGGAAGGAGAATAAAGCAGAATGGGAGGAAGAAAGTAGGAAGAATAAAGCAGAATGGAAGGAAGGAAGAAGAATGGGAAGAAGGAAGGAAGAAAAGGAAGAAGAAAAGATGGAAGTGGGAGGGAGGGAAGTGAGGAAAGAAGGCAGGCAGGAAGAAGGAAGGAAGAGAAAGAAATAAAAAAGAATGGGAGGAAGGAAGAAGGATGGGAAGAAGGAAGGAAGAGGAAGAAGAAAAGATGGAAGGGAAGTGGGAGGGAAGAGAGGAAAGAAGACAAGTAGGAATTGGATGAAGGAAGAAAAAGAAATAAAAAAGGAAGGAAGGAGAAGGGGAGGAAGTAAGGAGGAAAAGAAAGGAAGAAGGAAAGAAGGATGAGAGGCAGGGAAAGGGGAGGGAGGAAGAAGGAGGGGAAGAATGGGAGGTAGAAAGGAAGAAAAATAAAGCAGAATGGAGGGAAGGAAGAAGAATGGGAAGAAGGAAGGAAGAGGAAGAAGAAAAGATGGAAGGGAAGTGGGAGGGAAGAGAGGAAAGAAGACAAGTAGGAATTGGATGAAGGAAGAAAAAGAAATAAAAAGGAAGGAAGGAGAAGGGGAGGAAGTAAGGAGGAAAAGAAAGGAAGAAGGAAAGAAGGATGAGAGGCAGGGAAAGGGGAGGGAGGAAGAAGGAGGGGAAGAATGGGAGGTAGAAAGGAAGAAAAATAAAGCAGAATGGAGGGAAGGAAGAAGAATGGGAAGAAGGAAGGAAGAAGAAAAGATGGAAGGGAAGTGGGAGGAAGGGAGGGATGTGAGGAAAGAAGGCAGGCAGGAAGGAAAAATAATGGGAAGAAAGGGAGGAAGAAGAATGGGAGGGAGGGAGGAAGAAAAAAGAACTGAAGAAATGAAAGGGGAGGGAGGAAGAAGCATGAGAAGAAGGAAGGAAGAGAGGGAGGGAAGGGAGGAAGGAAGGCAGGCAGGCAGGAAAGAAGAAGAATGGGAAGAAAGAAGCAAGGGAGGAAGAAGAATGGGGAGGGATGAAGGAAGGAGAAGGAAGAAAGGCAGGCAGGAAGGAGGAAGAATGGGAAGAAAGAGAAGAAGGAAGGAAGGAAGGAAGAAAAAAGCAATGAATGAAAGGGGAAGGAGGAAAGAAGAGAGGGAGGGAGGGAAGAAAAATGGGAAGAAAGAAAGGAAGAAAGAAGAATGGGAAGAAGAAGGAAGGAAGGAAGGAAGGGTGATGGGTGATGGGAGGGAGGGCCGGTCCCTGCAGCCCGTAGGCCCTCCATCTGGCAGTGGGGGTGCCAGGGAGCCCCCACCCCGCTGTGGGCCTGTTTTTAACCCCACGGTGATATTTAATTGGCTTTCAAAACGTGTTCTGCAGACCCTGAAACTTGAGGGAAGTGTGGGATGCTGGAGTCCCTTTGAGGAGACCAGCAACATAAATAAAGGGAAGAGCAGTCATAATCCAAGTCCCACGCCAACCACGCCACACTTGGACCCTTGGCTCTAGTCTGAACTTTGGGGGAGCTCCCCAGGGGCTGGGCCTACGCAGGAGACCCAGCGGACCCTTTGTAGGGAGGAGGAGGAGGAGGAGGAGGGTGGTAGTTGGGCGGTCCTGCCTGGAGCCCCTTCCTCTCTTTCACATCCAGCCTCTTCCCTCCTTTCAGGGCCTGCTCTGTCCATGGGGGGGGGGGGGGGGGTGAGGTATAAATAAATAAAGTAAACAACAACAACAAAAGTTGGTTGTTCCTGTCCGAGTCCTAGTCACTTGGGAAGTGTCTGACGTGTGAGCCAATACAACAGCCAGCAGAGTGTTTGCTGTGGACTCATCTTGTTGTGTTAATAATAATAATCATCATAATAATCATAATAATAATAATACATCACACAGTCCTAGACACTTGGGAAGTGTCTGACGTGTGATCCAACACAACAGCCAGCAGAGTGTCTGCTGTGGACTCATCCTGTTGTGATTCAAATAATAATAATAATAATAACAATAATAACAGTCCTAGACACTTGGGAAGTGCCTGACATGTGATCCAATACAACAAGTAGCATAGTTGTCTTGTTTGCTGTGTGTTAATCTTGTTGTTTTTCAGATAGTTGGGTGTTGCTGTGGGAAGCCCCTTCCTCTCTGACTTCCGGCGTGTTTCCTCCTTGCAGGGCTTCTCCCCCTCGGTCCCCTCCATGTGCCGGTGAGGAGCGGGTGCCAGGATGTCCTCCTCCTCCGCGTCCTCGTCGTCCTCGTCCTGCTCCCCGGCAGAGGGCCAGATCGCTGGGCTGTACGACCTGGAGGGCACGCTGGGCAAGGGCCACTTTGCGGTGGTGCGCCTGGCCCGGCACGTCTTCACGGGGGAGCGGGTGGCGGTGAAGGTGATCGACAAGGGCAAGCTGCGGGGGGGCGGGGCGGTGGCGCAGCTGCTGCAGGAGGTGCGCTGCATGAAGCTGGTGCAGCACCCCAACGTGGTGCGCCTGTACGAGGTCATCGACACGCAGGCCAAGCTGTACCTCATCCTGGAGCTGGGCAGCGGCGGGGACATGTTCGACCACCTCCTGCGCCACGAGGGCGGCCTGGGCGAGGAGCGCGCCAAGCACTACTTCGCCCAGATCGTCCACGCCATCGCCTACTGCCACCGCCTCCACGTGGTGCACCGCGACCTCAAGCCCGAGAACGTGGTCTTCTTCCAGGAGCAGAGCGTGGTCAAGCTCACCGACTTCGGATTCAGCAACTGCTTCCAGCCGGGCAGCATGCTGGCCACGTCCTGCGGCTCCCTGGCCTACTCCGCCCCCGAGATCCTGCTGGGCGACGAGTACGAGGCCCCCGCCGTCGGTAAGGCGTGCCAGCTCCGGCTGCTAGGAATTGTGGGAGTTGAAGTCCAAAACACCCAGAGGGAGGGCCGTAGCTTGCCCAGGCATGGATGTGGGGGGAATGGATGGGGAAGTGGCCGGTGGTCAGCCAGTGGGGACGTGGGTCAAGAGAGGCCTTAGGGCAGCAGGGCCAAAGGAGCATTTCCCGGTGCCACATGTCCACAAGCCACAAGGAGAGGCAGCAGGTCATACTTACATACATTGTGGTTGTTGTTGTTGTTGTTTTGTCGAAGGCTTTCATGGCCAGAATCGCTGGAGTGTTGTTGTGTGGTTTCCAGGCTGTGTAGTGAATGTGTTCTATCAGCATTTTCTCCGGGTTGTTGTAGGTTTTTTTGGGCTATATGGCCATGTTCTAGAGGCATTTTCTCCTGCATGTATGGCAAGCATCCTCAGATGTTGTGAGGTCTGTTGGAAGTAGGAAAAAGGGTTTATATATCTGTGGAATGACCAGGGTGGGACAAAGGACTCTTGTCTGCTGGAGCTAGGTGTGAATGTTTCAACTGACCACCTTGATTAGCCTGGCAGTGCCTGGAGCAATCTTTTGTTGAGAGGTGATTAGATGTCCCTGCCTGCTTCCTCTCTGTTGTTGTGCATTTTCTCCGCTTGACATTTTGCCGGCATCTGTGGCTCCGGGCATCTTCGGAGGACCTGGTGGTAGCCAAGCAAGGGGTGTGTGTGTGTGTGTACATATATACATACCTGTGTAATCATGTCCAGGTGGGAGAAAGAACCATTGTCTGTTCAATGAGTGTAAACAGTGCAGTTAGCAAGCTTGATTTGCATGCGTTGAGTGGGATCCAACTTGCTGTCCCACCATCAGGTCCTCTGAGGATGATGCCAAGTACAGATGCAGGCCGAACATCAGGAGGAGAAGAAAATGGGTTGTTGTAGGTTTTTTCGGGCTGTATGGCCATGTTCTAGAGGCATTCTCTCCTGACGTTTCGCCTGCATCTATGGCAAGCATCCCCAGAGGTTGTGAGGTCTGTTGGAACTAGGAAAATGGGTTTATATATCTGTGGAATGACCAGGGTGGGACAAAGGACTCTTGTCTGCTGGAGCTAGGTGTGAATGTTTCAACTGACCACCTTGATTAGCATATAATGGCCTGGCAGTGCCTGGAGCAAACTTTTGTTGAGAGGTGATTAGATGTCCTTGTTTAATGTATTGTCGAAGGCTTTCGTGGCCGGAATCACTGGGTTGTTGTAGGTTTTTTCGGGCTATATGGCCATGTTCTAGAGGCATTCTCTCCTGACGTTTCGCCTGCATCTATGGCAAGCATCCTCAGAGGTAGTGAGGTCTGTTGGAACTAGGAAAAAGGGTTTATATATCTGTGGAATGACCAGGGTGGGACAAAGGACTCTTGTCTGCTGGAGCTAGGTGTGAATGTTTCAACTGACCACCTTGATTACCATTTGATTGCCTGGCAGTGCCTGGAGCAATCTTTTGTTGGGAGATGATTAGATGTCCTTGCTGAATGCTGAATCCATTGGCCATACAGCCTGGAAAGAACACAACACCCCATTGTTGTTGATGTTGTGGTTTTGGTTATGGCAGCTGACCAGAGCTTGATGGACATCCCCAGGTCTCTCCCCCAAAATCTGAGGTGTGCCTTAGGGGAGGGTCTCATGCCACGCGGCGCAGGCCCTTCTGGGCTAGGGAGGCTGACCAGCCCTCAAGAGGGGAGGGGAGGGACAAAACGGGGGGGGGGGGAAGGATTTGTTTTCTTTATAAATTTAAATACCTTTCCTCTTTTAATTGGTGAACTCAGACCTTTTACATTCCAAGAAATGACCTTAATGGGGTTTTTTTCTGGTTTGACTTATCCATCGTACTCTGCTGTGATAGCTGTAGTTGTATTATCTTCCTTTCTCCCTCAAAATCCTGTTTATAGAAAGCAGTAAATCCGAAAGGACGCCAGGAAGGGAGATGCAGGGGTCCCTATTTAGATCCCGCTCCTCAGCCAGGTCTAAGAACATGCACCCCCTCCTCCATTTTGGGGGGGGGCTGCTTCTGCATTAGGCTCAGCCTGGGTGGTTCCTGGGGAGGGCAGGATGTGGCAGAGCCAGGGCAGGAAGTGCGTGCGGCTGCTTCCTCTGCCTTTTCCTGTTCTCTGGTTCAAGAGCGAAGGCTGATCGAGCTGCAGAAATGGGCCAGCCACATCCGCACTTTCCAAAAGGCTTAGCAGCATTTGGGGGGGGGGGGCAGAGGGGGCTCCTTCCCTTTGAGGCTGCAATCTCTGCAAGCCCCCCTCCCCCTAAAAGAAAGCAGTCCAGAGCGGCTGCAAGGGGTCCTTTGCTCTTGTGAGAGACTTGCGGGGAGGGCCACACGGATGTGTCCAGCCAGGATTTTGATTTGGGGGGGGGTCTGAGTCTCAGTCTGAGTGAGAGAGGGTCTACCCTAGCAAACCTTTTGTATTGTTACCCCAATCCCCCCATGCATGGTGATCAGATCATGATATGAATAAACATAACAGGTTAAATAATGCACCAGTAAGGCCTTTTCGCGAACCACCATGAGAATTTCGGGGGGGGGGGCTGAAGCCCAAGCCCCCCCCCCCCCCAGCTACATGCCTGTGTCCAGCGTCTCCATCAAGCAGGAGCCTAAGGGGAGGGGGCTCTGTGGGAATGGCCACATCTCTGTCTCCCCACCTGGGGTTCCCTTCCTGTGGGGCTGAAGGTGGGGCTCCCCACTGATGTTGCCTGAGTTATTATTATGATTATGATGTGTATGTATGCCCCCCTTTTCTCTCTGCAAAGAGACGCCAAGATCCTTCAAGGGTCAGAGGCCGGGGCCGGGGCGCACCTTGCAGGCTGGCAGGGCATTGCTCCCCTTCTTGGCCCCTCTTCCACGTCCTGGTTTCATCTCTGTCGGGTGCATTTTAATATGTATTTTACAGAAAGACATTTTATTATGTATCTTGTATAGAATTTTGGCCGTGCTTGTGTGTTCTAATTATGTTGCAACCCTGCTTTGAGAAGAGGTGGGTCAGAAATACAACAACAACAACAACTATTATTATTATTATTATTATTATTATTATTATTATTATTATTATTATTCCAGGCTTCCCGTGAATGAGGGCAATCTGATGGATCTGCAGAGTGCCTCGAGACCCCCCCCCCATTCCCACGCCCCCCCCCTTTTCCTGCCTTGGAGCGCTCTCTGTTTCCAAATGCAAAGCACAAGACCTTGTTTGTCTGCCTGGCTGCGTTTGTGCCTTGTTTACCGAGGCCTGCCCCCCCCCCCCCGCCTTTGCAGCCATGCCGCCCTTTTGAGGAGGGGGCAGCTCTTGGCTGTAGCTGAAGTTACCCATGGAAGGAGGAAAGATGCCACAGCTGTGCCCTCCCCCTCTTCCATAACACATCCCCCCCTCCGCATCAGGGCGGCCATTCAGAGCCTTCGCTCTCCCTCTTTGCAGCTCTGCTTCCTCCCTCCCTCCAGCAGCAGCTCCTGATGCCAAGAGGATATTTAGAGCTCCCCCCCCCCCATGAGCTGGAGGGGGGAAAGGGGAGGAGTCAGCACAAGACCACCCCCCCCCCCGCCTTCTTTCCTCCCTTGTGACCCAAGATAACCTCTTTCTCTGCCCGGCCAGAGGTTACAAGGAGGCAAAGGTCCCGCGGGAGGGACTCCATCCACAACCAAAGGAAGGACCGAGTCTCTCTCTTGCAGACAGAAAGCGGAATCATAATAAAAATAATAATAATGTCACTAAATAATAATGATAATAATAATAATATCACTAAATAATAATAATAATATCAGTAATGTCTTGTCAAAGGATTTCATGGCCGGAATCACTGGGTTGTTGTAGGTTTTTTCGGGCTCTATGGCCATGGTCTAGAGGCATTCTCTCCTGACGTTTCGCCTGCATCTATGGCAAGCATCCTCGGAGGTTGTGAGGTCTGTTGGAACTAGGAAAAAGGGTTTATATATCTGTGGAATGACCAGGGTGGGACAAAGAACTCTTGTCTGCTGGAGCTAGGTGTGAATGTTTCAACTGACCACCTTGATTAGCATTTGATGGCCTGGCAGTGCTTTGATTATGTTTTCTTGCCCTTGTGAAGGGAGTTGACCTTAAGGCAGCATTTCTCAACCTGGGAAGTCAAGACCCGGGGTGGGGGGGTCACCAGGGGGGTGTCAGAAGGGTCACCAAAGACCACCAGAAAACACAGTATTTTCTGTTGGTCATGGGGGTTCTGTGTGGGAAGTTTGGCCCAATTCCATTGGTGGGGTTCAGAATGCTCTTTGATTGCAGGTGAACTATAAATCCCAGTAACTACAACTCCCAAATGTCAAGGTCTATTTCCCCCAAACTCCATCTGTGTTCATATTTGGGCATATTGAGTATTTGTGCCAAGTTTGGTCCAGATCCATCATTGCTTGTATCCACAGTGCTCTCTGGATGGAGGTGAACTACAACTCCCAAATGTCAAGGTCTATTTCCCCCAAACTCCATCTGTGTTCACGTTTGGTCATATTTAGTATTCATGCCAAGTTTGGTCCAGATCCATCATTGCTTGTATCCACAGTGCTCTCTGGATGGAGGTGAACTACAACTCCCAAATGTCAAGGTCTATTTTCCCCAAACTCCACCAGTGTTCACATTTGGGCATATTGAGTATTCCTGCCAAGTTTGGTCCGGATCCACCATTGTTTGAGTCCACAGTGCTCTCAGGATGTAGATGAACTACAACTCCCAAACTCAAGGTCAATGCCCACCAACCTTTCTAGTGTTCGTTTGGTCATATTTAGTATTCATGCCAAGTTTGGTCCAGATCCATCATTGCTTGTATCCACAGTGCTCTCTGGATGGAGGTGAACTACAACTCCCAAATGTCAAGGTCTATTTTCCCCAAACTACATCTGTGTTCACGTTTGGTCATATTTAGTATTCGTGCCACGTTTGGTCCAGATCCATCATTGCTTGTATCCACAGTGCTCTCTGGATGGAGGTGAACTACAACTCCCAAATGTCAAGGTCTATTTCCCCCAAACTCCATCTGTGTTCACGTTTGGTCATATTTAGTATTCGTGCCACGTTTGGTCCAGATCCATCATTGCTTGTATCCACAGTGCTCTCTGGATGGAGGTGAACTACAACTCCCAAATGTCAAGGTCTATTTCCCCCAAACTCCATCTGTGTTCACGTTTGGTCATATTTAGTATTCGTGCCACGTTTGGTCCAGATCCATCATTGTTTGTGTCCACAGTGCTCTCTGGATGGAGGTGAACTACAACTCCAAACTCAAGGTCAATGCCCACCAAACCAGTGTATTTTCTGCTGGTCATGGGAGTTCTCTTTGCCAAGTTTGGTTCAATTCCATCGTTGGTGGAGTTCAGAATGCTCTTTGATTATAGGTGAACTATAAATCCCAGCAACTACAACTCCCAAATGACAAAATCATAATTTTTTGAGTGATGGTCACTCCTTGTGTTGTGAGATTTTGTTGCCAAATTTGGTGTGATTTTGTTCACTGGTTCTTTTGTTTTTAAGCCACTCATTACGACATGAGCATTTTTATATATCTAGATTATCCCAGGGAAAAAAGGCTCCCAAAGCCCCCGGCCATTGGCCAGCCTGTGTCAACGCAAGCCCCGCTCCTCTCTTGCTGCCAGGCTTTGTGGGTGTGTGTGTGTGTGTGTGTGTGTGTGTGTGTCTGCTGGGTTACATCGGGAGTTGACCCCCTTCCCAGAAATGCCCCCTTGGCATCTTGGTTGTGGGCCCCTCCCGGTCCAGAAGAAAGACCCTGGAGGAACACTTGGGCCGGGAATTTGGGGAGGGGGAGGCTGTGAGACATAGTGTATATAGCGTAATTGGACTGGGCTGGACATCCCAGCTGGACATCGTGACTGGGCGAGACACGATCCCAGGGCGGTGAAGGGAACCCTGGGCATTGTGCGCGGAGCCTTCCTCTCGCCCCACTCGTTGAGCAGCTCAAGCCTGGCCAATGGAGCCTTTGCCTTGGCGTCCAGGCTTGACCTTCTCTGGGCACCTTGACCCCTCCCTCAGGCCCCCCTCCCTCCTTCTCTCCCTCCCTCCCCATTGACCCAGTGAGTGGACAGGCGGCCAGAAGAGCCTCCCCCCGTGACCTTTGACCCAACATACCACCGTCACATCCAGCACTTTTTAACCTGTACCCATCACTGGTTTTAATGTGTAACAGTGCAATGTTTTTGTCATTGCTTAGGTTTTAATTTTTGCACATCGAGTCCTTCGGGAGATACTAGCAGGGTACAAATAAAGTTAATAATAATAATAATAATAATAATAATAATAATAATAATATATAGCGTAATTGGACTGGGCTGGACATCCCAGCTGGACATCATGACTGGGCGAGACACAATCCCAGGGCAAAGAAAGGAACCCTGGGCATTGTGCGCGGGGACTTCCTCTCGCCCGCCCCACTCGTTGAGCAGCTCAAGCCTGTCCAGTGGAGCCTTTGCCTTGGCGTCCAGGCCTGACCTTCTCTGGGCACCTTGACCCCTCCCTCAGGCCCCCCTCCCTCCCTCCCTCCCTCCCCATTGACCTAGTGAGTGGACAGGCAGCCAGAGAAGCCTCCCCCCGTGACCTTTGACCCTCCCTTGTGCCTGGCCCCTCCCCTTCCTGCAGAGCTGACCCTTTCCACCTCCAAAGGAGACCCCAGGCTCTGGCCTGAGAGGACGGAAGAGCAGACCACCCCCCAATACACACACAGAGGTGTCGGGCGCTCTGGGCCATGGACGCTGAGGCATATACAGGAGAGGAAGCCCTGGCAAGGGGCCTGAGCCGATTATGGGATGGAGGGGGCCTCAGAGGGATTAGGGGCAGCTTATCCGCTCGGCCATCTGTGCCGGGCAGCCTCTCTCTGCAAAGGAAGGGCACACAAGGAGGGAGGGAAGGGGGGGCTGTGAACTTGTCAATCACCCGCTGCAATGGGGCAAGGGTCTAAAGCAGTGGTTCTCAACCTTCCTTACGTAGTGACCCCTTAATACAGTTTCTCATGTTGACGTGACCCCCGCCTCGATCATAAAATTATTTTCATTGCCACTTCATAATTGTAATTTCACTACTGTTAAGAATCATGAGGAAGAACTTCCTGATTGTGAGAGCCGTTCAGCAGTGGAACTCTCTGCCGTGGAGAGAGTGTGGTGGAGGCTCCTTCTTTGGAAGCTTTGAAACAGAGGCTGGATGGCCATCTGTCAGGGGTGCTTTGAATGCAATATTCCTGCTTCTTGGCAGAATGGGGTTGGACTGGATGATGGCCCAGGAGGTCTCTTTCAACTCTAGGATTCTATAATGTAAATATCCAATACGCAGGTTGTATTTTCATTCACTGGACTAAAATTGAGCTTGGAAGTTGTAGTTCACCTACATCCAGAGAGCACTGTGGACTCAAACAACGAAGGATCTGGACCAAACTTGGAATGAATACTCAATAGGTCCAAATGTGAATACTGGTGGGGTTGGGAAGGGGGATTGATTTTGTCATTTGGGAGTTGTAGTTGCTGGGATTTATAGTTCACCTACAATCAAGGAGCATTCTGAACTGCACCAATGATGGGATTGAACCAAACTTACAGAACTCCCATGACCAACAAAAAATACTGGAAGAGTTTGGTGGGCATTGACCTTGAGTTTGGGAGTTGTAGCTCACTTACATCCAGAGAGCCCTATGGACTCAAACAACGAAGGATCTGGACCAAACTTGGAATGAATACTCAATAGGTCCAAATGTGAATACTGGTGGGGGTTGGGGAAAATAGATCTTGACATTTGGGAGTTGTAGTAGCTGGGATTTATAGTTCACCTACAATCAAAAAGCATTCTGAACTCCATCAACGATGGAATTGAACCAAACTTGGTACACAGAACCCCCATGACCGACAGAAAATACTGTGTTGTCTGATGGTCTTTGGTGACCCCTCTGACACCCCCTCATGACCCCTCCAGGGGTCCCGACCCCCAGGTTGAGAAACACTGGTCTAAAGACTCCTGGTTGCCCTTCTGTGGCCCTTCTATGAGTATTTGCATGGAAGTGTAGTGTTTATTCCACAGCCAGCAAATGCACCCCCTTATCTGGAAGCCACGCGATACAACTTCCACAGCACATTTTTAGAGGCTGCGACTCCCCTAAACAACCTTCAGTTGCAGCTCACATGCCTCTCTTTGCATGTCAGCATCCATGTAGTCGTGCCAATGTTGGTCCCAACAAGTCCCAAGAGAGGTCAGTCCTTCGTTGTGGATGGGAACCTTCATTCCTAATCTTAGACTTGCAAAGTTCAGCCACTCAGAAGGTGTTGTGTTCAGAAGGGCATTCATTGAAGATCTTTGTATTGGCCCGATTCCCCATCTGGGTGTGTGTTTGAGGCTCATGACGGGTGGGCAGGGGCGGCTCGTCCATTACGCGAAGTAAGCGGTCGCAGAACACTTTTTTTTTGCCAGGGGTGCAGAGGCGCCTCTGTAAATGCCCCTCGACCGCCACTTGAGGAGCTGCCCCCTCAGCTCACAACAGCCCTAGCAGTCCGGGGGGAGCCTCGGCTTTCTTGCCTCGCTGCCGGGCGATCCTCTTCCCAAAGGGGCCGGGCCCTTGAGCCTCGCCTAGCCCCTCTCGTTCCTGCTCCACCCGGCCACCGGGTGCGCGAGCAGAGCCGGCGCTCAATCGTTCTCCGCGTTCGATCCCTTCCCCATGACCGGCTCCCTTTCCCGATCCCCCGGCGCTCCACCCGCCTCCTCTCCTCTCCCCAATCCGCGGGTGGGCCAAGGGGCAGAGCCGCCGTGCATGGCCTGCTTCGGGTCTGGAGGCGTGTCTGAAGACCCCAGTGTGCGCACCAAAAGTCGCCTCTTCTCCTTTCTCTTCAGCCATTGCGACCGAGAGAGAGAGAGAGAGAGAGAGAGAGCCCCTCCGGCTGGAGGTATCTCCCACCTCCGCTCCCTCCTTTGTTTTTGCCTACCTTCAGGAAAGGTGGGCATCTCCACCTCTCTCTCTCTCTCTCTTGGTCCCAATGGCTGAGGAGAAAGTCAGGAGAAGAGGTGACTTTTGGTGCACACGCCGGGGTCTTCAGGCACGCCTCCGGACCCAAAGCGGGCCAGGCAAGGGAGCAAGTGCGGCAAGTGTAGTTCCTGGGATGTATAGTTCACCTACAATCAAAGAGCATTCTGAACTCCACCAATGATGGAATTGAACCAAATATGGCACACAGAACTCCCACGACAAACAGAAAATATATATCAATGATTGGTTGGGGGGGGGGGACGCCAAAATACTGTTTGCTTACCGTTGAAAATTACCTAGGGCCGCCTCTGGCTGAGGTCAAAGCCCCCCCCTTCACATATACAGTGAAAGTTTAGGTGGTCTTCTCTTGTCCCCAGATGGGGGGGGGGGAGCTGTCTTCGATGCCGGCCCCGGCTCACATACTCAGGAGGTGTGTCTGCCATAGATCGGCAACGGAGCCACAATCTTGGTCTCGGCAGGGCTGCCTCCCTGGCCCACTGAACCTGACCCCCCCCCCTTCATTTTTATCTTTCTTCTGCACAGATATCTGGAGCCTGGGGGTCATCCTCTTCATGCTAGTCTGTGGGCAGCCCCCCTTCCAAGAGGCCAACGACAGCGAGACCCTCACCATGATCCTGGACTGCCGCTATGTCATCCCCCCGAGCGTCTCCTCGTCCTGCGCAGAGTACGGCCCATTTATCTGGAGGGGGACCCCCTGGCCCCATTGAAAGGGTGGGGGGCTAATGCCGCTGTGTGGGTGGGGAGGCCTCCCAGCAAACTCCGAATGACTCTCCCTGCGCCTCCACTGCGGAGCGGGCTCGATCCCGGCCGAGCCCCCATAAGACAAGTGCAGGGCGGTGTCATCCACCCCCTCTAACGCCCCTTCCTTGTGAACCCCTTCTTTCCGCAGCCTGATCTCCCGCATGCTGAGGCGGGACCCCCGGAGCAGGGCCTCCCTGGAGGAGATTGAGGGCCACCCGTGGCTCCGGGGCGTGGACCCCTCCCCGGCCAGCCGCTCCCTCCTGCCCCTGACCTCCCACCGCAGGGTCTCCCAGGAGGAGCACGAGATCATCCTCCAGGCTATGATGTGCGGAAACATCGCTGAAGACCGGGAGACCATCCAGGAGTAAGTAGAGCCCCCCCTCTTCCCGGAAGTGGCTTGTGCCTCTGGGATGGACTGGGTGGGCACCGGGGGACCTGGGTTGGAGGGGAGCACTCTTCCCCCTTTGAACTACAAAGTCCTGCCCGGGGGGGGGGTGTTCCAGGGTGCATGCAGCCCCCCACCCCCCGTAGAACCCCTTCCTTATTGTGCCCCCTTCTTGTTCACACCCCCCCCCCCGGTTTGTGCCTCTGGGATGGACTGGGTGGTCACCAGGGGCCCTGCTTGGAGGGGCGCACTCTTCCCCCTTTGAACTACAAAGTCCTGCCCGGGGGGGGGGGTGTTCCAGGATGCATGCAGCCCCCCACCCCCCGTAGAACCCCTTCCTTATTGTGCACCCCTTAAGTAGAGCCCCCCCTCTTCCCGGAAGTGGCTTGTGCCTCTGGGATGGACTGGGTGGGCACCGGGGGACCTGGGTTGGAGGGGAGCACTCTTCCCCCTTTGAACTACAAAGTCCTGCCCGGGGGGGGGGGGTGTTCCGGGATGCATGCACCCCCCGCCAGAACCCCTTCTTTATTGTGCACCCCTTCTTGTTCCCCCCCCCCCCCCGGGAAGTGGCTTGTGCCTCCAGGTTGGACTGGGTGGTCACCAGGGGCCCTGGGTTGGAGGGGCGCATTCTTCCCCCTTTGAACTACAAAGCCCTGCAGCGGAGGGTGTTCTAGAATGTATGCAGCTCCACGCCCCTAGAACCCCTTCCTCATTGTGCCCCCTTCTTGTCCACCCCCCCCCCCCAGGGCCCTGGAGGCAGACCGCTACAACCACATAACGGCCACCTACTTCCTCCTGGCTGAGAGGATCCTGCGGGAGAAGCAAGAGAAGGAGAGCCGGACCTCCAACCCCCGTCTGGCGGAGGACGCCTTGACTCAGTCAGTGCAGAGCAGGTAGGGTAGGGGGTGGGCTTCATGTGTGACCCCCACACAGCCCAGGGATATAGGGCACTGCTTGCTGCCTCTGGGGCCTCACTCTCTACGGCCACTGCCACTCAACTGAGTCCCCGCTCTGTCTGTTTCTCAGTGAGGCCGGCCCCCCCGGGAAGCCCCCCCAGCGCCGCTTCTCGGCGGCAACGGCAGCAACGGGAGAAGGCCCCCCCTGCAGCTTCCGGGAGCAGCCCATCCGGGCCCTGATCCGGCCCTCGCTGGTGGAGACCCCCGTCACCAAGAGCACGCTGGCGCTGCAGCAGATCTCGGAGGAGGAGGATGACGAGCAGGAGGGGGGCGAGGAGGAGGAGGGGGAGGGGGCCGGGCTGCTGCTCCTCCGGCGCCGGACCTCCTCCCTCAACCAGGAGCAGATCAGCTGCTTCCAGAGCGCCAAGGCCGCCCTGCTCTTCGGGAGGAGCCCTGCCCCCCACGGCCGGCCGGCACCCGCCTTCCCACAGCCCCACGGCAGCGCTTGTGCAGACCCCCAGACACAGGCGAAAGAGGAGGAGGGGGAAGGAGCCGGGAGCAGCAGCAGCAAAGGGGGCCACACCACAGAAGGCCCCAAAAGCGACCCCGAAGCACCAGGAGGATGCAGAAGTGGCAGAGAAGACAGTGACGGGGGGCAGCACCAGGGCAAGGGTCGGCCCTTGTCGGTCAAGGAGGGAAAGGCCTGCGAGGCGGAGGGGGGAGGCAATCCCTCCCCGGCCCCCCAACCCCCGACCCCCCCTCAAGACGGAGGCGGGGCCCACGGGAGCAGCGAGGGGCCCTCCGCGGAGTCCGCCTCCTCCGCCAAAGGCAAGGGCGCCAACCTGAAGGAGCGGATCCTGCAGTTCCCGCTCTGCGAGAAGGCCCTGGCCTTCCGGATGCGCCCCTCCCCGAAGGAGAGCCTCCTGTCCTTGGGCCAGTTCAACTGCTGCCACGTCATCTAGGGCATGCATTCCCCCCTCCCTGCAAGCGTGGGAGCGGTCAGAGGTCACGGCTTCGGACCCCGCTGTCCCTCGACTCCAGCCCCGTGCCGCCACTGCAGAGCGGGCTCGATCCCGGACGAGCCCCCAAGAGAAGTGCAGGGCGGTGTCGTCCGTCTCCTCTCCTGCATGCTGGGCCCCCTTCTCCTCTTTCTCGTCCTCCTTCTCTTCTTGGGGGGTCTTTGTGTGCGTGGCCCCCTCCCCAAATAGGGGGGAATAGGAGTGGGTCAGCCAAAAGAAGTGGGGGGGGGCGGTAAACTTTAGACCCCCTCCAGGTGTTTTAGACAGCAACTCCCAGAATTGTGGAAGTTGCAGCCCAAAACATCTGGAGGGATGAAGTTTGCCCAGGTCTGTTCCAGCCCCACTGGATGGGGACCCCCCCCCCCCAATTATATGCTACGATGCCAAGAAGGGAGTGCTTGCAGCCCACGGTTTCTCTCCTTCCTTCCTTCCTTCCTTCCTTCCTTCCTTCCTTCCTTCCTTCCTTCCTTCGGCCCCAAAGAGCATGACTTCCCTTTGCAAAGCATCCCGACTACTAACGAGGAGGACAGGTGTTTTTTTAATATAGCAGTGACACTATTTTTAAAAGAAATGCCATATAGTCTATTTTAATGTAATGTAGAGAGATAGAGCCCTGACCCCCCCCCTCCCCTCCGCCCTTGGGAAGCAAATGCACTTTTGAGGAGTGAAGTAGCCATGATGGGTAAGCCCCCCCCCCAATTCCCTCCCCCAAATTGCCAGGAAAGCCTTTTCCCCCAATGGGAGGAGTTGGCTATTATTTGGGATGAGATGAATGGAGGAGAAGGAGAGAGAGAGAGAGCGAGAGAGAGAGAGAATGGGAGGGAATGAGAGAAAGGGAGTGAGAGGGAGGGAGGGGGGAGTCCCCAGGTGTGTTTCCCCCAGTGCCCCCCCCCCCCCCGCCCCATAAAAGTATGGCCTGCGCCAATACAACCCCCCCCCCCCTCCAGAGACTTTTCCGAGACATTAAGCTTCCAGTATATATTTATCCTTCTTTCTTGCTGGCAAGAAAACAAGGCGAGGCGAGAATTGTATTCCTGAGCTCTCTGGGTTCTGTACAAAGTGCACTGATCGGATCCAAGGCGAAGAAGCAGCAGCAGCAGCAGCAGCGGGTTTGTGTCCAATAAATAATTATAATATTATAATAATAAGAATTACAATCCGGGTGGTCCTGCTTCCTTTCTCAAGGGGTGCGGAGTGGTGGTGGTATGGTGGTCAATGTATTGTGACCGGCTGGCATCACTGCAGTGTTGTCGTGTGGTTTCTCTGCTGCATGGCCAGTGTCTTCTAATAGCATTTCCTCCTCTTTTCATTTCTCTGCTCCCGGTGGTGCCATGGGTTCAACACTTGTGCCGGTGGGACTGAAGACCAACAGGTTGCAAATTTGTATCTGGGGAGAGCACAGATGAGCTCCCTCTGTCAGCTCCCGCTCCCCTTGCAGACACATGAGAGAAGTGTTGCAACCCAGAGTAGTTTTCACCTTGCTCCAGACACCACCACACCAAAGATGTGGGTTTTGTAAAAAGGCAAAATCAAAACAAAGTATAAGAAATGCAAAAGTTCCATAGGCAGGACAAAGACTTAAATGCCAAGACAAAGTACCCAAGATCCAAAGGCAAAAACATGAAGCATAATCCTTTAGCAATGGTCAAACAAGAGTCCATGGAAAACAGTTGAAAACAAGGCCCAAATCCCAGACTCAGGAAGCCAGAAGCGTGCTGCTAAAAGCCAAAGTTAATCCACAGAAGTTTGCATGGGAAGAGCTACGTTGGACTGACAACCCCTGCTTGTCAGCTACAAGGCTAAATACCCTTTGCGAACATGAACGCATTGCGTTGACCTTTGGCACCCTTGGCTTCTCGCTTGCAAGCCAAGCGAGTGCTTCTCCGGAGCCTTAATTGCAGACAATCTTGCCTGCTCATTAATTCATTATCTTCAAGGCTATGTAACCCCTTATCTTGGTCCAGCTGGACCGGATCACTGTGGGGAGGAAAAGACGTCTCCACCTGGCCGTGTGGGAATTCACTCTCGTTATCAGTCTCACTAACATTCCTTTCCCCTGGGAACTAACTTGCTGGTTCTTCTTCAGCAGCCCCACCGTCAACCCTCTCTGAAGCATGTACAGAAATCTGTAACCCATCATCCTCATCATCATCATCCTGTAGGAACTCTGGCTCAGAAGGCCCAAAGACTCAGAGTCAAGCTGAGTCACAAGAAGAAGCCTCCCACAAGGATGGTAAAACACCAAAAACATCCAGGCAATGTCCCCTGGACAACGTCCTTACAGACGGCCAATTCTCTCACACCAGAAGCGACTTGCATTTCCTGGATCTGTGTCTGGCTTTTTCGGAGGCTCTGATGGTAGAGGAGCAAGGGGAGTATATCATGTACCTGTGGAATAATGTCCTGCGTCGAAGGAAATAACCGTTGTCTGTTGAACAAGTGTAAAGGGTGCAATTAGCAAGCTTGATTTGCAAGTGTTGAGTGGGATCCAGCCATTAGCAGGTGAGTAACTTAAAAGACTGCATAGCCAATTAGTGAGGGCACCTGCCTAGAAGTAGCCAGGTGGTCCTTTGGCTCTGGATTGGGGAGGGGGGACGGACCCCTCTTAATAATAATAATAATAATAATAATAATAATAATAATAATAATATAATACTTTATTTATACTCCGCCACCATCTCCCCAAGGGACTCGGAGCGGCTTACATGAGGCCAAGCCCAACAACACATCACAAAAGAAAAGCAATAACAACAAAACAAAGCAGCTTTCTGGCTTCAAGAGGACATGCTCGGTTCCGGCCAGAGGGGGAGCTCCCGCTTCACCGTCTATTTGTGACACCAAGTCCTTGGTAGAGTACTTCCTCATTCTTGCGCACGCTGCTAGAAGGTTTTATGGTGTCGTAAATTAGTTAACGTGAATTAAACCGCTGAGCTGGTGGACTTGCTTACTGAAAGGTCGTAGGTTCAAATCTGGGGAGCGGCGTGAGCTCCCGCTGTTAGACCCAGCTCCTGCTAACCTAGCCGCTTGAAAACATGCAAATGTAAGTAGATCAATAGGTACCGCTCCGGTGGGAAGGTAACAGCATTCCATGCAGTTATGCTGGCCACATGACCTTGGAGGTGTCTACAGACAACGTTGGCTCTTCAGCTTAGAAATGGAGATTAGCGCCAACCCCCAGAGTCGGACACGACTGGACTTAATGTCGGGAAGGGGGGGGAAACTTTACCTTTATTAAATTAGTTAAATTAGCCTTCCCGCATAAAGCAGTACCTAAATTTTCTACTTGACAGATGCAACTGTCTTTCAGGCTGCATAGGTCGACAGCAAGCAAGACTATTAATGGTTGGGAGCTCTCAAGCACAATAACAATAATACGAATAAAGAATACCTAGCTGCTTGGAGTCTCCTTGTGGAGAGAAAAAATGCAGAATAAATAATAATAAGAGGAATGGTGTGCACCCTAATTTTGGGAAGGTGATTTAGCCCCCCTGAAAGGTGAGCATTAGATTCGAATCAATAGGGTAGACCTTTGTAAAGATCTCATTTACTAACAAGGACTCCACTAAGCCTGCCCTCTTTTCGTGTGAGAAAAAGCAAACAAACTTGGAAATGCCCAAGAAAAACACCGGAAAGAAAGCCAGAGGAGGCATCTGGTTCTGGTTACGGGGAGGGGGCCGGTCCGAGGCAGGCGGTGGGGGGCGGGGCGGGGGGCGGTGTTCCCTGCAGATGTGGCCCTCCCCCTTCTCCCTGTCCCCTCCCTCCTCCTTCCATACAAAAGGGACCCAGCCACCGACCGGGGCAGGCAGTGGCGGCAATGGGGAGGCACTGGGGTCCTTCGGGGGCCGCCCCGCTCCTCCTGCTCGTGGGGGTCTCCTGCCTCCGCCCCACAGCCGCCTTCTGGCTCTTCAACGTCCTCTTCCCCCCCAACGCCACACCGGAGGCCAAGCTGGCCAACCACACACCGCCGGTCATCCTGGGTAAGGAGTGGGGCAGCAAGCAAGGGTTGGGGTTAGGGCCAAGGCCGGCCGGTGAAATACTGGTCAGTTCAGGCTGGTTAGAATTGCTGTTTGCTTTGCATAGGAATTCATAAGATCTGCGTTGTATGCATAAGAATCAACCCTCTAGGCATGGGCAAACTTCGGGCCTACAGATGTTTTGGACTCCAACTCCCATAATTCCTAACAGCTGAGAGACTCGGTTCTTGTGGGTTTTTTCGGGCTATGGCCATGTTCTAGAGGCATTTCTCCTGACGTTTCGCCTGCATCTATGGCAAGCATCCTCCGAGGTGAGGTCAGAGCTGAGAGACTGTAAGGAATTGTGAGAGTTGGTAGTTCAAAACACCTGGAAGGACTGAAGTTTGCACGCGGCACATGCCTCACTTGTATTGCAAGAAACCCAATATGTGTATTGCAATCTTTGTATTGCACTTGTATTGCAAGAAACCCAATACTGAAAACGAAGTCCAACATAAGCTTATCAGTCTTTCGATGGGAAGCGTGGGCCTGCTTTGAGCTGATGAGAATCAATTAGGATTGTTTCTGTTGTTTGCCTTCAAGACAAATAGACCCAGGGCAGCCCTCAGTCTAAGGTGTAGGGCAGGGGTCAACAGCCCCCGCGGGCCGCATCTAGCCCGCGGGCCGTACTTTGGGGAGTGTCGCTTGGTGCTCCTTCGAGGGTCTCCCCGATAAAGCAGGGTATCAATAAATATAGTCATAATAATAATCCTTCTCCCAGCCAAGGCCGGCCTTGATTTGCTTCCCAGAGTAGACGTGACCCCTGGTGACACCCTTAAAGTGTCCCTTCGCACCTGGGGAGGAGGGGGGGGTCCCCGTCCTGCTTGACGTCCTGCCAGACTTCTGGATGTTTCCTCCACAGCAACCTGTTTGCTTTGGCTCCGCAGAGCAGGACTCATCTGGCCAGCTTGGGGCAAAATGACTTTCCCAGTCATGTGCCCCCCCCCCCGGCCATACAACCGCAGTCAATTGGGGGGGGGGGGAGAGGAAGAGGAGGCATTCCTTCCTCTGTGGGGAAAAGTGGGTTCAGGAGTGGGGGGCCTTGCCCTTACTATCCCCCCCCACCCCTCTTCTCTGCAAAGGCTTTGGGTCTCACACTGTGGGGAGTCTCTTCTCATTCCCCCCCCCCCCCACACACACACACGCACCCCTCTTAACCTTCACCCCGTTTCGACCTGTCTGAGCTAAACTCCGTTCCCAGCCTTTTGTTCCGCAAAGTGCTCCTGGAACTGGACTTTGCTTTGTTTGCTGTTGAAAAACCACGTCTGTTTGCCCAAAAAAGCAAGCAGAGAGGGGAAGACCCCCCCCCCCCCGGCTGGCAGGGAGGGCATTGGCATCACGGCCAGGGGTCGCCCAGAATGGGTCTGGGAATTAACCCCCACCCCCATCCTTCTGCTTGTATGGCCGATTGCGCGCCAAATACGATGTCCAACCCCTGTTCTCTTTTCCTACTGCTTTGGTTCCAATGTGGAAATCAATACCAGGAAGATGAAGAGAATCCAGTGCTTCTCTCTTCCTCCAAAGTGGAAGTCTCAGGGAAACACTCTCCAAGGGGCACAACTTTGCAAACGATGGAATAAGGACCCACGGTGCAATTCTGGGCACTTCTGCTTATGAGCAACACCCACTGGAGGCAGCTAGATCAGGGTTTCTCAACCTGGGGGTCAGGACCCCTGGGGAGGGGGGGTCACAAGGGGGCATCAGAGGGGTCGGCAAAGACCATCAGAAAACACAATATTTTCTGTTGGTCATGGGATTTATGAGTGGGAAGTTTGGCCCAATTCTATCGTTAGTGGGGTTTAGAATGCTCTTTGATTGTATGTGAACTATAAATCCCAGTGTCTACAACTCCCAAATGGCAAGGTCTGTTTTCCCCAAATGCCACCAGTGTTCAGGTTTGGGCATATTGAGTATTTGGGCCAAGATTGGTCCAGATCTATCATTCTTCAGGTCCAGTAGGATCGACAACATCGACACCGAAATACAACACCGCCTGAGCTCTGCGAGCGCAGCGTTTTTCTGAATGAAGCAGAGAGTGTTTGAGGACAGGGACATCCGTCGGGAGACCAAGGTGCTTGTTTATAGAGCCATTCCCCTCCCAACCCTGCTCTAAGCCTGTGAGATGTGGACTGTCTACAGACACCACATGCAACTCCTGGAACAATCCCATCAGCGCTGCCTCCGGAAAATCCTGCAAATCTCTTGGGAAGACAGACGGACAAACATCAGTGTGCTGGACGAAGCAAAGACCACCAGCACTGAAGCGATGCTCCTCCGCCATCACCTCCGCTGGACCGGCCATGTTGTCTGCATGCCCGACCACCGTCTCCCAAAGCAGCTACTCTACTCCAAACTCAAGAACGGAAACGGAATGTTGGTGGGCAGAAAAAGAGATTGAAAGATGGGCTCAAAGCCAACCTTAAAAACTCTGGCATAGACACTGAGAACAGGGAAGCCCTGGCCCTTGAGCGCTCCAGCTGGAGGTCAGCTGTGACCAGCAGTGCTGCAGAATTTGAAGAGGCACAAATGGAGGGCGAAAGGAAGAAGCGTGCCAAGAGGAAGAAGGCGCGTCAAGCCAACCCCAACCGAGACCGCCTTCCGTCTGGAAACCAATGCCCACACTGCAGAAGAAGATGCAGAGCAAGAATAGGGCTCCACAGCCACATACGGACCCACAAGAACACTGGAAGACAATCCTCCTCGGAAAACGAGGGATCGCCTAAGTAAGTAAGTAAGTCTTCAGGTCCACAGTGCTCTCTGGATGTAGGTGAACTACAACTCCAAAACTCAAGGCCAATGCCCACCAAGCCCTTCTAGTGTTTTCTCTTGGTCATAGGGGTTCTGTGTGCCAAGTTTGGTTCAATTCCATTGTTGGTGGAGTTCAGAATGCTCTTTGATTGTAAGTGAACTATACATCCCAGCAACTACAACTCCCAAATGAGAAAATCAATCCCCCCAACCCCACCAAATTTGGGCATATTGGGTATTTTTGCCAAATTTGGTCCAGTGAAAATACAGCCTGCATGTCAGATATTTACATTACAATTCATAACAATAGCAAAATTATAGTTATGAAGGAGCAATGAAAGTAATGTTCTGGTTGGGGGTCACCACAACATGAGGAACTGTCTTAAAAGGTCGCGGCATGAGGAAGGTTGAGAAACCCTGAGCTAGCCTGTTTCCTCAACAAAGAGGAGTGGGTTCTAAAAAACAGCACTGATCCACCGGTGGTATTTCTGCATCGCTTTTTCACCATAATCGGTTCCAGAGTAGGCTTGTTATTAGTGTTGCGCATCCTGCACCAGGAGTGTTGCGCCTGATGTGCTCAAATGCATCCATAAAACGGTGCAAGGACGGCCCTCAAGAGGAGGAATGCACTTGCAGCCTGGCCAGAAAGGGTCAGACCGGCAGAGAGGCACGTGCAACGTCCTCACGCAGCCAGCGCTCTTGGGACCCCCAGGCCCCTCCTCCTTGCCCCCATTCCGCTGACCGTAAGGCCCTGGAATGCAGGGATCAATGGGAGACTGCTGCAGGGCAAAGGGCACGACCCCCTCTGACCCGGCCTCTCTCTTAGTTACCCTCAAGGACTCAGACGTACATGGGAGCAAAGGCGGTTTAGGACCCCCTCTCCCCCCCCCCCGCTTTGATGCCCCCCATCTCCCTCTGATTGCAGCAAAAGTGTTTTCCTTTGACCGCAGGGAAGGGAAGGGAAGGGAAGTGCTTTGGGATGGACAGGCCAGGAATACAGACAACAAACAAGGAGGAGGAGGAGGTGGCAGCCGGCCTGGCTTTCATCGGGTGCCAAGGAATGTCCGTCTCTCCAGGCAGGAAATGAGGGAGGAAGAACGGGGAGAATGACCTCGTTTGTGTGAATCACCACAACAGGATGCCCGGGGAAGGGGGCGGCACACACCATGGCTGGGAAGGCACCCTTAAACCAATCCCACACTCCAGAACTCAGTTGATAAGCTAACCAGTTCATTAAGGAATAAAAGTAGCTCCAGCAAAAAAATGGTCAATAAAAATACAATCCACGTAAAACAAGGCCCTTCAAGAAACCTGAAAGCAATCATCTGTCAGTCCAGGATGCAGGCAAGGTCTTCAAACTGAAGTCTTTAACAAAACACTCCAACCCAGAAAATCAAAAGTACACAGCAGGTGTAACATAAATCCAAAAATACAGGAGACCAGGAAACCACTTGATACTTGGATCATGAGTCCATGAATAAAGACATAGAAAAACCTACGACTTGAGTCCATGAATCCCATACACATGAGAAAACTTGAGAGAAGAACCTGAAGCATGTAACTTGAACCCAGGCGTTGACTCCTCTAAGGTGTAACCCAAATCAAGCCTCCTTTATACCTAAGGAACGATGGCACTTCCCTTGGGCCATTCTCATTAACAGGCGCTGAGAGCAGCGCCTCCCTTCAGCTGCTTGCCTTTGCTGACAAACTGCTCTTCTTCTACTAACTGCGGAGAAACAGGGGAGTCATACTACATTCCATCAGAGCCTGGCCTTGGTTCCCTTGAGAAATCTAACTCAGGCCTGCCAGCCTCTGAATCTGTCTCCAACTGCAAATCCATGGCTGGCCTCACATTCCCAGAATTCCCAGCCTCATTAGGTACAGAACCAGACTCCTGCAAGTCCTCGAATGATGGCACAATCTCCTCTGAAACCTCAGACATTGGTACAATCACAGGCTGAACCACAATGAGGGGAGGGGGGACTGGTCCGAGCGCCTGGCTTCCCCTCTTGACCCTCCCTTCCTCCTTTGACCCCCCCCCCCTTTCAGTCCCCGGGTGCCTGGGGAACCAGTTGGAGGCCAAGCTGGACAAGCCGGACGTGGTCAACTGGATGTGCTACCGCAAGACCGATGACTACTTCACCATCTGGCTGAACCTGAACATGTTCCTGCCTGTCGGGGTGGACTGCTGGATCGACAACACCAGGTACACACACACCCCAAGCCCCCCAGCCCTCAATTCCCACAGGCCACCCCTGCCCCCTCCCTGGCAAAGAGGCCTGAACCCAAGGAGACTGGATTTTGGTGCACCGGTGTGTCCCTTGCACACATCAATGCAAACTGACCACTGGAAAGGTTTGGCAGACATACACCAGAGCTGGAAGGGAAACACCTTTATAAGCAAACCTCAGGGTATCTCCATTGATACTTACATATCCTGTATTTAATCTTCTCTCATGCTCACAATTTTTTGGCTAAACCACCTTGCCAAAATCAGGGTGTGCATTAGATTCACATAACGCGGTCCTCTTAGGGCTGAGCCAAAGCCAAAGGGGAAGCTGCTTCGGGAGCTCCTCTTTGAGGGATGTCACCTGTAATTTAATTGCCATGGCTCAATGCTGTGGTTGTGAGCGTGGTCCAGCATTTCTGTCTTCTCAAATGATATGCCGTGTCCAGGCTGGTTCCTCAGGTGCTCTGCTATGGCTGACTTCTCTGGTTGAAGGAGTCTGCAGGGCCTTTCATGTTCCTTGATTCGTGGTTGGACAATGCGGCTTCTTTTGGTGGTCCCTTCTTGTCCACAGCTACATGGTATACAATGGTAGACTCCTGCAGAAGGGAGAGGGTCCCTCTTGTCCTTTGCTGAACTTAGCATTTCTTGGATTTTCTTGGTGGGTCTGTAGATAGTTTGCGTGTTGTGTTTCCTCATCAGCTTCCCTTTGCGCTCAGTGATTCCCTTGATGTATGGCAAGAACACTTTCCCTCTGGGTGGGTCTTCATTGTTATTCTCGTGGCTTCTTCTCGGTGGTCTTGCAGCTCTTCTGATGTCTGAGGGGGAGTCTCGCTTGGCCTGGAGAGCCCAGTTGAAGTGGTTCAGTCCATCTTGGAGTAGGTGGGCTTCCCAGATTCTTTTGGCACGGTCTGCCAAGGCTTTCATGGTGCTTCTTTTTTTACTTGGGTGATGGTTGGAATTTTTATGTAGATATTTATGTAGAACACAGAAATGCTGGACCACTCTCACAACCACCATGTCAGGCTACACAGAGAAGCCATTGAAATCCACAAGAAGCAGGTGGACAATTTCATCAGAAAGGAGGAAACCATGAAAATGAACAAAATCTGGCTACCAGGATTAAAAAAACTCTAAAATTACAACAGCACAACAACAGAGAGTAAACAATCAGGCACATCTAATCACTCTCAACAAAAGATTCACCCCAGGCACTTCCAAGCCATTAAATGCTAATCAAGGTGGTCAGTTGAAACATCCACACCTAGCTCCAGCAGACAAGATTCCTTTGTCCCACCCTGGTCCTTATTCCACAGATATATAAACCCATTTTCCTAGTTCCAACAGACCTCACTACCTCTGAGAATGCTTTCCATAGATGCAGGCGAAACGTCAGGAGAAAATGCCTCTAGAACATGGCCATAGAGCCTGGAAAAACCTACAACAACCCAGTGATTCCGGCCATGAAAGCCTTCGACAATATTATTATTATTATTATTATTATTATTATTATTATTATTATTATTATTATTTGGTTAAAAGCCTGGAAGGACATTGTAAAAATGGCTTAATGAAATAAGTTTACACATGAGTCCACAACAGAGACAATTAAAGCCAAAGCATTATATAGGCTCAATGTAGAATGAAAGCTATTCCGTCATGTTACTGGTAAGGAAGAATGTGCCACCCCCCTGCTCTCTAAATCCCCACCTGGCACCTGACAAGTTTGCTCCATCAGGAAATCCAACAACCACAAGCTGTATTACAGCCTCAGGTAGTCCAACCATCGAGGACGCTCAAGCGCTTACAGGTTCATAACCTAATGCAAGCACCAAAAAGGTGCGCCAGGAAAAGCACCTGCTTGAGGATGTGGCACAGGAAGGGGCCTCAGCCCCCGGGAGCCAACCTGGCCACATCCCGCCTTGCTTCCCTCTCTCCCGAAACACAGAGTGGTGTACAACCGGACCACGCGGAGGGTGTCCAACGCGCCCGGGGTGCACATCCGCGTCCCCGGCTTCGGCAAGACCTCCTCGGTGGAGTACCTGGACAAGAGCAAACTGGCCGGTAAGGAGGGAAAAGGGCGGCTTCCCTCCGATCCCTCTTAGCAGGTGGACGGAGGGCTCTGTGCCGCCTCCTCGGGACCCTTGAGGAGCAGCACAAAGGCTCTTCTGGAGGTCAGTGGGCTTGTGAGCTTGAGGGAGGACAGCCAAGGAGATCCATAGGAAGCCCTTTCCAAGCCTGACACCCTTTGGAAGGGGGGGGGGGCTGTCCACATGCACTTGGACCTTGATTTCAGAGTGTGACGGGGAGGAACAGGCCCCTCTATCTATCTATCTATCTATCTATCTATCTATCTATCTATCTATCTATCTACAGTATTTATATACTGCTTTTCTCACCCCTAGGAGGACTCAAGCAGAGGCTGGCTGGCCATCTGTCAGGAGGGATCAGATGGTGCTTTTCCTTTATGGCAGAAAGAAGGGTGCTGGACTGGATAGCTTTGGGGGTCTCTTCCAAGTCTATGATCCTTCTATTATTATTATTATTAAGCAGATTATTATTAAGACTATGATTATTATTAGCAGGCTGGCCATCTGTCGGGAGAGATCAGATAGTGCTTTCCTTTTATGGAAGAAAGAATAGTGTTGGACTGGATAGCTTTGGGGAGGACAAGGGGTCAAGGGTCAGAGGTCAACCCACTTGGGATTGTCCCCCCCCCCATCTTCTTGTGTCCCCTTCCTCCCTCCCTCCCTCGCTCCCTCCCTCCCCACAGGGTACCTCCACACCTTGGTGCAGCACCTGGTGAACAACGGCTATGTGCGAGACCAGACCGTGCGGGCGGCCCCTTATGACTGGAGGATCGGGCCCAGTGAGTGCCATGGGGGGGGGGGGGTTCCTGGTGGGAAAGGGGGTGTATGTGGGGCAGGAAGGTGCTGAGCCTCCCCCCCCCCCCCCACCTTGGTGTTGAGACCTCCACCCCACCCCTTGCCTCCCTCTTCCTCCAGACCAGCAGGAGGACTACTACCGGTCCCTGAAGGCGCTGGTGGAGGAGATGCAGGCGGCCTACCAGAAGCGGGTCTTCCTGGTGGGGCACAGCATGGGCAACCTCCACATCCTCCACTTCCTGCTCCAGCAGGACCAGGCCTGGAAGGACCGCTTCATTGGGGGCTTCGTCTCCCTGGGGGCCCCCTGGGGAGGGGCCGTCAAGACCATGCGGGTCCTGGCCTCAGGTGAGCAAAGGCGGCAAGACCATGCGGGGATTCTTGCCCATTGCATGGGCCAACTTTGGCCTTCCCTCCAGGTGTTTTGGACTTCTACCATTCCTAGCACGTCTTTGCTCGGAGAGGGAATGGACAGAGTGTGTGTGTGTGGGGGGGGGGGGGTACCTCAATGTCCCTTGACCTAGGCTTCTAAAGACTTGTCCACTTTCGGCCTGATAAATTATTTACGCATAGAGAATAGAATAACGTTATTGTCATTGTACAACAAAATTAAATGGTTTCCCAGCATGCATCACAAAACAATCCCCCGATCCCTCCACGCTCCCCACCCCATTGCACAGCCCCCAATGCTCGTCTGTAAAATAGGTATAGAAACCGAACATTTACTGATAGCAAACCCGTTGTATGACGTCCAGCTGAAGCATCTTTTGCAGACAACAAATGTAAATACTGCACTGTAAATGCCTACAACAGCCAGTAGGTGGCATTTTCCTAACGCCACCTACTGGCTGTTGTAGGCATTTACAGTGCAGTGTTTACATTGTTGTCTGCAGAAGATTTACATTTCCGAACCCCGGCACAAGCTCAGGGAACCCATTTGGGGTTATGACCCACAGTTTGAGAAGCCTTGGCCTAGGTGACCCCCAGGGCAGGAAGGCCCCCCTTTCCCTATTGGGGAGGGGTCTTCCTCTCTCTCTCATCGTCCTTCTCTCCTTCCCTCCCTCCCTCTCTCTCTCCTTCAGGCGACAACCAAGGCATCCCGCTGGTGTCGAGCATCAAGCTCCGCGAAGAGCAGCGCATGGCCACCGCCAGCCCCTGGATGTTCCCCACGGAGCTGGCCTGGCCCCCAGACCACGTCTTCGTGGCCACGCCACAGCGCAACTACACCTGGGGGGACTTCCGGCGCTTCTTCGTGGACGTGCGCTACGAGGAGGGCTGGTTCATGTGGGAGGACGTGCAGGGCCTGCTGGGGGGGCTGCCCCCGCCCCGCGTCCCCGTCCACTGCCTCTACGGCACCGGGCTGCCCACGGCCGAGGCCTACGAGTACGACGCCGGCTTCCCTTTCGAGGACCCCGTGGGTGTGCGCTACGGCGACGGCGACGACACCGTCAGCACCCGCAGCACGTCTCTCTGCCGGCGGTGGCAGGGCGCCCAGGCCCAGCCCGTGGAGGTGGTGGAGCTGCCACGCGTGGACCACCTCAACATGGTCTTCGACAACCTCACCCTCCACCACCTCAACCGCATCCTCTTCGGAGAAGGAGGGGCCCCCCAAGAGACCCTTCCCTGAGACACAGACTCGTTGGGGGCAACTGCAGCGCTCCCCATCCCTCGGTTTAGAGGGTCGCAGGCACATCCTGAGACCGGCATACGCCAACTTTGGCCCTCCCTCCAGGTGTTTTGGACTTCAACTCCCACAATTCCTAACAACCAGTAGCCTTAGGAGAAAATGCCTCTAGAACATGGACATATAGCCCGGAAAACCTACAACAACCCAGTGATTTCGGCCATGAAAGCCTTCGGCAATACATTGAACCAGTAGCCTTCCAAAACTCCTGGAAGGAGGGCCAAAATATAGATATAGGCTCTCCTTAATATTCCTCCAGTACAGGCAGTCCCCAAGTTACAAACAAGATTGGTTGGATTTGTATGGAAGTCAGAACAAGGACATTTCCTAAGTGTAACTCCAGCCAAATATACATATTTATATACGTTTTGGATGGTACAGGGAAGGGTGGACAGCCCTGTGGGGTTGGGGTGCTGCCTGTGCCCGGCTTCAGAAGGTCTCACCTCACTTCCTGTTCCTGTTATAATTGGATTTTGGAAAATGTGGCTTGCTGTAGAAACAAGGACGGGGGTGAAGCTTCATCGGAGATCCCCCCCCCCATAATAATAACAACTCTTCCAGGAGTGGGTTTCCCTCCCTCCCTCCCAGGGGCGGCTCGTCCATTACTCAAAGTAAGCGGTCGCAGAACACTTTTTTTGCCAGGGGTGCAGAGGCGCCTCTGCAAATGCCCCTCGACCGCCACTTGAGGAGCGCCCCCCCCCCCTCGGCTCACAACAGCCCTCGCAGTCCGGGGGGAGCCTCGGCAGCTCATTACGCAAAGTAAGCATTTGCAGTAGAGTTGATTTTGCCCAGTGGTGCTCTTGAGGGAAAATAGACCTTGACATATGCGAGTGGTAGTTACTGGGATGTATAGTTCACCTACAATCACCTCCCTTTTTCTTCCCAGCCAGAGACATTTGTTATCTAACTTCTGTCAAGGTCTCTTACAACAACAATTCCAGCATACAATTGAACATAACTGAATCCATCTTGAATACATATGAACAGCATTGTTAAACATATTGAAGCACATTGAAAAACATGCATGCATACTTTCAATAATCCTGGCAGATTTCCCCCACTTCCTGTTGTCTCAGCCCTGTGCTCAGGGGCGGCGCAACCCTTACGCAAAGTAAGCCCTCGCGGTAGAGCTGATGTTGCCCGGGGGGGGGGCGCTCTTGAGGGGAAAAAAGACCTTGACATATGTGAGTTGTAGTTGCTGGGATGTATAGTTCACCTACAATCAAAGAGCATTCTGAACTCCACCAATGATGGAATTGAACCAAATAGGGCACACAGAACTCCCACCACGAACAGAAAATATAGATCAGTGATTGGTTCGGGAGAGGAACGGGGACAAAATACTGTTTGCTTAACATTGAAAATTACCTAGGGCCGCCTCTGCCTGTGCTTAACTTGGAGTCATTCATAATTCGGGTGTTTCTAAGGCAGGGACACGCTGTACATATGTGTACATGAGCTAGATTCTAGATTTGGAGGGACCCCAAAGGCCATCCAGTCCAGCCTCGTTCTTGACCAGGAGCCGTTTCTCAGTCAGATGCCTCTCATTCAGGGGTGGCCTACACACACACACACACTTGAGTCTAATGCGCCCCCCAATCTAATGCGCACCTCCATTTTCAAAACTATGAAACCCAATTGTGCAAATCTAATGCGCACCCTGATTTTGGGAAGGTCATTTAGTCCCAAAGGGGAGTCAATACGGTGTCCATCTGCTAGAGAGAGTCTCCTAAACCTGGAAGAGAACCCCCCCCCCCAAAAGGCTGCCCAGCCCAGCCCTGTTCGTAACCAGGAGTCGCTTGTCGGAGGTTTGCAACTCGCGGACTGCCTGCCAATGACTTCCGTGGGGTGGACGCGGGCGTTGCCCCTGCCAGTCCCGGCTGCCCACCCCCCAAGCCCGAGATCCAGACCCCCCCCTCCAATGAGTGCCAAGCGGGGAGGGGGGGGCTCCCCACGCGGAGTGCCTTCGTCTTTCCAGATTAAACACTCGAGTTTCTCCGTCTCCACAGCCGGCCTGCCTTTCTTTCTTGCCTTCCTTCCTTTTTCCTTTTCCTCCGAGGGGGTTCCGTTCTCGTCTTCCGGGGAGGGGGGGGCAACGGGTCAAGGACGCAACGTGGGGACGGGCATCCCGCGTGTGACTCAAAAGCGTGCAGGAGGAAAAGCCCGGTTCCTGGGGGGCGGGGCCAAGGAGGGCCGGAGGCGAGGGGGGAGGAGACTGAGCATGCGCGCCCCACAAGGAACCCCCCCTCCCTCCCCCCCTCCCTCCCCAAGACTTGCAGCGCCGCCGCCGCCGCTCTGGACCTGGCGGAGGGTCAGGTAAGGCGGGAGGGAGGGGGGAAGAAGGAAGGAAGGGGAAGGAAGAGGGAAGGAAGGAAGAAGAAGGAAGGAAGGAAGGAAGGAAGGAAGGAAGGAAGGAAGGAAGGAAGGAAGGAAGGAAGGAAGGAGGGGAAAGGGAATGGGGGAAAAGGCAGGCAGGCAGGCAGGGAGGGAGGGAGGCAGGGAGGGAGGGGCTGGGAACCCCTCCCTCCTTCCCTTTGTCTGCTCCTTCGCCGCCGCGGAACCGCCCCCCCCCCCCCGCCGCAATGGTCCAGATGTAGGGAGGGGGAGGGTCTCCCCTTGGATTGAAGGGCTCCCCCCTCCCTCCCCTTACCTGGAGGGGAGGGGGGCTGTTCTCAGTTGGGGGCGCCGCGGGTGGGACGGCGGCTCCTCCGTGTGGCTGTCCTCAGTTGGGGCCCGGCCCCTCCCCCTCTCCCCCCCAGCCCCATTGTGATGCCCCGAGGGCCCCCGCCCGCCTCCCCGCCACTCCCCTCCCGCCTCCAGGCCTGGCTCCAAGGCGAGTGGGCACTCAGGTCCCTGAGCGTCACCTCTCTTCTGCTTCTCTCCCTCCCTCCCTCCCTCCCTCCTTCCTTCCTCCCTTCTTTCCTTCAGGTCCATGAGCTTCACCTCTTCTGCTTCTCTCCCTCCCTCCCTCCCTCCTTCCTTCCTTCCTCCCTTCTTTCCTTCAGGTCCCTGAGCGTCACCTCTCTTCTGCTTCTCTCCCTCCCTCCCTCCCTCCCTCCTTCCTTCCTCCCTTCTTTCCTTCAGGTCCATGAGCTTCACCTCTTCTGCTTCTCTCCCTCCCTCCTTCCTTCCTCCCTTCCTTCTTTCATTCAGGTCCCTGAGCATCACCTCTTCTGCTCTCTCCCTCCCTCCCTCCCTCCTTCCTTCCTTCCTCCCTTCTTTCCTTCAGGTCCCTGAGCGTCACCTCTCTTCTGCTTCTCTCCCTCCCTCCCTCCCTCCCTCCTTCCTTCCTCCCTTCTTTCCTTCAGGTCCATGAGCTTCACCTCTTCTGCTTCTCTCCCTCCCTCCTTCCTTCCTCCCTTCCTTCTTTCATTCAGGTCCCTGAGCGTCACCTCTCTTCTGCTTCTCTCCCTCCCTCCCTCCCTCCCTCCTTCCTTCCTCCCTTCTTTCCTTCAGGTCCATGAGCTTCACCTCTTCTGCTTCTCTCCCTCCCTCCTTCCTTCCTCCCTTCCTTCTTTCATTCAGGTCCCTGAGCATCACCTCTCTTCTGCTTCTCTCCCTCCCTCCCTCCCTCCTCCCTCCCTTCCTCCCTTCTTTCCTTCAGGTCCCTGAGCGTCACCTCTCTTCTGCTTCTCCTCCGTCCTCCCTCCTTCCTCCCTCCCTCCCTCCCTTCTTTCCTTCGGGTCCCTGAGCTTCACCTCTCTTCTGTTTCTCCTCCGTCCTCCCTCCTTCCTCCCTCCCTCCCTCCCTTCTTTCCTTCGGGTCCCTGAGCGTCACCTCTCTTCTGCTTCTCCTCCTCCCTCCCTATCTCCTTCCCTCCCTCCCTCCCTTCTTTCCTTCAGGTCCCTGAGCTTCCTCTCTTCTTTCCTCCTCTCCTCCTCTTTCCTCCCTCCTTCGGGTCCCTGAGCGTCACCTCTCTTCTGCTTCTCCTCCTCCCTCCCTATCTCCTTCCCTCCCTCTCTCCCTTCTTTCCTTCAGGTCCCTGAGCTTCGCCTTTCTTCTGCTTCTCCTCCTCCTCACTTCCTCCCTCCCTCCCTTCTTTCCTTCCGGTCCCTGAGCATCACCTCTCTTCTGCTTCTCCTCCTCCTCCTCCTCATTTTCTCCCTCCCTCCTTCGCTCCCGCAGGCTCCCTTCTTGGGGACGGTCCCTCCACAGCGGATGCCAGGCAGGCGCCCCGGACTGCGATGGTGCTGGACTCCGGGAGGCGACCCTTCCGCCCGCCCTCTCCGCCGCGTCTGGGGGTCTTCGGCCCGGACCTTCCTGGGAGGACGAGAAGGAGGAGCCCCCCTCCTCCAAAGGGAGAGCGCTATGAGGGGCAGGAGCCCCCTCCACCGCCCCCTCTTCCCCTTCCGGGCCCCTCCCTGCCCCCCTCTCCCTCCCTCTCCCTGGAGTCAGACTGCTCCTCCTCCTTGGCCCCCCCCAGGAAGGAGCCCCCTCCCCCCTCGGCCCCCCGCGGCTGGATGCGCCGGAGCGAGAGCAGCTGCGCCGTGAACCGGAGGGAGCCCCGGGCCCGCCGCCTCCTCCGCAGCGCCAGCTCCCTGCCCCACCTGGCCAAGGAGAAGGAGAAGGGCAAGGACGCGGGCGGGAAGGGCCGGAGGAGCCCCTGCCTGCTGGTGGCCCTGCGCCCGGCCAACCTGGAGCAGGAGAAGGCCGCCTTCTTCCGCGCCTCCTTCTCCTACAACCCCCAGTTCCAGTACCAGGAGCCCCTCCCGGCAGCCGTGCTCGACAAGTACCGGGAGGCCTCCGGGAAGTTCCTCCCCCAGGTGAGACCAGGTGATTTGATGTGCCTGATTGTTTACTCTCTGTAGTTTTGCTGTTCACCTCTCAAGAAAAGATTCCCCCAGGCACTTCCAAGCCGTTAAATGCTAATCAAGGTGGTCAGTTGAAACCTTCACCCCTAGCACCAGCAGACAAGAGTCCTTTGTCCCACCCCGGTCATTCCACAGATATATAAACCCTTTTTCCTAGTTCCAACAGACCTCACGACCTCTGAGGATGCTTGCCGTGGATGCAGGTGGAACGTCAGGAGAGAATGCCTCTAAAACATGGCCATATAGCCCGGAAAAACCTCCAACAACCCAATAATAATACTGTTGGAAGAGACCTCTAAATGCCACTCAATCCCAATCCAGGTATCACAATCAAGGTATCCTCTCTGTTAATTCTGAGCCACCAATTTGTGTATTTCAGTCTCCTCTGAGCAGGAATCTAGGTGGCATTCTGTGTCCATATGACAAAAGAGGTCTTTCTCTTTGACACAGGAAAACGGACCCAGGCACTCCAAACTGGGCACAGTCACTGCTAATGGGTCACATACATATGCATGCCAAGGCTTCAGCAGCTTCTGCCATCCGATGGGGCTGGAAAGAACTCCCCTCTGAATCCAAAAGGGTTTCTGGGGCTGTCTAGTGACCCCTTGATGGCTTATTTGGCACCTACAAATGGAGCCTCCTCCTTCCTTGCACCCAAGGGTGGCAATCTAGACTAAGGAGGCGCTCCTTGTTGCTTTGCGATGGGCCTGAGTGCCAATAAAACAAAGGTGGGAAAGGGGAGGAGGAGGAGGGTGCAGGCTGGCTCTGGGGGAGCTCTCCAAGGTGCTGAACATCTTCTCAGGTTGGAGCTCAGCCTCTTGGAGGCCGCCTTCAGTTCTGGGGGAGGGGGGGAAACAGGAGCAGAATGCCCCCTCCCAAATTGGGGCCTACAGCTATTGGGGGTGTGTAGAGATGATGATGATGGTGATGATGATACCCTCCCTTCCTCCCTGTAGGGACTCGGGTCAGCTAACAATCATCATCATCATCATCATTTAATAACTTATTCATTGCCCTCCATCCGAGAATGCTCCAGGCGATTTACAGCTAAATTATAAAAGATAAAATACATAGATACAAAAATTAAAAATTAACAGAGATCGAATGCTCTAGTAAAAAGCCAGGTGTCTTAAGTGCGAGAGTAAAAGGCCCTCAGTCACGCATGGCTCTCACGTAGGGCGGCCATAAGGAATCCCACAATAAGGCAGGAGGGGCAGAAATGGAGAAAGCCCACCTGCGCCTGGTCCTTTCCAAGGGCACTTCTCTAGGACACGGTATATGGAGTAAGTCACGTTGGGATGGTCGTTGCGACCTCCGATGATGGGAGAAGGATAGGCGGTCCCTAAGGTACGATGGACCCTGGCCGTAAAGAGTTTTAAAGGTCAGAACTAGCATCTTGTACAGGCCACAGTGGGACTCAGTTGGAAGCCAATGTCAGTGTTGCAGCACTGGAGTTATATGGCATTGCAATCCCACACTTTAGGCAAGTTTAAAAAGCATAATACAAAATTAACAACAATTATCTAGTACAGTGTGGTACAACAGATTAAAATATAATAAATACACAGAAAAGAGCCTTTAAAACTCACAGTCGCCCCCCCCCCCCCCCCCCCCGCCCCAAGTGATGTTGTGTAGAGCGGACCAGGAAGGAGCCTTTCCCAAAAGGACCCTTCCCAGAGTTCTTCCCCTGCATCCGCTGTCCTCAGAAGGGGAAGTAGAGGGGCGGAGTCTACCTGGCAAAGTGGAGCCTCATCCTTCCTTGCACCCAAGGACGGCAATCTAGACTAAGAAGGCCCTCCTTGCGCCCCTTGTTGCTTTGCGATGGCCTGAGCGCCAATGGAGAAAAGGTGAGAAAGGGGAGGAGGAGGAGGATGCAGGCTGGCTCTGGGGGAGCTCTCCAAGGTGCTGAACCTCTTCTCAGGTTGGAGCTCAGCCTCTTGGAGGCCGCTCTCAGTTCTGGGGGAGGGGAAACAGGAGCAGAATGCCCCCTCCCAACTTGGGGTCTCCAGCCATTGGGGGGGGGGCATGTGGAGATGATGATGATGGTGATGATCATGATGATGATGGTGGTGGTGATGATACCCTCCCTTCCTCCCTGTAGGGACTCGAGGCAGCTAACAATCCCACACTTTAGGCAAGTTTAAAAAGCATAATACAAAATTAACAATAATTATCTAGTATCCTTTGATGTTTTTAAATTGTGTTAGATTTTAGCCTGTTCTTGTAAGCCACTCCGAGCCCCAGGGGAGTGGCGGCATAGAAGTTTGAATAATAAAATAAGTAAAATAAATAAATGAAACAGATTAAAATATAATATTTATTTATTTCGGGCACTTCTACCCCGCCCTTCTCAACCCCCTGGTGGGAGGGACTCAGGGCGGCTTACAACCGGCACAATTCGATGTCAACAATTCAACAGATAAAATACATAACAATAACCACAAGTTAAAACATTCAATTAATACAATAACAACAGAAAGCCAATCTAGTTGCCAACGTTCACAGAGTTCTAAAATCCATAAGTCCATTCAGCATTGCCATAGTCCTTTCCAAGTTCTGGTCGTCATTACCTTGTCAGTCTGCCAGATCACCCAAAGGCCTGGTCCCATATCCATGTTTTCAGCTTCCTTCTGAAGGAAAGGAGGGATGTTGATGACCTAATTTCCCTGGAGAGTGAGTTCCACAGGCGGGGGGCCACCACCGAGAAGGCCCTGTCCCTCGTCCCCACCAGCTTCACATGTGATAGAGGCGGGGCTTTGAGCAGGGCCTCCCTAGAAGATCTTAAACTCCGAGGTGGGACATAGAAGGAGATACGTTCGGACAGGTACGCTGGAAAGAGGTTTTAAAACTCACAGTTGCCCCCGCCCCCTCCCCCCCAGAGATGCTGTGTAGAGCAAGAAGGAGCCTTTCCCAAAGGGACCTTTCCCAGAGTTCTTCTCCTGCCTCCGCTGTCCTCAGAAGGGGAAGTAGAGGGGCGGAGTCCACCTGGCAAAGTGGCCCCACCTCTTTGGGGTCTCTTTTCGTGGGCGGAGGGTGCCTGGTCTCCTTGGGGGCCTCTCGGAGGCTGAATGTCTTGGTGTTTCCCGCAGGCGCTGGGCATCATGAGTGCTGTCTTGGAGCGCTATGGCACCTACGAGGACTTTGAGGCCACCAACGGGGGGAAGCTGCTCAGCAAGGGCCAGATCTGGTCCGTCATCCGGAAGTACCTGCAGAAGGAGGGCTGCTCGGGAGAGGTGAGAACATCAACAGGAAAAGGAGCATAGGCCTCCGAAATGAAGGACCCTGGGTCTCCAAAGTGAACGCTCATTCACAAAGATTTACACAGACGCACACAGCCTGCTTTTGCAGATTCCGTGATCTCGCCAGAGCGACTCTACAGTCCAATATAATCCTTTCAGAGGATCTATATAGAAAGCATTAGGATTCTCAAGGTGTTATGTCTATGGACGTGGCCGGGGGACGCAGAAGTGCCCACAGAAGGCATCTCTAAACCCTCCACCTTGAAAGCCTGGAATAAAATGTGGTGTGGATTTCTTGGCCCTCTTTTTGCATTTTGCCCCACTGCTTAAACTGTTTCTTCTTCAACTCTGTCTCAAATTGGGGTGGGCAAAGGGTTGGCCAGGGGTCCAGCATTGCTCCCTCAGAAGCCCTCCACTCCGCAAGTGAACAAGTGACCGTCCGGCTTGTGTCCTGAGTGTGAGCCCTGTCCAAAGTGCCTGTGGGCAGTGAGAGCAGAGCCTGTCCCTCGCGGATTCTGCAGTGGCGGGTGGGAAGGAAGGAAGGTTCCCCACAAGTGCCCTGCCGTGGGGTGGAGATGGGGCTGGTCCACCATGCTAGGCTAGAGATGCCCTTGGGCCTGCATTTCTGCCCCCTCTGTGGCAAGGCCCCCACTGAGCCTTCTCCCCGGCCTGTGAGGGTCAGTGTGGCTCCCCTTGCCTTGAGCGTCCAAGGCATCCTTCCTGGGGCAGCCTTCCTAGGACACCCGGTGGGTGCAGCTTCCTCTTCCTGTTCCTCTTCCAGGTGGTGGTTCAGCTGACGGAGGACCTCCTCTCGCAGGCCGTGATGATGGTGGAGAACAGCCGCCCCACGCTGGCCATCAACCTCTCGGGGGCCCGGCAGAACTGGCTGGAGGGGATGCTGCGCCACGAAATCGGTCAGGCAGGGGCCGGAAGGAAGGATGGATGGATGGATGGATGGATGGATGGATGGATGGGGGGGGGGGCCTGCCGTGGGAGGGGGCAGAGGCTGTGTGAAGGTTGGGGCAGGCTGGGGAGGGGCCTTTCCTGTGGGCCTGCCTGCTCTGCCTTGAGGAAAGGTGTCCCGCCTCTTCTCTGCTGGGCTTCACGGACTGACCAACGGGCTCCTCTTTCTGGTTGGAGTCTTTGCCAGCGGCCCTTTGATGCCCTTCTTTTGAGAAGCCGCCTCCTGGGCGCTTGTCCTCAAGGCTCAAGCGTCCCATTGTTCTACCGCAACCATGTCGTGGGGCTCGGCTTCCCCACAGCCTGGATCTTTGGCCCAGTTTGGCTGCCAACTTTCTCCCCAAGCGGCTTCCCTGTCAGCTCAGTCTCTGGCACTTTAGCGACAAAGTGCCAGAGACTGAGCTGAAAGGGCTAAAGTGCCAGAGACTGAGCTGTCTCTGGCTTCAAAGCAGGCAGCCTTGCATTTTGGGCTTCTTCTGCCACCTGCAGAATTCTGGGAAATGTCATTTCGGGTGGGGCCATTGGACTTCTGTGTACGAACCCACACGATCTCTCCGATCATCTGGAGAGGCCCTGCTCGCGCTCCCACCTCTGTCTCAGGTGCGACTGGTGGGGACGAGGGAGAGGGCCTTCTCGGTGGTGGCCCCTCATCTCTGGAATTCACTCTCTAAGGACATCAGGCAGGCCCCAACCTTGGCAGTCTTTAGGAGGAGTCTGAAAACGTGGTTATTCCAATGTGCCTTTCCAGCATAAGAAACTCCTAGCAATCTGTCCTTAAAGGCACTTTATTAATGACCTAGGATTGTTTTTGTACGCCCATCACTCCCCGGAAATCCACCCTAACCATATTGTACCTGCCATGTCCAGCATATTTTAAAATGTTAATTATTACATTTGGCCCAGCCAATAATAATAATAGTTATTATTATTATTATTATTATTATTATTATTATTATTATCATTATTAATTCTCAGCTGCAGGGGTCCTCACCTTCCCAAATTAAATTACCCAGAACATGCCCAAAATTGCAGGGCTGCCCGCTTGAAAGCACTCGTGTTTTGACATTTTGGACTGCGGCCTCCCCTCCTCCCCCCCCTTCCCCTCCGCAGGCACGCACTACATCCGTGGGGTGAACAACGCGCGGCAGCCGTGGCACAGCCCCGAGGGCCGGCAGCAGTTCAGCTTGCAGGCGGCCAACCCCACGGAGGAGGGCCTGGCCAGCATCCACAGCGTCCTCTTCCGCAAGCGGCCCTTCCTCTGGCGCGCCGCCCTCCTCTACTACACCGTCTACCAGGCCGGGCGCCTCTCCTTCGCAGACCTCTTCCGGCAGCTGGAGCCCTTCGTGCGCGACGCCGGCGTGCGCTGGGAGTACTGCGTGCGGGCCAAGCGCGGCCAGGCCGACACCTCGGGGCCAGGTCAGGGGGTCGGGGGTCAGGCGTGGGGGGAGGAGGGGTCCGCAACCCCCACGGCCTGGCCTGAAGCCCAATGCCCCCTCCTCCCTCCCTCCCTCCCTCACCCTCTCTCCCTCCCCCCCCCTCTCTCTCCCAGGCTGCTTCAGCAAAGACCAGGTCTACCTGGACGGGATTCTCCGCATCCTGAGGCACCGGCACTCCATCGACTTCCACTTGCTGGCCGCACTGGGCAAGGTGGGCCTGGGAAGGGGGCGGGCAACGCACAGCCATTGCTAAGAAGACTATGGAAAACCCAGAAATGTGCTTCTTGGGCTTCTTTCAGGAGAGAATTGGCAAAGACGATGTAGAAATTTGCCAATATTGTTTTTTTATAACGCGTTGCTGTGGCCCAGTCTGGTGATATTTATTTATTTATTTGTTTGTTTGTTTGTTTGTTTGTTTGTTTGTTTGGGGTGCTTCTACCCCGCCCTTCTCAACCCCCGAGGGGGGACTCAGGGCGGCTTACAAAAGGCACAATTCGATGCCCAACAATTCACAAAATGCAATATACAAAATTACAATATAACGTCAACAATTATAATTAATTAAAACAATCAAACAATACAGTTGCAGCAATAAAATCATATTGTGGTCAATGTTCGCCAATTCATAAATCCATGATCCGTCCAGCATCGTCATTGTCCTTTCCTACTCTGGTCATCATTGTCTTTTGTCCAATTGCCAGCTTACCCAAAGGCCTGGTCCCACATCCAGGTTTTTAACTTCCTTCTGAAGGAGAGGAGGGATGTCAATGATCTAATTTCCCCGGGGAGTGAATTCCACAGGTGAGGGGCCACCACCGAGAAGGCCCTGTCCCTCGTCCCCAACAGCCTCACTTGTGATAGAGGTGGGGCCGAGAGCAGGGCCTCCCCAGAAGATGTTAAACTCCGAGGTGGGACGTAGAAGGAGATACATTCGGACAGGTACACTGGGCCGGAGCCGTAAAGGGAAATATGGAAAAATCAAGTAAATATGGAAAATCAAGTAATTAGAAAGTGCTGGTTTCTAATATATGTAATGTCTTTCTGCTTGTGGGTCAACAGTATTTCTTGATGTTTGACAGTGTTGACGTAGAGATTGTCTGGTTTGCCAACTGGAACATGCAACATATAATTGTCCATCTTTAGGGGTCCCTTTCAAATCTATAATACTTTGTGTGTGTGTGAATCATATATATCTATCTATATCTATGGCTGGATGGCTCTCTGTCAGGAGGGTTTTGATGATGTTTTCTTGCCCTGGTGAAGGGAGTTGGACTGGATGGCCTTAAGTATTTTCTGTTGGTCATGGGGGTTCTGTGTGGGAGATTTGCCCCAGTTCTGTCATTCGTGAGGTTTATTCAGAATGGTCTTTGATTGTAGGTGAACTATAAATCCCAGTAACTACAACTCCCAACTGCCAAGGTCTATTTCCCCAAACTCCATCTGTGTTCATATTTGGGCGTATGGAATATTGGTGCCAAGTTTGGTCCAGATCCATCATTGTTTGAGTCTACAGTGCTCTCTGGATTTAGGTGAACTACAACTCCCAAACTCAAGGTCAATGCCCACCAAACACTGCTAGTATTTTCTGTTGGTCATGGGAGGCCTGTGTGCCAAGTTTGGTCCAATTCAATTGTTCAGAATGCTCTGTGATTGTAGGTGAACTATAAATCCCAGCAACTACAACTCTGAAATGACAAAATCATAATTTTTTGAGTGATGGTCACTCCTTGTGTTGTGAGATGTTTTGTTGCCAAATTTGGTGTGATTTCGTTCACTGGTTCATTTGTTTTTAAGGTACTCATGACGCACAGAGCATTTTTATATAGAGAGATATTATACCCCGCCCGAAGGGGAGCGAGAATCCCAAAAGCAAAATTGGGGAAGAACCAAAGGATTGGAGAAGGAAAGTAGTTGAGTGTCTCCAAATGGCCAAGATCTCCGACGGCACGGGGGGAGGAAACGGGTCAGTTTGCTAGCGGATGGAGACTGGCCTTTGGGTATTTAAAAAAGAAGGCAAACAGAGAATTTGAAACACCCGAATGGGGGTTTATTAGTGTCAGGACAGGACAGGTTTTGTCGAAGGCTTTCATGGCCGGAATCACTGGGTTGTTGTAGGGTTTTTCGGGCTATATGGCCCTGGTCCAGAGGCATTCTCTCCTGACGTTTCTCCTGCATCTATGGCAAGCACTCTCAGAGGTAGTGAGGTGTTTTGGAACTAGGAAAAAGGGTTTATATATCTGTGGAATGACCAGGGTGGGACAAAGGACTCTTGTCTGCTGGAGCTAGGGGTGAATGTTTCAACTGACCACCTTGATTAGCATATAATGGCCTGGCAGTGCCTAGAGCAAACTTTTGTTGAGAGGTGATTAGATGTCCCTGTTTGTTTCCTCTCTGTTGTTGTGCTGTTGTATTATTATTATTATTATTATTATTATTATTATTATTATTATTATCTTTATTTGTACCCCGCTAGCATCTCCCGAAGGACTCGATGCAGCCTACAAAGGCCAAGGCCACAATAAAACAACAATATAACAATTACATATAAACCAAAAGCAAATCAAAAACATTAAAGCAATAACAGTAAACAGTAAAAACAGCACACTGTGGCACAATAAAACTAGGCCGGGCAAATGTAATGTAATTTTAGAGTTTTTTAATACCGGTAGCCAGATTTTGTTCATTTTCATGGTTTCCTAGGACATCTAATCACCTCTCAACAAAAGATTGCGCCAGGCACTGTGGGGCATTATATACTAATCAAGGTGGTCAGTTGAAACATTCCCACCTAGCTCCAGCAGACAAGAGTCCTTTGTCCCACCCTGGCCATTCCACAGATATATAAACCCTTTTTCCTCGTTCCAACAGACCTCACTATCTCTGAGATGCTTGCCATAGATGCAGGTGAAATGTCAGGAGAGAATGCCTCTAGAACATGGCCATATAGCCCGAAAAAACCCTACAACTCAGGACAGGTTTTGTTAGATACTAGTTCCATCCTGAGTGGTGTCGGAAGTCATGGGTGGGCGTGCACGGGTGGGAAAGGGGAAACCAGGCTTGTATTTGGATTGCTGAATCTTGAAGATTGTATGTCGTAGTTTATTCCCTCATATCTCACACTAAAAATGCATACAATGCCCGTCACTTGGGAAGCCTGACTTGTCCACGGTAGTCCACGCTCTGGTATAGACTACTGCAACGCACTCTACGTGGGATTGCCTTTGAAGACGGTCCGGAAGCTTCAACTAGTCTAACGAACGGCAGCCAGGTTGCTAATAGGAGCAGTCAACCCCCTTGTTGCGCCAGCCCCACTGGCTGCCAGTTTGCTACCGGGCCCAATTCAAAGTGCTGGCTTTGGCCTATAAAGCCCTAAACGGTTCTGGCCCAACTTACCTGTCTGAACGTGTCTCCCCTTATGAACCACCGAGGACCCGGAGATCATCTGGGGAGGCCCTGCTCTCGGTCCCGCCTTCGACACAAGTACGTCTGGTGGGGACGAGACAGGGCCTTCTCCGTGGTGGCCCCTCAGCTATGGAAAGCCCTCCCTCGGGAGATCAGATCGGCTCCCTCCCTACTAACGTTTCGGAGGCAAGTTAAAACGTGGTTGTTTGAGCAAGTGTTCACAAACGCAGAGTAAACGACATAGGAAATTGAATGACTAAACGATGGGACTGGACAATGCTTGATAAGAAGGAGATGCTCATGATGTTGTTATTATTGTTGATGTTTTATACTGTTTTAATTATGTGTACTGTTTTGTTGGAAATCGCCTTGAGTCGCCGATTGGCTGAGAATGGCGGTATACAAATAAATAAAATCAATAAACAAATACAAAACAAGGAGACAGGCAGAGAGTGGGGAGGGCGGCGGGGGCACAATGCACGCTCTGGGGGAGAGCCCCAAGCGCTGACCCTCCCCCAAAAGACCTTGCACTGAAAGCATATGTGGGGAGGGGGGTTTCTTCTCCGCCCCTCCCTCCAGGGCCCCTCCGTGGGTCTTCCGGGGAGGGGGCCCAGGGCTGACAGCTGTCTCCTTGCAGGTCTCCTATGAAGACGTGGGGCGGCTGAAGGACCTGGGGGCGCTGGAGAAGGCCCGCATCCCCCACTTCATGCTGGACCTGGAGCGCTACATGCAGCAGCTGGACCACATCGTGGCCACCAACCGCCTGGACGAGGAGGAGCTGGAGCGGCTGCTGCCGGACTGAGCCCTGGGCCCCCGCGGACCCACCCCAGAGCAGCCCCTGCTTGTTCTGCATCTCTAGGGCGCCTCTGGAGGGCCTGGCGGATTGACCCACTGAAGAGGACGTTTGTGGGGAAAGGAAACCCTGGATGCCCTACCTCTGGAGTGGCTTATTTATTTTGGGGGGGGGGTGGGGGAGGGGATGAGGAGGAATGGCAGCCTTCTCTGAGGAAGTGGGGGCTCTGGATCCCCCCCCCAAGCTCGGCCCTCCTTCTGTTAGGTTGTGGATGGAAGTGCCGCCCCCTCCCTCCGCCCGAGAGTCTCCATGGCTTTGTTCTTTTACTCCGAGAGAGGAGTCCTTGGAGGTCCATGCGCTTCCCACAGAGAAGAGTGTGACTCATAGACTTGGGAGACATCTAGTCCAGCCCTTTGTGGTGGGGAGGAACACGCAGCAGAAGCCCCCCACCCACCCACCCCCCAAGACCTCTGAGGCAGCCTTTGTGCCACCCACACTTGCACAGCCAGGAGGGAAGTGGGTCAGAATCTGGACCGCAGGTTTGGCTGGAAGAGAGAAAAGCCGAGGGTTGAAGAAGGGGCTTCGTGGTTCTGCTTGTTGGTCCTCTTTTGGGGGGGCACCTGAAGGTCTCCAGAGACCCCCCTTCCCTGCCCCAAAACCTTCCTTTCTTCCTTAGGGTGGGGAGGCAAGGCCAGATGTGGGTGGCTGGGCAACTGTACAAGGCAGCCAAGTTTGGAAGACTTTTGATGTATCTCAAGGACTTCTTCTTCCCCATCTTCAAAACTGTAACTAAGGCGTTCTGCTTGTTGGTCCTCTTTTTGGGGCACCTGAGGGTCTCCAGGGACCCCCCTTCCCTGCCCCCAAACCTTGCTTTTCTCCATAGGGTGGGGAGGCAAGGCCAGATGTGGGTGGCTGAGTTGCCACATCTTTGGAGGACTTTTGATGTATCTCATGGACTTCTTCTTCTTCCCCGTCTTCAGAACTGCAACAAAGGCGGCTGAAGGGGGAAATGAGGGGCGGATGCATGGGGGAACTTGCCAGGTTCAGTGCCTGAAAACAAATTCATGGATTGAGCAGAAAGCTTTTTTTTGGGGGGGGGGGAAGGTGTCCCTGCACACCCTTCAATAAAACATTTTGCGCCTCACGAGAGGTGGCGGTGTCGGGGAGGGGCCTTGTTCCAGCTTAAGGGCTTTGCCGGGGATCAGATTTGCGTCTAATGAGGTCAGAAGGGCCTCCCTCGGGAGGGCAGCGGGCGCCTGAGGGCAGCGGCAGACCAGAAGGAGGGTGACAATGGACAATCCCTTGTGGTGTGGAACATAACAAAAAAATTTTGTCGTGTCAGGAGCGACTTGAGAAACTGCAAGTCGCTTCTGGTGTGAGAGAATTGGCCGTCTGCAAGGACGTTGCCCAGGGGACGGCTGATTTGATGTTTTTATCATCCTTGTGGGAGGCTTCTCTCATGTCCCCTTTGCATGAGGAGCTGGAGCTGATAGAGGGAGCTCATCCGTCTCCCCCCAGATTCGAACCTGCAACCTGTTGGTCTTCAGTCCAGCCAGCACAGGGGTTTAACTATTTATTTACAGCTTTTCTATTCCGCCCTTGTCCTCACCCCGCAGCAGGGGACTCAGGGCGGATTACAGTGTACACATATATGGCAAACATTCAATGCCAATTTTTGACATACAAACATATACAGACATACACAGAGGCTATTTAACTTTTTCTGGCCGCCAGGGGAGCTGTCGCTTTCATCGTCCATCTGCGATGCTGATGAAGCACTTCCGCATTCCCCGCATGCTTCCCCGCTGGAGTCTTCTTTATGGCCTCATAAATCAGTTAATTTAGCCTCCCCACACTTTAAGGTGGTACCTTATTTTCCTACTTGACAGATGCAACTGTCTTTCGGGTTGCAAAGGTCGACAACAGGCTACACACAATTGGTTGGAAACCCACTCCAACCCGGGCTGGCTTCAAACTCATTACCTTTTGGTCAGAGTGATCTTAATGCAGCTGACACTCAGCCAGCTGCGCCACAATCCCGGTACAATGCTCCCATGCTCCCATAACAATGCTACAAGGGGCAGCCTCTCGGGATGCCATTCAGCACAACACGTTGAGCATCGACTGCAGCTCTTTAGTCTTCAGTGAGGGAGCAATGCAGGAGACCCGTCACTTTGGTGGGGGTTAGGGGTGCAGAACCCCCCAAAACCACAATGCAGGTCTATTAATAATATCTCTTTGCAATGGCAGCTAGTTTAAAGGCGGTCTGTTTTAGATGCCAGTGCCTTCCTGGTTGGGCGGGGGGGACCGGGGGGGGGGGCACACGGACAATACCACACACGTCCTTCTTCCTGGCTTTTGTACTTCTAAGAAATCTTTGCCCGTTTTGGAACCAAGGTTCTGGTTTCCCTGGATGTTGGAGCCTTTCAAGAATGCCTCTCTTGCGATTCCTATGACAGCACCAACTGGGAAGAACTTAAATCTATGTATATAATAAAAGTCAGTGGTTGTATACCGAGGGAGGAAGGATGGTGTATGTGGCAGCTTTCAGATTGGCTGCCACTTTCACACGCCACTGTGACCAGCACGGGTGACGGACCTGGATCAAACTTGGCACACATAACCCCCATGACCCCCTTTACGTCCTGGTGAGGTTTGGGGGAGGACAGACAAAGGATGATGGCATTTGTAGTACTTTCAAACCCATCAGTTCCCACTGTGGCCCCCAACAAAGACTGATAAAGACCAAACTTGGCACACGGAGCCCCCATGACCCACTCTACATTCTACTGCAGCTTGGGGGATGGCTGACCATGGATGATGGGAATTGAAGTACCCCCACTCACTTCCCGAGACCGCTGAGACCCTCATCCAATGGCCAATCAAGACCAAACTTGGCACACATAACCCCCATTACACTCTTTATGTCCTGGTGATGGTTAGGGGAGGACGGACAATGGATGATGGGATTTGTAGTACTTTCCCACCTTTTGTTCCCACAGACTACTGCGGCCCCCAACAAAGACCAATAAAGACCAAACTTGGTACACAGAGCCCCCATGACCCACTCTACATCCTACTGCAGTTTCGAGATGGACCACGGATGATGGGACTTGAAGTACCTCTACTCGCTTCCCGAGATCACTGTGACACTCATCCAATGACTAATGAAGACCAAACTTGGCACACAGAGCCCCCATGACCTACTCTCCATCCTGGTGCTGTTTGGAGGACGATGGACCATGGACAATGGGACTTGCAGTACCATCACTAACTTCCTGAGAGCACTGAGAGCCACATAAATAACTGATAAAGACCAACCTTGCCACACAATGTCTTTCTCAAATGATCTGGCCACCACCGGGTCCCCAAGCTAGTGTTATATAAAATGTAAACGTATCTGGATCTGGTCCGAAATTTCACGCGTTCAGTTTAAAAACAAATCTTGTAAGCTGAAGAGCAGCAATAGGCTTTGATTACTAAAGCAGAAATGCCGTCATGTCCTGACAGAAAACAGAGTCCACAAGTAGTTTATATACAACTTGCATATAAAGAGCCTAGATAGAGACACACACTCACACTAACACTCTCTCCCTCTTCCCTGGCGCCTCTCTAGCTGTGTCCAAAGCCCGCTTCAGGCCTGACCTGGAGGGTGAAGGAGGGCCCAAAAGCAACCTCCCTCCCTCCCTCCCTCCCTCCCTCGGGGCCTGTTCGCTATGAGAATAAACGTGTTCCTTCAGTCCAGGCAGACTCACAAAGCACACATTTTAATGGCGTGTCTTCTGTACAAAAGCAAAGAACGAGTGAAAGAATGTCAATCTTCTGAGGCAGGCCCAGGCTGAGCTGTGAGTGGGGCTCCTCCTCCTCCTCCGCTGGACGCCTCAGGGCCGCCCGGAGAGGCACTGGTTGACCACCTCCAGCAAGTGGCTGTTCTCCAAGGCGGCCGCCACCCGCTCCTTGTCGGCCAGTTGCTTGTTTACTGTGAAAACAAAGCAGGAGGGGGAGAGGCAAAGGGGGATGCGCACAGGCCCCCAACCCACCCCCAGAAGGGCCCCAATGCTCAGCACACGCGCAACACACACCCATTTGGCACCCCGGGCAGCGCTGTCCCGCCTCCTTGCTCATTGCCTTTTGCGCAGCTTTCCTTCCTTCCTTCCCACTCTTAACTAGGAGTTGTTTGCAAGTCAGATGTTTGTAACTTGGGGACAACCTGTACAAGAATTTCTGCCTTTATCTTTACCGGCACACAATGGATCACCTTGTGGGAAAGGGGCCCCGTGCCAAGCGGGATGGGAATGCCGGCGCGCACACACACACACACACACACACACACAAACACACCCTCCCTCCGTGGGGAACGGGCTCTCACCTGCGTGCTCCGAGGCGTGTGTCCCCTGCGTGATGTGGACGTCCACCTGGCGGAAGAGAGGAGGAAGGAAGGAAGGAAGGAAGGAAGGAAGGAAGGAAGGAAGCAGGCCTGAGACCCCAGTCCGGAGCCTCCCCACCTTCCCTGAGAAGACTTCTGATCCTGCGCCAGATGAGAGCGTTCTGGGCCCTTCTTGCCCCCCCCCCCCCGGCACTCACCTTGAACCTTTCGGGCAGGGAGCGGATGAGCTTGACCTTGATGGACAGGCCGATGAGGGTGGCCATGCTGCAGTGTGGGATGGTGGGCGTGAAGGCCACGGAGACAGTGCTGTCGGCATCGTCGGCCTAGAAGAGACGCAGCGTTGGGGGCAAAGTGCGGCTGCTCAACAAAGCCCTGCACCTAAGAGAAGGCATCTCCAGGGGATCTGGTGGAGTATGTCACATACCTGTGGAATGATGTCCAGGCCGGGAGGGAAAGAACCACTGTCCGTTCACCAAGTGCAAAGGGTGCAGTTAGCAAGCCTGGTTTGCAAATGCGGAATAGGACCCACCCAAGAGCATGTGAGCAACCATGAAGGTAGCCCGCATGAGCTGATGATGTGTTCTTCATAGTAACTCACATACAAGATTGCTAGCTGCACTTGGTTAACAGACTCTGGCTCTTCCCTCCCTCCCTGGGCATTCCGCCATCGTTTACCACCTTCAGATCCTCTGAGGACGCCATTCGCCACAGGCAAGGTGCAGGCAGAGCGTCAGTGCGGCCTTTAGGCAGATATACAAACACACACCAAGACAGGGAGATGGACAGAGAGATATAGACAGACAGGGGTGTATGTGTATATAGATATAGATACTGATAGACTGGCAGAGATAGAGAGATAGATAGATAGATAGATAGATAGATAGATAGATAGATAGATAGATAGATAGATAGATAGATAGACAGACAGACAGACAGACAGACAGACAGACAGACAGACAGAGGGATAGATAGATAGATAGATAGATAGATAGATAGATAGATAGATAGATAGATAGATAGATAGATAGATAGATACTGGGACCTAATATGCACATATGCTATGTTGTTATGTACATGTAAAATAAATATTAGATAAATAGATAGATAGTAGGTAGATAGAGATATAGAAAGAGAGAGACAGATAGACTGATACTGATAGAAGGTAGATAGCGATATAGTTCTATTTGATTTGTCATTGATCCACTCTGGCTACATGCAAATCTCCCATTTGCAAAAACTATACGATCCTGTGCTTTTCTTTCCTATTCCTGTCCAAACAACTTAATAATAATAATAATAATAATAATAATAATAATAATAATCTTTATTTATACCCCGCCACCATCTCCCCAACGGGCACTCGGGACGGCCCACATGAGGCCAAGCCCAACAACACAGTAAAAAAAAAAGAAAAAGAAAGGTAAAGATTGTCCCCTGACATGAAGTCCAGTCGTGTCTGACTCTGAGGGTTGGTGCTCATTTCTAAGCTGAAGAGCCGGCGTTGTCCATAGACACTTCCAAGGTCATGTGGCCGGCATGACTGCATGGAGCGCCGTTACCTTCTCGCCGGAGCGGTACCTACTGATCTACTCACATTTGCAACACAGTGCAATAAAATAAAATAAAACCAAACCAAAAAACAACAACACAATAAAATAGATAACACTCTTAACCCTTGGTTCCTCCCCATTGAGTGCAAGGCTTGCCCAAGGGCCGCTTGTGGCCTCTTCCTCTCCAGCTTGGGAGTCAACATGTCCACTCGCGGTCTTTTGCTACAGGCCCTGCCCATCTTATTTTTGCCCCATGGATCTCTTTGACCACATCCCGTAGCCCAGTTCTTTGGCGCAGCTCCTTATTGCTGGCTTTCTCTCTTCTTGTTCTGCCACACATCCATCTTTCTTTCCTTCCTTCTTTCCAGTGCTCTCTGGGTCACTGACTGCTTTTCGTCCTGTACCTTTGTTGTTGCCTATGTTCTTGCCCGTGTGTGTGTGTCTGTGTGTGTATGTGTATGGGGGTGTGTGTGGGAAAGATAGCTAGCTAGAAAGAGATAGAGATGCATAGAGACATAGAAAGATAGACATATGGACTGATGGAGACATAGATAATAATAATACTAATAATAATAATAATACTTTATTTATACCCCGCTACCATCTCCCCAAGGACTCGGTGCAGCTTACATGAGGTCAAGCCCACAGCACATCAATAATAATAAAAAATAACAACAAGTAATACAAAACAATAAAAATAAAACTCATCACAGAAAATAAGCAATATTTTCTGTTAGAGAGACTGACAGATAGACACAGCTAGAGATAGAGACAAGGAGATTGAAAGAGATATATTAATATTAATAATAATAATAATAATAATAATAATAATAATAATAAACTTTATTTCTATACTGCCCTATCTCCCCGAGGGGACTCAGGGCGGTTTACAACAGAAAATTGGCAAACATTCAATGCCGGCATAACACAACAAACAAATCAAATCGTAAACAATAAAATAAACAACATCAGGTGTACTTATAGAACAACTCAAAAATAACAAACTTGGACATTTAAATATATAAATCAAACATTTAGAGCATGTTTCCTACTAGATCTAATGAGAGCAAACACTCAAAACATTAAAAGTAAAAAGTCCTTTACAAGTCAATGGCGGGGGGGGGGGGGGGAGATAGCTAGCTAGAAAGAGACAGAGACACAGAGAGACACAGAAAGAGAGAGAGACTGATGGGGACATAGACAGGTAGAGAGACTGACAGATAGACACAGCTAGAGATAGACACAAAGAGATTGAAAGACATCTAGGCAGAGAGAGGGGGGGAGGGAGGGCCAGACCTGGACGCGTGCCTCCTCGACCACGTTGAGCTCCTCCAGGGTCAGCGGGTGCTCCGGGTCCGAGATGGCGCGGATGAGGTGTGCGGGCGTGTTAAGGAGGGAATCCTGCATAGCTATGAATGTGTAAACCTCACTCATACACGTGTAACTGTTCAACAGGAATCCACCCAACATCTTTGCTAAGTTCATTTTGGAGTTATTGGTTGTGCGGTCTTGCATCGTAGTTCATTATGATGCACAATACGTGAATGCTGAACAATTCAGTGGAAAGGGAAATGGCAACACAATGAACTAATAATAACAGTTAATCAAACCGAACCTTTGATGAAGTGTGCACTTCTTCCTAAGCTATCTGATGTGAGAGATCTGCATCCTGCTCCCTCGTTGCAGCAAACTGGGACCATCTTTGTGTACCCTGGTATCAACCCCCCCCCCTTTTGCGGGAAACCCCCTTTTGCGGGAAAGAAATTGTGGCGCAGCTGGCTGAGTGTCATCTGCATTAAGATCACTCTGACCAAAAGGTCATGAGTTCGAAGCCAGCCCCGGTTGGAGTGGGTTTCCAACCAATTGTGTGTAGCCTGTTGTCGACCTTTGCAACCCCAAAGACAGTTGCATCTGTCAAGTAGGAAAATTAGGTACCACCTTAAAGTGTGGGGAGGCTAAATTAACTGATTTATGAGGCCATAAAGAAGACTCCAGCAAAGATGGACGAGGAAAGCGACGGCTCCCCTGGTGCCCAGAAAAAAGTGAAATAGCTTCTGTGTATGTATATGTTTGCATGTCAAAAATTGGCATTGAATGTATTGTCGAAGGCTTTCATGGCTGGAATCACTAGGTTCTTGTGGGTTTTTTCGGGCTATAGAGCCATGTTCTAGAGGCATTCTCTCCTGACATTTCGCCTGCATCTATGGCAAGCATCCTCAGAGGGAGTGAGGTCTGTTGGAACTAGGACAATGGGTTTATATATCTGTGGAATGGCTGGGGTGGGGCAAGGAGCTCTTCCTTGCTGCAGTTATTTATTTATTTATTTATTTGCTATACTTGTATACCGCCGTTTCTCAGCCTAGCCGGCGACTCAACGCGGTTTACAACAACTTATAACAAACAACAGTATACAGTTTAAAAACATAAAAACACGATCCACAATACATATATCAATAAACAATCCAATTCATCTCTTGACTAAAATCGCGATCCAGTTTCGTCGTCCAAATTGCCAGTCCTTCAATCATTACACTTATTGCACTTATTGCAGTTAGGTGTGAATGTTTCAGCTGATCACCTTCATTAGCATTTGAAGGCCTGCCTGAGCCTGGGAAAATCTCTTGCTGGGAGGTGTTAATCTGTGCCTGGTTGTTTCCTCTCTGTTGTTTTGCTGCTGCAATTCTAGAGTTTTTTAATACTGGTAGCCAGATTAACACCTCCCAGCAAGAGATTTTCCCAGGCCCAGGCAGGCCTTCAAATGCTAATGAAGGTGATCAGCTGAAACATTCACACCTAACTGCAGCAGGGAAGAGCTCCTTGCCCCACCCCAGCCATTCCACAGATATATAAACCCATTGTCCTAGTTCCAACAGACCTCACTCCCTCTGAGGATGCTTGCCATAGATGCAGGCGAAATGTCAGGAGAGAATGCCTCTAGAACATGGCCATATAGCCCGGAAAAACCCACAAGAACCTATTGGCATTGAATGTTTGCCATATATATGAGCACACTGTAATCCGCCCTGAGTCCCCTGCTGCGGGGTGAGGAGAAGGGCAGAAAAGAAAAGCTGTAAGTAAATAAGTAAATAAATAAATAGGAGGTCCTCCTTCCTTCCTCCAGGCAGGGAGCCCCCTCCCCTCCCCTCCCCTCCCCTCTAAAGCCCCTTCCCCCCCCCCCCATAGTCCCCGCCGGCGGGAAGGATATCGAAGACTTCCCTGGGGTCGATGGGGTCCGGCAGGGCCTCGTCCTCCTCGCGCGGCGTCACGGCCCGCTCGCCCTGCCGCCGGAACACCAGCGGGTTCGCGTTCTCCAGCAGCGGCAGCAGGCCCCCCTTGCCCCCCGCCGTCGCCATCGCCATCGCCAGGCGCCTCCACGCCGGAACGCCTCCGCCGGGACACGCGCCCGCCCCCGGGGGGGAACCACAAGCGCGGCGCACACGCTTCCGGAGGACGGGACAGGGAGGGAGGGAGGGGGGAGGGAAGGAGGGAGGGAGGGAGGGAGCCCGGCGCGCGCGCCCCCTGCCGGCCCGGGGAGGGAGGCTCAGGCAGGAGCAGCAGCCAATGGGGGGGGGGGGGGGGGGACCGGGGCGAGGAGTCTCTCTCTCTCTCGCTCGCTCTCTCGGCGGAATGGCCGGCCGGCCAGCAGGGGGCGTGGAGGGAGGGAGCCGGTTGCAGACAGACAACTGGTTCCACAGCAGAGACTGAGCTGGTGTTCCTGGGGGTCTCTATTCGTGGTCACCTTGTTGTTATTATTATTATTATTATTATTATTATTATTATTATTATTATTATTATTTTAACTTTTTATTGTTTTATGGCGTGTGTGTAGAAAACAAAACAGATAAACAAAAGGAGAAAAAAGAAAAAAATATTCAAAAAAAATTACAAAAGAGTGAGGTCAGGGGGTGGGGTTCGCGGGTGGGCCAGGAATGTGATGTGGCGGCAAAGAAAGCCAATGGGATGTTGGCCTCGCATCAAGAGGAACCTAGTGTCTAGATCTAGGGAAGTAATGCTCCCCATGCTCTATTCCGCTTTGGTTAGACCACATCTGGAATATTGTGTCCAATTCTGGGCACCACAATTCAAGAGAGATATTGACAAGCTGGAATGTGTCCAGAGGAGGACGACTAAAATGATCAAGGGTCTGGAGAACAAGCCCTATGAGGAGCGGCTTAAGGAGCTGGGCATGTTTAGCCTGAAGAAGAGAAGGCTGAGAGGAGATATGATAGCCATGTATAAATATGTGAGAGGAAGCCACAGGGAGGAGGAGGGAGCAAGCTTGTTTTCTGCTTCCTGGAGACTAGGACGCAATGGGACAATGGCTTCAAACTACAAGAGAGGAGATTCCATCTGAACATGAGGAAGAACTTCCTGACTGTGAGAGCCGTTCAGCAGTGGAACTCTCTGCACCAGAGGGAATGTGGTGGAGGCTCCTTTGGAGGCTTTGAAACAGAGGCTGGATGGCCATCTGTCCTAGGTGATTTGAACGTGATTTTCCTGCTTCTTGGCAGAATGGGGTTGGACTGGATGAAGGCCCAGGAGGTCTCTTCCAACTCTAGGATTTGATGATTCTATGATCTAATGGCGATAAAGCAAGTGGAATGCACACACACACACACACACATATCTGTGGAATAGTGTCCAAGAACCCTCGTCCATTAAAGCAAGTGTGCATGCTGCAATTCGCCAGTTTGAATAGCATTGCGTAGCCATCAGGCTGCAAAGTCAACCAGTGAGGCAGTTAGAGACTGGGAATTTAGGGTGACAGGCCCAGAGGGCAGGGAGGGGATGAGATTCCCATGAGGCTTTTCAACAAGGCTTTTATTTCAAGTTGATCAACATGAGATGAATAGCCGTTGACCATCCCGGTTGTCAAAGAACAAAAAACTATTCACCCTTTGTGGCGCACTTAACAATGTTTTTATAATCAAACTTGTAAAAACAACACGCAAGCAACTTCTGATTGGTTCTTCTGTTTCTAACATCACAGCATGAGCTGTGGCTTATCTATCTGCAAGTTGATTATCCATGGCTGAAAGAATTTGTGGGAGTGTGGGAGTGCATCTGCTTGTGTCTGACTGAACAAGGAACACAGAGAATAATTATTCTTTCTCCATCAGCAGCCCTTGGCAAGCAAGGTTTTCTCTATAGACAGGGATTCTGGGACTTGTAATAATTGGATTTTTTTTCATGTTCCTGTAAGGCGATCTGCATAAGGGTGGCCTGGCTGTTGCTGCCTGGAGGCAGTCGAAGAATAATGAGTAGTGGAGCTCAGAGGCCAGATTGTGCAGATTGTATAGTGGCTTCTGACCCTGACATTTGTGTTTCCAAACCCTTTGGGCACGAGGTGTCGTAGAGATCAAAGGAGAGCGCTCTCTTGCCGCCAGTGGGTGACCCTTGCTTGGAGAAGGGAGCGTGGGGGGGGGGGGGCTTCCCTCTGGCAGAAGAAGCACGGATGGACTTCTGTTGTGAACATTTTCCCAGCCGTCTGTCAATGATTGAGAGAGGCTTTTAAATATTTGCAATGAAGGCAACACACACACAGAGGCCTCTTCGGAGGGCGACTTCACTCTCGGATCCTTCCTTCCCTCCCAGGACCTTTGCCCTGCTTCCTTCCTTCCTTCCTTCCCTCCTTCCTTCCTTTTGCCCATCTTCCAGACCTCTCCCTCCCTGGGCTGAGTTAATGATTCTCCTCCCCAGGGCCCTATAAAGCCAAGGGCAGAGAGAGAGAGAGAGAGCAAGGGAGAGCATGGCTGTGGGGCTCTGGCTGGCCGCCCTGTGGGCCCTGAGTGGCCTCTGGGGGGCCCAGGGTGAAGGTAAGGAGGGAGAAAGGGGGGGGAGGCAGTGGGGGCCAACAGGCACAGGCTCTGGCCTGTCCCCCTGCAATGCTTTGGCCTCCTTTGGGCAAACCCTCTGGGGCCAGCCTGGGCCAACTTCGGCCCTCCGCCCAGGTGTTTTGGACAACCTTGCACAATCGCTAACAGCCTTCCTACCAGCACTTCAGGGTAATTGTGGGAGCTGAGGTCCAAAACACATGGAGGGATGGATGGATGGAAGGAAGGAAGGAAGGAAGGAGGGCAGGCCCAAGTTGGCCCAGGCCTACTCTGGATAGTTCCTCTGGGCCAGAAACGGATAGGACAAAATTGCTGAGCAGAAGGCATCGCTATCATCACAAACAAAACGTGAAGGTGGGGCCTTTCTGTCTGTCTGTCTGTGTTTCCTGGAGCCTCCTCCCCCAGGAGGGTCCTTCTCCTTTCTCCTTCCCTCTTGCTCTGACTTGCTCTTTGATTCTTTGGATTCTTAAATGCTTGTATATTTGTAGATTGCTTCTAATGATGGAAGGGTTTGGTTATGCAGTATTTTTAGTGCACCAGGATTGTGGTGCAGCTGGCTGAGTGTCAGCTGCATTAAGATCACTCTGGCCAAAAGGTCATGAGTTCGAAGCCAGCCCGGGTCGGAGTGAGCTTCCGACCAATTGTGTAGCTTGTTGTTGACCTTTGCAACCCGAAAGACAGTTGCATCTGTCAAGTAGGAAAATTAGGTACCACCTTGTGTGGGGAGGCTAAATTAACTAATTTATGAGGCCATAAAAAAGACTCCAGCAAAAAGCATGCGGGGAATGTGGAAGTACTTCATCAGTGTCGCAGATGGACGATGAAAGCGACAGCTCCCCTGGCGACCAGAAAAAGTTAAATAGCCTCTGTGTATGTCTGTATATGTTGTATGTCAATTGGCATTGAATGTTTGTCATATATGTGTACACTGTAATCCGCCCTGAGTCCCCTGCGGGGTGAGGAGAAGGGCGGAAGAGAAAAGCTGTCAATAAATAAATAAATAAATAGTGATGTTGCGTTGTTCGGTATTTTATAATTGTATAATTGGGTTGATATGTGCTTCCTTGTTTGTTCTGGATGTGAAAGACCCATGGGCCAAGCATTAAATAAACCTGATGATCGTAATAATAATAATAATAATAATAATAATAATAATAATAATAATAATAATAGCACTTTATTTGCAACCTACTACCATCTCCCCAAGGGACTCGGTGCAGCTTACATGAGGCCTAGCCCAAACACAACAATACAAGCAATAATATAACTAATTCCCTCTTTGATTTCTTGTTTTCTCCTTCTCCTGCCGCACCTGTTGGTTGTCCCGAATGCAGAGGTGGGCTTGACCCTGGCCCTGGTTGCGCGTCCCTCTTCCGCAGGTGGTGCCGAGGGGGGGGGTTCTTCCCGGAGTCTCCCTGTCGCACTGCACAGTTATAGCCAGGAATCCAGAGTTGCAACTGGGTATTCAGAGGTGACAAAAAAGCCAGAAGCTGCACATTGCGTATGATAGGAAGGTGAAAGATGAGAAGCCTGGATCTGACGCTGATTGCTTTCTGTGTCCCTCTTGCGCAGGTGGTGCAGACGGGGCCTTCCTGGAGGTGACCACCCGGTTCGGCCGGCTGCGCGGGCGAGAGGCGCCTCCGGTGAGGGGCTCCACGAGGGGCGTGCACGCCTTCCTGGGGGTGCCCTTTGCCCGGCCCCCCACCGGCACCCTCCGCTTCGCCCCTCCGCAGCCCCCCCTGCCTTGGGAGGGTGTCCGCGATGCCACGGCCTACGCGCCAGTGTAAGGCAGGCCTCTGAATCATAATAATAACAACAGCCATAGGTTTCTACATTCTTGTATGTAAAAATTGGAGGCTGGCGTTTGAATATCCAGAAAGAAAGACAAATGTAGATTTCGAAGTAGCCTCAAGGGAATCTACTAAAGTAGTCGTATAAGGATTGTGGGATTGTGCATCGGGATTGTGGCGCAGCTGGCTGAGTGTCAGCTGCATTAAGATCACTCTGACCAAAAGGTCATGAGTTCGAAGCCAGCCCGGGTTGGAGTGGGCTTCCAACCAATTGTGTAGCCTGTTGTCGACCTTTGCAACCCGAAAGACAGTTGCGTCTGTCAAGTAGGAAAATTAGGTACCACCTTAAAGTGTGGGGAGGCTAAATTAACTAATTTATGAGGCCATAAAAGAGACTCCAGCAAAGCATTCCAGCGGGGAAGCATGCGGGGAATGCGGAAGTGCTTCATCAGCGTCGCAGATGGACGAGGAAAGTGACAGCTCCCCTGGCGGCCAGAAAAAGTTAAATAGCCTCTGTGTATGTCTGTATATGTTGTATGTCAAATTGGCATGGAATGTTTGCCATATGTGTGTGTACAATGTAATCCGCCCTGAGTCCCCTGCAGGGTGAGGAGAAGGGCGGAATATAAATACTGTAAATAAGTAAATAAATAAATAAATCAGGGTTATTGCTATCAGGCGTGAGGTTCACAGGGTGCAGTGGCAAAGTCATGGGTGGTGAGAAGAAGGAGGGTTAGGGTTAGGATGCTCTAATGGATCTGTTTGGCTTGCTATTGTCATTTTGTATACACACACACACACAAATAAACCCACGCCTTTCCTTGCGCTTTGTCCAGTTGCCCCCAGAAGCTGGAGACCCTCCGAGGAGTGGCTCAAAGGTGGAAGGAGAAGCACCCGCCCTTCCGGACCTCGGAGGACTGTCTGTACATGAACATTTACGCTCCGGCAAGCCAGGCGGACAGGCTCCCGGTAAGCAGCAAAGCCCAGCTCTTGCCTTCCTTGCATCTTGAATCAACTGACCACCTTGATTAGCATTTGATTGCCTGGCAGTGCCTGGGGCAATCTTTTGTTGAGAGGTGATTAGATATCCTTGTTTGTTTCCTCTCTATTGTTGTGCTGTTAGAGTTTTAGAGTTTTTTTAATACTGCGCAGCTCACCCATGTCAACAATAAGGCCATGGGACTGAATGGTGCAGAAAGGTTCAATTGGGCTTGGCGAAGCATCAATTACAAAGTCAAGTTTATGCTATGAATCTAAACCAGGCCGTGGCCAACTTTGGCCCTCCCTCCAGGTGTTTTGGACTACAACTCTCACAATTCCTTACAGCCGGTAGTCCCTTAGGAATTGTGGGAGTTGCAATGCAAAACACCTGGAGGGAGGGACGAAGTTGGCCCTGGCCTGATGTAAATTTACATTGTCATCAGCATGTGTTTCTTTTCACCAATGTGTTTTAATGGTCTGATATTTCTGTGTACTTCAGCTGAGGAGAAGCAGGTAGCAATTAAAATTTAATTATTACCGTTAAAGAATAAGAATAATAAGGCTATGGGAGATTTCACTTCAGGCTGGCTTTCTGAGAGATAGAAAAGGCTCGAAAGGGAAGCCGGTCTTGCAACACAAGGCAGAGAGGAGGGCAGAGGGCCGTCGATGCTCCTGCGGCTGGAATCCTGTGCGCTGACCTGGCCAGAATCCCTTGACCGCCGGGTGAACTCTGGACTCCAAAGGCAAGCGAAGCCATGAAGTGGAAAACAGGACCTGGGCAAGATCCAGGGGTGGTTTAAACCAAATGAGGCGATTGGAGAAGCCGATGAAGACAATGGCTTGAACACCCGCGCCTGGACAAAATGCCTTCCCATAAGGATAAAGTCCGCAGGGCCCTGTTCCTCCCATTCAGGGACCCATTCAGCATTCTTTTGCAGAGAAGCAAGTGAGGGAAAGGAAGAGGCGAAGAGGAAGAGGGAGGAGGAAGAGGAAGAGAGGGGGGAAGAGGAAAGCCAAAGAAAGGGTGTCCTAAGGAAGTCAGTCAGTCCCTTGCTTCCAATCTGAGCAGGGGAGGAGCTGTCCAAGGTGCTGGGCCTATTCAGGAGAGCCAGTAGTAATAGTAACAGTGATAATAATGCAGAGGCCAACCTGGACCCACTGCTCAGGCGCCCCCGCAGCCACCCCCTCCCACCCCCTCAGATGGCACTGTCTCTCGACCCATGCAAACTGCCCCTCACCCCTTCTCTCTGGCAGGTGATGGTCTTCATCCACGGGGGCAACTTTGTCTTCGGCACGTCTTCCCGCTATGATGGATCGGCCCTGGCGGCCTACGGAGAGGTGCTGGTGGTCACCCTCCAGTACCGGCTGGGCATCCTGGGCTTCTTCAGGTGAGGTCACTTTGCCTGGAAAGGTGTGGCATACGTCCTTTTGAGCGGGGGGGGGGGAGGGGAATGACACTTGTTGGGCCCCATCAGCCTCTAAGGCGCGCAGGGGGCCATGAGGCATTTGCTGGCGAATATAATGCGCAGTCACAAAAGGCGCCTCTTTGTCATGTGCCCATAACAGTGACTCCCTGCTTGGAATTCTTCCTTTAAAAACAATTGTGTTGGGGTACCAAGGCTTCTCGTGATGGAAAGGAAAACCTTGGGGTGCATCTCTGCGGTAGAATGAATCCTCTTTAACTGCCTTGGTGCAATGCTATGGAATCATGGGAGATGTAGTTTGACAGGGCCTTGAGCCTCCTCTGCAAAAGAAGGCTGGTTCCTCACTGAACTGCAAATCCCAGGATGGCATAGCATTTAGCCAAGGCCATTAAATGAGAGGTGACGTCCCTCAAAGAGACGCTCCAGGTGCATCTTCCCCTTTGGCTTTGGCTCAGCTCTAAGGTGACCAACCGTATGATGCAAATCTAGTGCTCACCCTAAATTTGGGAAGGTGATTTAGCAAAAAAAAAGTGTTAGATGCAAGTAAATACAGTATTCCATGGGGGGGGGGAGAGAGAATGAGAAAGAGGAGGCCTCCAAGATCTCCTGCCTCCTGCCCCCTCCTCTCCCCTTGCCTGCGTCCACCTCTTGAGCCCATTCCAGCCTCTGGTCAGGCAGGTTTTTCAAGCAGCGAGGAAAGGCCTCCAAGGGCCGCTCAGTAGGGAAAAGCAAGAGTGGCCCACCTTCCTGGCTCTGGAGAAACACCACAGGCAGAGTGACCTTTCCCTTGGCCAAGCAAAGGCTCCCTTTCATCCTTGAGTTGCAGTCCGATGAGCCCGCATTAACTGGCCTTGTCAGCCCCATGGCATTCTGGGAGCTGCGGTTGGGGGCCATTGAGATCCGGCCTCGCCTCCCAGTCTGGAGTCAGTGGCCTTCGGCTTGGAAGCCCCTTGACCTGAATCCCCCCCCCCCACCCCCCATCCATTCCTGTTTCCAGCCCGGCAACTCTCTTCCTTTCTAATGGCTGCTGAACCCATAGCCACCATTCCCGGGGGGCAAGCCCCCTTGGAGAAAGCAGGCCCTGCGATGGGTCGCCTTTGGAGCCTCGGTGGCACATCGGCACAACCCGGGCACGGCTTCTGAGTCGCTCTGCTTCCAGAGGCTGTGGTTGTGCATCTTCATGTCTTTTCTGGCTCATTGCAGCCCTGTGGCAAACCTATTGTGAGGTTTGAGCTGAGAGAGTGTGGCCTGGCCAAGGCCAAAAAGGGTGGGCTTCGATGGGCGACGCAAGCCTTGCCTCCGAACCCATCGCTCGGGCGCTTTGCCCCTCTTCCTTCTGCCTGCAGCACCGGGGACGCCAGCGCCCGAGGGAACTGGGCCCTCCTGGACCAGGTGGCCGCTCTCCGCTGGATCCAGGAGAACATCGAGGCCTTCGGGGGAGATCCAGGGCGCGTGACCATCTTCGGCCTCTCCGGAGGGTCCTTCTGCGTCTCCAGCCACGTGAGCCCCACTTGAGGGAAGGGAAATGGGGGGGGGTCCCTCTGAAGGAAGGCAAGGATGATGGTGGTGGTGGTGATGATGGAGATGGTGGTGTGGGCAGCCTTTGTGAGCCTGGGATCCTGGCGGCCTCCTTCCTTCCTCCCTTCCTTCCTTCCTTCCTTCCTTCCTTCCTTCCTTCCTTCCTTCCTTCGCCAGAGCCTGGCACCAGATCCCTCCCTCCATCAGAGGCCTTGACCCGCTTTGGTCGGGGGTCTCACAGGCGCCTTCCCCCCAATGCTGTTCAGGTCTTGTCTCCGATGTCCAAGGGCTTGTTCCAGGGCGCCATCCTCCACAGCGGCATCGCCCTCCTCCCGGGGGCCTTCCGTGCTGACCCTCGGCCGAGCGCAGAGGTGGGTCTGGACACTCCTCCACTGACCGTGCCTCCAACTGCCCAGCCACTGGCTTTGCTTTGGGCCCAAGGCACTTCAGTGCCTTTTCCTTCTGATGACATGTAGCCTGTAGAAGGGAAGGTTGAGAGGAGCCATGTGGAAATATGTGAAAAGCTGTCCTAAGGAAGAGGGAGCGGGGCCTCATTTCTGCTGCCCTGGGAACTAGGACTCAATGGAGACATGGGTTCAAATCCCAGGAAAGGAGATTGCACTGAATGTGGGGGGGAAACTTATTTATTGTAAGAAGAGCTGTTCAGCAGTGGAACTCTTTGCCTCAGGAAGCTCCTTCCTTGGAAGCTTTTAAGCAGAGGCTGGATGGCCATCTGTCGGGGGGGAGGGGGTTGATGGTGCTTTTCCTGCATAGAAGGAGGGGGTGAATTGGATGGTCACTGGGGTCCCTGCCAACTCTAGGATTCCATAATAATAATAATAATAATAATAATAATAATAATAATAATAATAATAATAATAATAAAGCAGAGGATGGAGGACCATCTGCCAGATGTACTTTGATGGTGCTTTTCCTGCATGAAGGTAGATGGGAGTTGGACTGGATGGTCACTGGGGTCCCTTCCAACTCTAGGATTCTATTGTTGTTATTATTATTGTTATGCAGAGGCAGGAGGGCCATCTGCCAGGGGTGCTTTGATTGTGCCTTTCCTGCATGAAGGTAGATGGGAGTCGGCCTGGATGTTCACTGGGGTCCCTTCCAATTCTAGGATTCTATTGTTGTTATTATTATTGTTATGCAGAGGCAGGAGGGCCATCTGCCAGGGATGCTTTGATTGTGCCTTTCCTGGGGGTTGATTGGGAAGACCCTTAAGGTCTATAATTCTTTATTGCCCCCCCCCCGGGACCTTTTCTGAGGGAGGGGCCTGGTGGGGAAAGGGGTCTCCACGGAGGGCGGGACTAATGGCGGTGCCTTCTCCTGGCCCAACTGCAGAGGTTGGCCCGAGGCCTTGGCTGCACCACGTCCACTTCGGAGGCCATGGTGGCCTGCCTCCGGGCAAAGAGCGCCGAGGAGCTGACGGCGGAGGAGGTTTTCTCTCTGGTGAGTGACTCCCTTGGAGGGCACGGCAGGCCGCCCTTCCTCTCTCTTTTTAGGTTGGGGGGGGGGGCTGGGCAAGATCTGGGTGCGAATGAGTGTTATTATGATGGTCACAGACCAGGAGGGTCAAACCCTGCAGTGATGCTGGTGGCAACACATTGAACTCCTTCGCAAGGAGACCTTGGGCCACTGTCTCCTTGCAGAGTGCCAAGCCAAGAAGTGCCCGCATGGCCCAAGCCGGGGGTCCTATGTCACCAGTCTCCGCTGGCCATTACAGAGGCAAAGCCATTGGCATCACTTTCTTCTTGGGCTGCCTCTGTCCAAAGCTGTCCTTAGCACAAAGGTGGCACTGACTCTTGAGCGGCCACCATTTCTCTGCACCTGGGGCCACTTGGGCATGTCCACCTGTGAGGCCAGAGGGTTGGGTGGCCACCACTGGCCACTGAGTCTCCCATTCCCCCACCCATGGGCCCCATTGACTGAGCACGAAGCAGGGCTGGCTTCACCTCTAAGCAGGCACGCCTCAGCCCCCCTTTTCCAGGTGTTTTGGACTCCAACTCCCACAATTCTTGACGATACCTGGAGGGAGGGCTGAAGTTGGCGTGCGCCTGTCTCCGCTAGACAAAAAGAGCACAGCCGGGGCCTTGGAGAGGCACCTGAGAAGGATGGAAATAGGTAAAAGCATACTGTCATGTTCAGCCCGGCTCCCAGTTTCCATCTCTTGGTTCAGCAAATTGGGCCGGTTCTGGACGGAGAGTTCATGCCGAAGCATCCGGAAGAGATCCTGTCGGGAAAGGAATTCAACGCCGTGCCCCTTATGGCTGGGGTCACCAACCACGAAATGGGCTGGAATGTGCGCGTGGTAAGGCCCCTCCCTTCCTGCCCCCTTTTCCTGGCACCAAGGGGCTGTGGGGGGCTGTGGAGGGGTCTTGGTGGGACGGTGGCCTGAGTTCTCATGCTTCCTTGTTCCTTTTTGGGGCAGACAATTCCTGAACTAATGGACCTGGGGAGCCGGGAGAAGATCCTCGCCGTCGCAGAAGCCTTCTTTCCTAAATGGGTAACTAACTGCTCCCCCCCAAGTTGGGCTTGGTTTGCAGTAGTTCCAGCCTCTGGATCAGTCGTGGCTGGTAGGTTGTGTTGCAACTCAGAGTAGGCTTCACCTTGCTTCCAAACACCACCACACAAGAGCTGTAGTTTTATAGTTTATTGAAGAAAGAATCCAAGTCAAAACAAAGAATAAGTAATGCAAAGTTCCAAACATCAAAACATTAGGCTCTCAGCATCATAAAAGCATTGCAATGACCTTTCACCGAGCTAGCCTCCCGCCTGCTTGCCAGACGTGAACTGCGCCTGACCTGGAGATCAAGGCGAGCTTCTCGGGTCAAATCAGGCCCGTAGGCAGGATTTCGTTTCGGGGGGGGGGGGGGGGCTAAAAATTTTTCAGGGGGGGTTTGGGGGGCTCGGGGGGGGCTGAGTCTGAGTGAAAGAGGGTCGACCCTAGCAAACCTTTTGTATCATTACCCCAATACCCCCATGCATATGGGATATATTGAGTATGGTGATCAGATCATGATATGAATAAACATAACAGTTTAAATAATGCACCAGTAAGGCCTTTTCGCGAACCACCATGAGAATTTCAGGGGGGGGGGGGGCTGAAGCCCCTCAAGCCCCCCCCCCCGGCTACATGCCTGGGTCAAATCCTTATCATTACTTTCGATATCATCATCGTGGGAAGGCACCTGGCTGCTATTTTCTTCATTAAAATTCCTTTCTGGTGAAAACAGCTGTGTTGGCACAGCCCTGTCTGTGAGAGCCTCGGACGCAGGCTCCGAGATTTGAGCCACAGACAAAGAGCCAGGAACCTGAAACTCACCCTCATCGTCAGAAACTAGCTCAGCCACAACAGATTGTTAGGAATTGTGGGGGTTGGAGTCCAAAACACCTGGAGGGCTGACGTTTGCTCTTCTTCCTCTTCCTCTTCCTCCTCCTGCAGGGCATCCCCCTCAGGGCTTTGCCGATGCTCCTGGAGGCCTACCTTGGGGACACGGATGACACGGATGCGCTCCGGGACGGGTTCCTGGACCTGCTGGGAGACGGCTTCCTAGTGATCCCCACCATCAGGACCATCAACTACCACAAAGGTCAGGGCTGCTCTTTTCTTCTTCCCTTCTTTTCCCTTTCCTTCCTTCCTTCTTGCTCCTACCCCCCCCCCCCCCGCCTTGATTCCAGGCCTGGCTCTGGAACCACCCCACTGCACCAGTCCACTGCCTCTGCCTTTCTCTCTGCTCCGCTCTCTAGGCCTCTGTGGTCCCCAGGCAGGGACTTCCTGGCTGCGGCCTTTGCTCAGGCCTGATCTGGGGGGGGGGCAGGGAATGGTCTTTGGAGTGAGTGCAGGAAAACCCTCCTCTGCTCCCCTCCCTTTGCTCCTCTCTTTCAGAGTCGGGGGCCCCCGTCTACTTCTTTGAGTATCAGCACCGGCCCAGTTTGTACCACGACACCAAACCCCCCTTTGTGAAGGCAGACCATGGGGACGAGATCAGCTTTGTCTTCGGGGGGCCGTTCCTCACGGGGGACATCCGCCTGCGGGGTGAGAAGGAGGGGGAGGAGAAGGCAGAGGGGCCCCATAATGGCCCTCAGGAAGGGCAACGGGGGGGGGGGCAGGGGGATTCTGGTGGCGCCACGACTTCCTCCTCCACCTCTGACCCTCTGTGCATGCTCAGACTCTACGGTGTGCCATGCAGGCCTCTCTCTCTCTCTCTCTCTCTCTCTCTTTGCAGATGAGGCCACTGCGGAGGAGGAGCAGCTCAGCCAGGCCCTGATGCGCTCCTGGGCCAACTTCGCCCGTCGCGGGTGAGAAGGGCATATGGGGCGGGAAGTGTCCATGTTGTAATCAGGAGGCGTCCTTCTCCTTCTTTCCTGGTGACTCACAAAACATCTTCTCTGCTCTCATGATTTCGACTAGACCCCAAGCATTGCATCTTGAGCAGAACGTGCTTTACTCTCTAGGCTTGTTTGTCTTACCTTTTATGATCTGGTGTTTCTTTGTAACACATGATGCCTGAGGATGTTATTCTCTTAATTCCTACATACATGTATCTCCAACAGGAAGGGGCAGGGCCTAGGGGGAGTGTTAAGATTGATTTCACAATTCAGCAGCAGATCAGTTGCACAACTTCAGCGCTTTCTAGTAGCTTCTTCCTGCACAGTATTTTCAGTCAACTGCTCCCACAAACTGCAGTCACTCTGGAACTCTTTTACAGACACTTGAGCACATGCCCGGCCATTGTCAGTTTTACTTTTGTTTTCCCATCCAATCTAGATGACACTACAAACGTACCACAGCATACAGTTATATCTTGTCTTAGCAGACAGGTTCTTTTAATTACATATAGCCTTCGACGAATAACATCACAGCGCAAGGAGAAATATACACTGTACATGACTTCCTTATATACAATTCATTTACACATAGCAATCACTGATTGATTCCCAACTCATTGACTCAACTCAGACCCAGGATTGCATCATTCACAATCACCTGGACTAGGCCAGAACACATTCCCCAAATGAAGTTCTATATACAGTTAATGCATGACTCAGCATTTCCAATAGAAGCCCATTAGCAGTGCATGACTCAGCTATATTACATTACAATACATTGTAAAACCTGGCAGGGAGGGGCCTCATGTGCCAGACCCATCAGAGCCCTGCCAGCCGCTCTCCAATCGTGTAACCAAAGGCAGTGCAGAACCATACACAGCAAGCAGTCTGCAACGAGGCAAGCAGGAGAATAGTCAAAAGTCCACACCAAGAGGGTCACTGTCCCACAAGCTCACCACTGTCCAAGATATATGGCAATCAAGTCCAATCACGCTAGTCAAAAGTGCATACCCCAAGTCATCAACATTTCCAAGACGTTGCTCCTAGCAAAGAGCTCTTCCAGCCACCAGCTATTTTGATGCTGCTTACTGAGGCCCTTTCCGCTGGTGGCGCCCTCTTCTGGGCCAGCCAATGAGATCTTCTCAGCTGGTGGCATCCGCTCTTAGCTGGAACCAGGTGGGGATCGTTGGCTCCTGCTCTTCCCCCTAAAGGTCCTCATCCTGCTGCAACTCTGTTTCCTCCAAGCCTTGAGGGTCTGTCTCCTGCTCTGCGGCAGTGAGTTCCAGAGTGCCAGGCTGCTCAGGTTGCTGCTCTACATTGGCCCCTGATTCAGATGCTGGGCAAAAACAATCTTCCCCATCCTCATCATCCTCCTCCACAGAGACCTTGACCGAGCCCTCCTAGGCCTGACCCTCCTCTCCTCCCTCCCTCCCTCCCTTCCTTCCCAGGGACCCCAATGGGGGCGGTCTGCCGGAGTGGCCCCCCTACAACGCAGCTGGCCATTACCTGGTGCTGAACCTGACGCAGCAGGTGTCCCGGGGCCTGAAGGAGCCGCGCCTGGGGCTCTGGGCAGAAGCCCTTGGGGGGAAGGGGGCCCCGGAGGGCCACGCGGAACTGTGAGGAGGGGCCCCCCTCTGAAGATGGACCGGCAGAGGCCCCCACAATCCCACAAAGCCCTGGACTTCCTGCAGAACCCGCCTGGATCTGGCGAGGAATCAATGCTGTTGTTGAAATCCCAACTGAGGGGAATCTCAGTGCTTACGTCCCTCCTCCTCCTCCTCCTCCTCCTCCTCCTTCTTCTCCTTCTTCTCCTTCTGAGACTTCACATAAATGCTTCTGTACCTTCCTCGTGATCACGACCCAGAACACGCAGCAACTTTTTCACTTCCGCTCGACTGGAACCCATTCCTCAGCCACCCAGAGGGGCCCCTTGACCCCTGACCCCTGACCCCGGGCCACAGGCTCCCTCCCATTGCACTTCCCAGGGTCCCTGTGGCCCCTCCAGGGAAACAAAATCAATGAACATGGGATGAAATTAAAGAATAAGGAACAAAAACACTGGGATCAAAATAAGAAAACTAAAAATTGCAAGGGAAAAAGAGGGCTTTGACATCGCGCAACTTTGGATCCGTAGAAGATGTTTAAGAAATAAAGAGGAAACCACGTTTCTTGCTTGCAGTCTCTTTATTGTTCTATAACTTTTGGGGGGGGGGGCTGTGGCTTGACAACACTTGAGCCCCTCGCTTTGTGGTGCAACTTCCTTGAGGCGGGATGGCTGCTCTTTGGCCATTTTCAGACCTGGCATTTCACAGCAGACCTCAAGCCCAGGGGGGCGGTCATTTTGGCTGCCCAGTCGATGTTGCCTCAGGGTCACAAAAGTTGCATTGCGCTTCTCCCTGGGATTGCCATATTAAAATGATGTCTAGATCTGAGATGTCTTCCTGGCAAGCGGAGGTTCCAGTTCTACAGGTATTTCTTTTCCTCAAGGTGCATTGAGGGGAATTGGGCAAAAGGGTCAGGAAAAGGTCAGATACACAGGGAGGAATATAGAAATATAGAAATTATGATACAGAAAACATACCCACTTATCCCTCCCACCCGAGTCCCATAGAAGTTCAAGAGAGCGCATAAGTGTCAAGGGAGGGAGGGGGTTTCTCAGTAATAAATATGAAACCTAGGGCATAAAACCTTGATTAAATGTACACACTAGTATCTAACATGGGAAGGGTCCTTGTTGTTGTTGTGAGTAACTTGGCAAATTGACCAAGGCTTAACCCTTATTATCCAGTCTGGTGTCCTTGTCCTTAGCAAAACTATAAGTTACTATCTTTTATAGGGGGGGGTCATGTTCGACACCACCACATGAGGAAGAGAGTTCCCTCCTGTTCTTTACATTTCCAGCATTTGTTGTTTCTCCCCTCATACATTTTAGCTAGTTTTGCTGGGGTTCTGCTGCATGCATTTCAAAACCACACCAAGAGAGGCCCTGGAAAGAGAGGCGCCCTCCCCCCCCCCCCCCTGCTGCCCTCTCCTGATGGCAAGGAGCCCAGAGGAGGAAGGTCAGCTGATGTTTACCAGCCTGGGCCAACCAATGGGAAGGCCCCGTTCCGGGGAGGCCCACAAGTGTGTGTGTGTGTGTGGGGGGGGGGTCCCCTTGAAAGGGATCAGGGCCCCTCCCTGGAAAGGCTGGCCTGGGGAGCTTGTCCTTGTTCTGCAGGCATATTGATCTTGGGACGAGGAAAACAAACTCCTCTCCCTTTCCTGGCAGAAGAAAAGCCTGGGCGGCAACGGGCCCCTCTCTGGCCCAAGTTGGCAAGGGCTCAGCAGGGAGGGGCCGGCCTAACAGCCCTGGGGGGCTGGAAATCAACCATCTCACAAACCAAGGCGGTTCGGGGGGGGGGGGAGGGTCAGTCTCTCGGTATTCCTCTTCGGCCCCCCCCCCCCCCCCCCCCTCCAGGCCTTTTGGACTTCAACCCCCGCCATTCTGAACTGGAAAATCTGGAAAGTCAACCATGCTTTCTCCACATGTTGTTCTGCCCTTGCCTATCTGGGGTCCTGAGCTCACCGAGCCCCTCCCCCCGCCCCTCCCCCCCGCTGCCACTCTGTGCTGAGCTCCTTGCAAACACAGGCAAGATGGCCCTCTGCCGGGAGGGATCGCATGGTGCCTCCCTGCCAAACGCCAGAAGGGAGCCGGGTAGCCATGGATCACGACGATACACGAGAAATCTATTTTCAAAGGTATTCATTAGATTTTAATCTGTTTGCAGCACACGGCCATATTCCATTGGGGTTTTTTAAAAACTTTTGTAAAGTGTGTGATTGTTAGCCGCCTCCCCACACTGCAAAGGGGGAGGAAGGAAGGGCATGCATAAAGATCACAACAACAACAACAACAGGAATGCCATCTTCCTGCGCTGGCAGAAGGGGCCTGGGCTGGATGACCTTTGGGGTCCTTTCACACTGCAGAAGAATAAAGACTGGCTGGGAGTCCCATGGAGTGCCCTTCCTTCTTTCCTCCCTCCCTCCCTCCCTCCCTCCCTTCCTTCCTTCCTTCCTGTTTCCCTCCTTCCCTTGGAAGGGGGCCCAGCTGGATGGCCCTTGGGGCCCCGGGGCCGAGGGGGTGGTGCGAGGCGTTGCAGGGAGGGAGGGAGGGAGGGAGGGGAGGGGGGAGGAGCGCCCATTGGCCCCTGGACCCACTCGCCTCCCCGCCCTCCTCCTCCTCCTCCTCTTCTTCTGCTGCTTCTGCTGCGAGGATGTGGTCGGTGGGCTGCCTGGCCCCTTCCCTCCGGGGACCCCTCTTCCTCTTCCTCTTCCTGCTGCTGCTGGGCGCCTCCCCCGGAGAAGGCAAGCGCAGGGCTCCCTTGGCCGCCCCTTCCCTTCCCCTCCCCCTCTCCTTCCTTCCTCTCTCCTTCCTTCCTTCCTCCCTCCCTTCCTCCCTTCCTTCCTTCCTTCCTTCCTTCCTTCCTTCCTTCCTTCCTTCCTTCCTTCCTTCCTTCCTTCCTTCCTTCCTTCCTCCCTCCCTTCCCTTCCCTTCCCTTCCCTTCCCTTCCCTTCCCTCCTTCCCTTCCCTTCCTTCTTTCTTCCTTCCTTCCTTCCTTCCTTCCTTCCTTCCTTCCTTCCTCCCTCCTTCGCTCCCTCATTTCCCTTCCCTTCCCTTCCTTCCTTCCTTCCTTCCTTCCTTCTTCCTTCCTTCCTTCCTTCCTTCCTTCCCTCTCCCTTCCCTTTCTTCCCTTTCCCTCTCTTCCTCCCTTCTCCTTCCCTTTCCTTTCCCCTCTCTTCCTCTTCCTTTTCCTTTCTCTTTTTCCCTCCCTCTTTCTCTTCCCACCATTTCTTCCTTCCTTCCTTCCTTCCTTCCTTCCTTCCTTCCTTCCTCCTTCTCCTTCCTTCCCTTCCCCTTCCTTCCCTTCTCCTTCCTCCTTCCTTCCCTCTGGTTTCCCTTCTCCTTCTCCCCCCCCCCTTTTCCCCCTCCTTCTGACCCCCTCCTCTTCCTCCTTTCTCTTTCAGGTGACTCCCCTCCAGAGGTGCGGATAGGGCAGGGGTCCCTGCGGGGTCGCCGCATGCGTGTTCCGGGCTCGGAGCGCCCCGTGGACATCTTCCTGGGGGTCCCCTTTGCCCCCCCGCCCCTGGGCCCCCTGCGCTTTGCCCCCCCAGGAGCCCCCCCACCGTGGAATGGAACCCGGGACGCCTCCCAGGCCCACCCACCCATGTGAGTGGGGAGGGGGGGGGGGGGCGTGGGATTGGATGAGGAAGGGCCCAGAGTGATACAACAACAAAACAATTAAAATAAAATAAAACTCAAAAACAAAAATACACAATAAGCAATAAATAATAACAATAATAACATACAGCATTTCAAAACCTAATAATAATCTTTATTTTGTTTTAAATGTGTCTTGTGTTATTGTTCAATGTTTATGCTATTTGTGTATGAAATTTATTTTAATTGCTTTGTATTAGTAGTTGTATTTTGCTTCGTATTGTGGTTGTTATTGCTTGTATTGTTGTATTGTGGGCTCGGCCTTATGTAAGCCTCACCGAGTCCCTTGGGAGATGGTAGCGGGGTACAAATAAAGATTATTATTACTATTATTACTATTACCACCACTTTCCCAATGGGGACTCCGAGCGGCTTTCATGAGGCCAAGCCCAAACAGCAAATTACAATAAAATAAAACCAAAAACGATATAGAAATAATGCGGTATAGAGTAGACGAGATAAATGATAAATGATAGACAGGTGAGAGAGAGAGAAGAGACAGAGAAGCTGATAGGTAGGAGAAAAGAAGACAGCTAGATATAGATCAGGCATGGGCCACCTTCAGCCCTCCACACGTTTTGGACTTCAACTCCCACAATCCCAAAACTTCTGGAGGGCCAAAGTTGGCCATGCGTGATCTAGACGGAGGTCTGTTTCCATGTGATGGCCGCCTTGCTTCCCTTCGCTTCCTTCAGGTGTTTGCAGGATCCAGTCATGGGGCAAGGCCTGTCGGACGCATTCACGAACAAGAAGGAGAAGGTCTCCCTGGAGGTTTCCGAGGACTGCTTGTACCTCAACATCTTCTCTCCGGTCCATGCGGACAAGAAGGCGAAGCAGCCAGTGAGTCCTGGGTGGGGCAGGGCCATGAACCGGAGGGTCACCAGAAGGGTCAGGATGCCCACAAAGGCCTCCTCCAGGCCTGGGCCGGCTTCGGCCCTCCTCCCTCCAGGTGATTTGGACTCCAACCCCCACAATTCCTTCTCCTGTTTGGCTGCAGGTAATGGTTTGGATCCATGGCGGGGGGCTTCAGCTGGGGGCGGCCTCCTCTTACGACGGGTCCACCTTGGCCGCCTTTGAGGACGTGGTGGTGGTGGCCATTCAGTACCGGCTGGGCATCCTTGGTTTTTTCAGGTAAGACTTGGAGCTGGAATTCCATAGAATCATGGAATTCTAGAGTTAAAAGGGACCCCCCAAAGGCCATCTAGTTCAACCCCCTTCTTTCTACTAGGCACGAGAAGCACAACCCAACAGGTGGCCATCCAGCCTCTGCTTAATACTGTTTCTGCTACTACTACTACTACTACTACTACTACTACTACTTGAATCCTAGAGTTGAAAGGGATGCCAAAGGTCATCCAGTCCAATTCCCTATAGGAAAAGCACAACAAAAGCACCCAATCAGATGGACATCCAGCCTCTGCTTAACAATAATAGTAATGATAACAACAACAACAACAACAACAACAACAACAATAATAAAGGTCATCCAATCCAACCCCCTTATGCCTTCTTGTAGGAAAAGCACAACAAAAGCACCCGATCAGATGGACATCCAGCCTCTGCTTAATAATAGTAGTAGTAGTAGTAGTAGTAGTAATAGTAATAATGATAATGATAGATAATAATAGAGTTGGAAGGGACCCCAAAGGCCACCTACTCCAACCCCGTTCTGCCTTTGTGCAGGAAAAGCACACTCAACTCCCCCCCCCCCCGACAGATGGCCATTCAGCCTCTGCTTCAAAGCCTCCAAGGAAGGAGCCTCCACCAGACTCTGAGGCAGAGAGTTCCACCGCTGAACAGCTCTTCTTACAGCCAGGAAGTTCTTCCTCGTGTTCAGGTGGAATCTCCTTTCCTGCCATTTGAAGCCCTGTCTCCATTGAGGCCCAGTCTCCAGGGCAGCAGAAAGGAGACCTCCTCCTTGTCCCTTTTGACATCCTTGCAATGATTTAAGCATCCCTCTCATAAGTTCTCCCGTCGGCCTTCACTTCTCCAAGCCGAGCAGACTCAGCTCTTTAATCCACTCCTGAGAGGGATTCAGGGTTTCCAGACTTTGGATCCTTTAAGCTGCCCTCCTCTGAACATGTTCCATCTTAGAGCTATTATTATTATTATTATTATTATTATTATTATTATTATTATTATTATTACTCTTTTGAACCGTGGTGCCCAGAATTGCACACGGTGTGGTTCCAGGTGAAGAGGTCCAACCAAAGCAGAACTGAGGGGCACCAGGACTTCCCTTGGTCTGGACACTACACTCCTTTGGATGCACCCACAATCCCATTGGCTTTTGTGCTGCCGCATCCCATTTTGGGCTCACGTTCTCCTTGTTGTCCATTAAGAACCCAAGATCCCTTTCCCACGTGACTCTGTTGTGGAGCCAGGGGTCTCCCATCCTGCCTCTGTCCATTTCGGTTTTTTTCTGCCAAAGTGAAGGATCTTACATGCGTCCTTGTTCGGCACACAAGGGGCCTCTCTGGCCAAAGCACCTCAGGGTCAGCAGGCTTAGACTAATGCACGAAGCAGCCATTCAACGTCCCCAACGGCCTTGGCCACCCTCTGCTCGCCCTCCCTTCCAGCACCGGGGATGACCATGCGCCCGGGAACTGGGGCTTTCTGGACCAAGTGGCGGCTCTCAAGTGGGTCCAGGGGAACATCAGACACTTTGGGGGCGACCCAGGATCCGTGACGATATTCGGAGAGTCGGCAGGAGGCTTCAGCACTTCCGCTCACGTAGGTTCACGCTGACTGGGACGTCTCTCTTTGTAATGGTTGGTGTGGGCTCTCCTTCATTGTTAGAAACTGCAGGCACGTGCTGGCCAGGGAATGCGTGGAATTCATTACTGCGGTCACAAACCAGGAGTGCAAAACTTTGAAACATGTTTTTGAAGGGTTGACATTCAGGCCAGGAATTCTCAACATTAAAGGCAGAGAGTGTGAGTTATTTAGTCAACCCGCACAGCTTCCTATGTGATGCTTATAATAACATCTGTGGATATGGATACAATAAAAAGAATAAGTTAAAATACTATTGGAATGGCAGGGAGAAGGTTTGAGGAAAAGAGACAAAGAGAGAACTGAAAAGCACGTCTTTGTTCTCGGTTGGTGCCAACCGGATATGGACCCTCCTGGTAAGCCAGAAAAGAAGGGTTCAGAACAAAGGAAATCCTTGGTTTATATACCTTTTAAAATAATTATGCATGCATCATACAGACATCACAATGTGCATCACAAAATTCTACTTTTCTATTGACTTCAATAGCATATTTCCATTTCAACACCTGTCAATCTCCATTTAGCATCCCTATCTGAAGAGTTGCTATTAATGAGGACCATCCGCCAGGATGTCTACTGGGCCCTGATAGCAAGAGTCTCCATCCTAAGATAAGGTCTTCCTGAAACCTCTTGATGGCCCCCTCATTAATCTTACGATAAGGTGCCTGGTACGAAAATGGATCCTCTTGAAATATGCCAGGCCTCAAGGCATTCCTTTCCTAGATGCTGGCCTCTCTCATTTTGCCGCTATTAAGACGTCAAGTGAAGTGAAGGCCATGCATACATACATACATTTCTCTTATATATTTTCCAACTCCTATTTCTAATATGGTTACATCAAATATATACTTTCCAATATGCGTATTATGAATTTTCATCAAACCTTCATCACTATCTGCTAAAATCATCCACAAATGGCTTCCTTGTTTTTGGAGCTGCCGCACAAAACTTAGCCGCTTTAGGAGTGATTGTTGGTTCCCTATATTCTAGGAGATATTTGAGATCATATTCCTTATTTCTTCCAGGGATCTTCTGTACAATATGCTCACAAATTGGTGACCTGTGGTTTCTTGACCATTTCATGGCTGGGGACAAGCCAGAATGCCCCCGCAGCCAAAGTAGGCACATTGTTGTTGTTCGTTTATTACTATGTTTATTTATACCCACCTTATGTCTTCTGAAGGAGACTCAAATCAGCTTAACAATGAAAGTTTGTTGTTGTTCATTCGTTCAGTCATTTCTGACTCGTTGTGACTTCATGGACCAGCCCACACCAGAGCTCCCTGTCGGCCGTCACCACCCCCAGCTCCTTCAAGGTCAATCCAGTCACTTCAAGGATACCGTCCATCCACCTTGCCCTTGGTCGGCCCCTCTTCCTTTTTCCTTCCATTTTCCCCAGCATCGTTGTCTTCTCTAAGCTTTCCTGTCTCCTCATGACGTGGCCAAAGGACTTCCTCTTGGCCTCTCCTCTCCTTCCCTCCAATGAGCAGTCAGGCTTTATTTCTTGGAGTATGGACTGGCTGGATCTTCTCGCTGTCCAAGGCACTCTCAGAACTTTCCTCCAGCACCACAGTTCAAAGGCAATGAAAACAATGAAAGTATGACCACGTAATTTAAAATATGCAAAAATAGGCAACTACTTCCCCGGCAGCTGCTTCCTCCTGGATCCCAGCAAGATTGGCTTCTCTTTTTCAATCAATCAATCAGAACTTTATTGCAGTCCAAAGATTCAGTTGGCTCAGTGGTCAAAGGTGCAGAACTGCAAACAAATTAATAAACTGATAAAACTAATTAAACACAGGATGATGTGAAATACAAGAATTAGGGTAAGAACAGGGCAAGTTCCAACCTGTGTCCAATACGGGAAGTTGTTTGATCCTGGCTTCGCTATTTGCACAGCAGCCGGTTCCCCAAACCTTTCTCCAAGTTAAAGGACAGGCCAGAAGAAATTGGAACTGTGAATTCTTAAATGCCATTCTGTTTTAATGTTTGTATATGTGTAGATGTTAAACTGTACTGAAAGGTTTTTAATGTAAGCTGGTTTTGAGTCTCCTTGTTGGAGAGAAAACCGAGTAAACAAAACAACAACAACAACAACAACAACATGGGGGAAAGCCCTTCCGATGCGGGTGCATGGCGGATGCCCAGAGACTGGGCCAAGTTGGGGGGGGGGGATTCGCATGAGAGGCCCTCCTTGACCGGCCACCCCCCTCTTTCCTCAGGTATTGTCCCCTCTGTCCAAGGGCCTATTCCACAGAGCCATCTCCGAGAGTGGCGTGGCTGCCACGGACATCCTCATAGACCCCCACCCAGAAAAGCTTGCAAAGGTAGGTTTGGGGATCTCTTTCCAACTGACCCAAAGGCCTTGTGGGGAGGGGTCAGCCAGGGTGGGCTAAGGGGAAGCAGGGTCTTTCATGAATACTTCTGAACCTTAAAAATCTTCTTTGATATGCATCAGGCACTTTCAGAGAAAGAAGCAGACACACAGACCCAGGACTGGTTTTATTATGGCTGTATTGGCCACGTGGGCAAAGGGGAAGCATCACATACCGTATACCCAGCACTCCACATACATTCATTCACATTCATACTCACCATCCTTCTTCATTCAGTCCATCTTGAAAGGAGGCGGGTGTTCAGACTCGGCATTCCTTGCAGATCTGACACATTTTTCAAAGAGAAAAGGGTCTCCTTAATGTAGAACTTTTTGCTGTTGTTGTTCTGGATTGTTTAAACAACTTGTCATTCTGCTAAGACTTGCTGGAGCTCCATCAATTCTGAAACAGATGTTGTTTTTCTTCCTTAACATAACGACTCGTTGTTTCTGACTTCTTTTTAAATTCACCAGTTTTAATGGTGGATTTTAAACTTCGCTGTATGCTTGGTTTTTGTTTGTGTATTTAGATACGTATTTTATGGAGGTATTGTTGTAGAGCAGGAATTTAGGGGTCTTTGCCAGGAGGCAGAGACCAATTAGACTCATCAAAGAGTTCTTTTTCCCTGACAAGACAGAGAAGCACCCAATCCCTGATTTTTCCCAATAAAAGGTCTCACCAAGTTGAAGGAAGTGCCACCGAGATGTTTTATTTGCGATTCAGCTGAAAAGGATGCAGAGCGGCAATCATTCGCCAAGCAGAGCATGTGGTTACAGAAGTAAAGGCCATTTTTATAGAAAATACAGAGTTGTGAGTTTCAAAATTCCCGCTCCCCCCTCCCGCCCAGCTCGAAGGGGATTGGCTGACGCGCAAACAGCTGGGAGGAGGCTTGACCGTCCCCCATGCATCAGGGCCAATCACAGGGCTTTCGCGGGGCACCAGAGCCTATCAGGAGGCTCCTGCTGCCTTGATGCTCCAGCGAATCAGAAGGGACAGAGGTGGGATGAAGGGAGACAATGCATTCTGGAGTGGATTATGGAGTTTTAATGTCCTTAGGCTTATCGAGTCTGGGGATCGGCCTTCCAGAGAAGCCACTTTATTGTCCTGAGATGGGTCTGTGATAAGCATTGATAGCTTAATCCGGCTTTTCCCCTTACAATCAGATAGGGCACAAAGAGGAAGACTTTGGTGAATGTCCTTAGTGGAAAGATTTGAAAGAAAAATGGCTTGGAGGAAAAGAGGACTTTCCTAAGGTTACATTCCCCCCATTGTTATGTGATTAAAAAGTCTGCCAGACAAGAACCCTAAAGATGGCCCAACTCCGAAGTCAAAAGGATTTCCTTGATTATGGTCCATGCAAAGAATGTCCAAAGAGAAGGGTCTTTTCATGATCACTGATTGCTTTTCCAGAGGCAGGGCAGCTTCCTTGTAGATTTCCCCCAAGGAGAGGGGAAGGGGGCAAAAAGGTCAGGGCAAGGTCAAATACATGAAGGGAAATCATAACACAGAGAGTAAACCCAAATACCTTCCCCCAGTGTCCATAGTTCATATTATCCATAGGAAGGTCCATAAAGGGAAATATATCCAGGTGTGCCTCAGGTGGGAAAAGTCACATACTTTTGTGGCATGATTTTCAGTAATAAATTGGTTACCTTCTGCTATAAACATATGAAAATAGAGCATAAAGCCTTGATTAAATGATACACACCAAACTGACCAAGGCTTAACCCTTATTATCCAGTCTGGTGTCCTTGCCCTTAGCAAAACTATAAGTTACTATCTCTTATGGGGGGGGGGGGGTCATGTTCAACTTCACTATCACAAGGTCTTCCTGGCAGATCTTTTTTGGGGAGGAAAGGGTTGCCTTTGCCTTTCTCTGAGGTTGAGAGAGTGTATTGTTATGGTTTATTTAATTTTTTTCTCCTCCAGAAAATTGCCAAAACTGCCGGTTGCCAAGCCTTCAGTTCTCCCGAGATGCTCCGTTGCCTCAAGGCCAAGACAGCGGAAGAAATCTTAGAGACGACTCTCAAGATGGTAAACGGGCCACCTTCTGGGGGCTCCTTGGGGAAGAGTGCCCAGGAAGGCGGGGGGGGGGGGTAGAAATGGGTCGAATGCAGGCGAAACATCAGGAGAAAATGCTGCTGGAACACCTTGGCCATACAGCCCAGGAACCCCTAGGGATTCCAGCTAGGAAAGCTTTCAGCAATACAACGGGTTGAAGGGCTGCCAAGCAAGCATCCCAGCCTATCAGTTTAGGGACTGTGTGTGTGTTCAATGTCCTAATCTGCTTGAACTTGCCTAATAGGGAAGGAGGGAGCGGCACAAAGGCTGCTAAACCCGAGCAGGACACGGCTTGTCTTTGGGAAGGCTGGCTTTGTCTTGAGAGCCCCCCCCCCCCTTGGTTCCCTCCTTGACAAATAAGACAAAAGGCAGAGCTGGGAACAAGCCCGGCCAGGCTCCTTCCTCTGGCCAGAAGCTATGCGGCCACACCTCAGGGTTATGGGACACATTTAAAGCAGCATGTCCACAGTGGGCTGACCGGGGGGGGGGGGGGGGGGCATTGACATTCCATCTACAAGATCTTCGATACCAAGAGCAAGTCGATTCTTCTCCTTTGGCGTCCGCATTCATCTCCTGTCTTCTTCTCTTGTCCCATCTTTTCCTTGTCTTTTCCTCCTTTTATGAGTTTACTTATACATGCTCTATTTCACTCCTAGTTTAATAGTATCCGGCCATTTAAATACCCTAGAGTTAATTCCTTTAGTTAATAGATTAGTAATACATATGTAAATACTTGCTATTTTAGTCTGTCGTCTACACAGATTCTGTATATCTATGCCTATAATATCCACATCATTGAACTTATAGGCATTTCTATCCTGACTTTGAAACGTTAACCCATCAATCTTTTGAGAATACAGAATATATTAGTATATTGCCTGTATTATTTTAAGTTCTGAAATCCTGTTCGGATCGCCTTCTAGGATTGACTGCGTTCCCTCATCTCTCTTTGAAACCCTATACCAATGTATTGTCAAAGGCTTTCATGGCCGGAATCAATGGGTTGTTGTGGGTTTTTCAAGCTATATGACCATGTTCTAGAGGCATTCTCTCCTGACATTTCACCTGCATCTATGGCAAGCATTCTCAGAGGTAGTGAGGTCTGTTGGAAGTAGGAAAAAGGGTTTATATATTTGTGGAATGATGTCCAGGGTGAGACAAAGGACTCTTGTCTGCTGGAGCTAGGTGTGAATGTTTCAGCTGACCACCTTGATTAGCATTTGATTGCCTGACAGTGCCTCCTCTCTGTTGTTGCACTGCTGTAATTTAAGTTTTTTAATATTGGTAGCCAGATTGTGTTAAAAAAATTCTAAAATTACAACAGCACAACAACAGAGAAGAAACAAACAAGGACATCTAATCACCTCTCAACAAAAGATTGCTCCAGGCACTGTCAGGCCATTATATGCTAATCAAGGTGGTCAGTTGAGACATTCCCACCTAGCTCCAGCAGACAAGAGTCCTTTGTCATTCCACAGATATATAAACCCTTTTTCCTAGTTCCAACAGACCTCACTACCTCTGAGTTTGCCTGCCATAGATGCAGGTGAAACGTCAGGAGAGAATGCCTCTAGAACATGGCCATATAGCCTGAAAAACCTAGAACAATCCAACCCTATACCAGTTATATCCTACCTTGTTTATGCCCAGCGTTTATTTTTTAATTTTAAACTATTACATTTGGCTCGGCCATAGGTTTTTAAATCTTTGTGTGTTACTGTTCATTGGTTATTGTTTATATGTGATTTATATTAATTGTATTTGTATTTATTGTTTGTTTATTGCTTTTTTGTTTTTATTGATGTGTTGTTGGGCTTGGCCTCATATAAGCCACTCCGAGTCCCTTGAGGAGATGGTGCCGGGGTATAAATAAAGTATTATTATTATTATTATTATTATTATTATTATTATTATTATTCTCCTCGCAAACCCCACCATGTTTCTGTTGTAAGCGGAATGGCGCCCTCTGCTGGCTCCTTCCCTGCGTTGAGGGCCCAGCGCAGACCTCAATCCCTCTGTGTGTGTGTGTGAGTGTTTGTGTCCCTTTTCTGTGATTTCAGGGCTTCACCCACCTGCAACTGGAGGACAATACTCAGGTGAGTGGCGCTTGGCCTCTGCGGGAGGGGCCACCTGCTCATTAGAGGGAAATTGTACGGAATGCTTTGGGTGCCCCCGTCTCACAAGCTCACAAGTTTGGGGACGCTTTCCCTAAGGGGTCCGGCACCAACGGCCCCTTGCCCCCTTCTTCTTCTTATCCCCAGCAACCCTTTCTTTCTGCCCTCTTTTCCTTCCAGAAGACACTCTTCATGCCTGCCGTGGTGGACGGTGCGTTTATGCCGAAGCGCCTGCTGGATGAGGAGGAGGTGGGCGGCAGCGGCGTGCCCGTCATCATCGGCGTCAACAACCATGAAGCGGGGTGGCTTCTCCCCAATGTAAGCCCTCCCCCAATGGCGCCCCTCCTTTCCCCTTCGTTGCCCCCCTGTTGACCCCAGGATCCCCCTGACCCCTGACCCTCTCACCTGCAGATGCTCGAGTTCCCAGAGTTAGACAAGGGCTTCGACAGGAAGACGGCCGAATTCCTCCTGTGCGGCACTGCAAAGTCCCTCATGGTAAGAGCTCTCTCTCTCTCTGCCTTTCCCTGTTGGGACTTTGCCTTTCCTTTGCATTCTCTGTCTAAGGATGGCGCCGTAGGGCCAGCTAGGCTTCATTCGCTCCATTCCCCGTCCAGTATCCTTGGCATTGGATACCGGCACACATTTGAATCCATCAAGTTTCTGAAGCAGCAGAAAACAGGCTCACTCCATTTTCTATATGGAGGACCCCAGACAAGCAGAAAATCCAAGCCCCAGACCCATATCTTCCCTTTGTCCTCTACGAGAATGGGACAACCAGGGCAGCAACAGGGAAATGCATCTGCAGAGCCACTGAGTCCATTTCCAGCCTTCCTTCCTTCCTTCCTTCCTTCCTTCCTTCCTTCCTTCCTTCCTTCCTTCCTTCCTTCCTTCCTTCCTTCCTTCCTTCCTTCCTTCCTTCCCTCCTCCCAAAAAACTCAGACCCCAAGTTTGTATTACCAAACAAGATCACGAATATGAAAGAACCCTTTATTCTGGTGCCAAGCTTTGAGCCGGATACCAATAGCGATGCCAAGACGCATTCATCTGGCGGGAGAGACACCGATCCCAAGAGGCAGGGAAGGAAATCCTGGGACATTTGCCAGAAAGGGATCGCGAGAACTGATGGCGGAGGAGGGCAGGCTCCCCCTGACCAGAGGGTCTCCCGCTGGCGCCCTTTTCATACTGGTTTGGCCCCGGGCTTCTCTTGGCAAGACTTGTCCTGAGCAGGATTGCCTTGCCTTCCTCTGAAGCTGAGAGAGAGTGACTTGCCCAAGACTGAGCAATGGATTTCCAGGGCGGAGCAGCAGGGAGTCCAACTGATACTCAAACCAGTAGCCCCATGGCCTTCTTTGTGCTTATGAGACACCTATAAAAGAGGCCTTGGACTGAGAGTATGCTTCCATGATTGATTATAATCTGTGATTACAGACAATCGACCGTGAACACTGCCACATCATCATCAACGAATACCTGAAGGATTTCCAGGACCCCCTTCAGCTCCGGGACCGGGTCCTGGAAGCCCTTGGGGACGTGGTCTTAGTGGCGCCTGCTGTCCTTGCTGCCCGGCACCATCGGGGTGAGTGGCGTCTCCGGCAGAAAAGACCTCGAGCCTCCAACCCCCCTCCCCCAACACACACACACACACATCCACCCTGTGGCCACGTTGAATCAACCAGGGCAGAGTTGAATATCTATAACTGCTGTAATATATCTTGGCCAAAGTGAGATAAATATGGTTTTATTATTTATATATTGATATAAAAATAAATATATAAATAATAAGGTTAAGGTAAAGGTTGTCCCCTGACATTAAGTCCAGTCATGTCTGACTCTGGGGTGTGGTGCTCATCTCCATTTCTGAGCCAAAGAGCCTATTAACCTACTCACATTTGCATGTTTTCGAACTGCCAGGTTGGCAGAAGCTGGGGCTGACAGCGGAAGCTCACGCTGCTCCCCAGAATCGAACCTGCGACCTTTTGGTCAACAAGCTCAGCAGCTCAGTGCTTTAACTCACTGCGCCATCGGGGGCTCCGTATCATAAATAATAGAGTCATATCCAGAGGAGGAAAGGGTGACCCCACCGCCTTTGTCTTTCCAGACGCCGGCCACCCGACCTACCTCTATGAGTTCCAGCACAGCCCCAGTTGGCAGGTGGGCCTGAGGCCGGACTTTGTTCAGGCCGACCACGGCGATGAGCTTTTCTTTGTCTTTGGGAAGCCCTTCTTAGCAGGTGAGTGCTTACTTTTCCCCCAAAAGCATAATGTTTTGACCTGTTTGAAATCAGTTGGCAGGTTTCTGGTTAGGGTTTTTCTGCTTTTTTCTGTCCCTCAGTTAACTCACAGTGTGACACATCAATTTGTCACAGCAGGAAAAAGAAAGAAGACTTTGTGGTCTCGTGATTTCTAGCAGACTTGCCTATCAGTATTCCACACCTCCAGCTATGACCTGCCTTGAGCTCTCTAGCCAGCCATATCTGGGCACTCCACCCTTTGATTACCGGGTGCTTCTGGGAATACGTGTCTCGAGGGTGATTTCTCCTAATACACACAACCCTACCATTTCATCAACAGGGAATCCTGGAATCACCTGGCTGGTCCCAAGTGTTGTGACTCAGCTTGACTCTGAGCTGTTTGGGCCTTCTGAGCCTCAGTTTGGCCTGCAGGATTACTGAGGAGGCTGATGATTTACAGATTCCTGTACATGTTTCAGACGGGGCTGATAGTGTGGCTGCTGAAGGAGAAACAGCAAGTCAGTTCCCCGGGGAAAGGAATGTTCCTGCAGTTAGGGAGACTGATAGCGAGAGTGAAATCCCACCCGGCCAGGTGGAGGATCCGTCCCAGCTGGACCCAGATAAGGGATTGCATAGCCTTGCAGATAGTGAATGAATGAGCAGACAAGGTCATTTGCAATTAAGGCTTCGGAGAAGCACTTGCTTGGCCAGCAAGCGAGAAGCCAAATGTGCCAAAGGTCAACGCAATGCTTTCATGTTCGCAAAGGGTATTTAGTCTTGTAGCTGACAGGGAATTGTTGTCGGTCCAACATTGCTCTTCCCGTGTTAACTTCTGGAGATTTTCCTTGGCTTTTCGCAGCACGCTTCTGCCTTCCCGAGTCTGGGATTTGGGTCTTGTTTTCAACTGTTTACCATGGACTTTTGTTTGACCATTGCTAAGGGATTATTCTTCATGTTTTTGCCTTTGGATCTTGGGAACTTTGCCTTTATATTTAAGTCTCTGTTTTGCCTATGGAACTATTGCATTTCTATTTCTTTGTTTTGATTTGACTTTTCTCAATAAACTACAAAAATCTACAGCCTTGGTGGGGTGGTGTCTGGAGCAAGGTGAAAACTACCCTGAGTTGCAACACCAAGGCCCTCTTTGCGGCCGGTCAAGGAAGGTTCTGAAACCCTTGGGACATTGACAAAACTTTGCCAAAGCCTGCAACTCTTGACTGAGCTTGTCGTTGCGTGTCTCTCCTGTAGATGAAGGCACTGACGAAGAGAGAAACCTTAGCAAAACAATGATGAAATACTGGGCCAATTTTGCTCGCAAGGGGTGAGTCCGTAGGCTTTCTGTTGAATTGTCTGTATTGGTCTTCTGCCACAGCTATCCAAAGCTTATTTCATTCCTTGGGAGGAAACCTGAGGTGGGTTCATCTGGGAAGGAAGGAAGGAAGGAAGGAAGGAAGGAAGGAAGGAAGGAAGGAAGGAAGGAAGGAAGGAAGGAAGGAAGGAAGGAAGGGATGGGACAAGGGCCGGGTGCTGCCAGGAAAGCGGCTGCAAAGGTGGCTTTGGGTGGATTTTGATCGATGAAACCAAGACCAACTGACGTAACCTCTGCCTCCCTTCTGCTCCACAGGGATCCCAATGGGGCCAGTCTAGTGGCCTGGCCCTCCTACGACCAGGAGGAGCAGTACCTGGACATAGGCTTGAAGCAAAGGGTGGCCAAGAAGCTGAAAGAGGGGCGGGTTCGCTTCTGGAGCCAGACCTTGCCTGAAAAAGTCGCAGAAGGGAGAGAGGGGCACAGGGAGCTCTGAGCCCTTCCCAGTCCTCCTTCCCCCATTGGGGCCCCCTGCCCCCCCCCCCAAATAGGCTTCTCTGCGTCTGTGTCCATCGATCGCAGCCAGATTCCAGAAGGAACAGATGCCGGGAGAGGAAGGCAAGGAGAAGGGGGTGCAACATTGGACTTGGTGCCTTTGAATGATTTCTTTGCTTTTCTGGTGAAATCCCACCCCCTCTTTTTTTGGAACTCATTTCTGTTCAATCTGCTTCTTTCCAAAGCTGGAAGGACATCTTCGATGTTTCCGGTTTCTGTGTGTAACGGGATCAGGCCAAGCAATGCTTCATCTTTCGAACGCTTTTCATAAGTAATAAATATAAAGATATCTTATTATTATTATTATTATTATTATTATTATTATTATTATTATGGAATAAGACTCCCCTTTGGACACATAGCTTCCAGGCTGAAGGATTCGGCCTCCAGGCTCCTTGGGTTCCCCCTTCTCCCTTTCCTTTTAGCCGCGTCTCTTTCAAACAGCCCTGTTTCAGTGCAGCTGCCCCCCTCCCCAAAAAAGCAGGTCATTACTACAGGTAAGATGGCATTTTAGTGTGGGCTAAGCTATAGGCATGATGTAGTTTCAGTCCACTATGTTTTCGGATCTGGCCAGGGTGGTCCATGCCTTAGTCACTTCCAGATTGGACTACTGTAATGCACTCTACATGGGGCTGCTCTTGAAAATGGCCCAGAAATTTCAATTGGTTCAACAGGCAACGGCCAGGAAAATCCTGCAAATCTCTTGGGAAGACAGGCGGACAAACGTCAGCGTGCTGGAAGAAGCAAAGACCACCAGCACTGAAGCGATGGTCCTCCGCCATCACCTCCGCTGGACCGGCCACGTTGTCCGGATGCCCGACCACCATCTCCCAAAGCAGTTGCTCTACTCCGAACTCAAGAACGGAAAACGGAATGTTGGTGGACAGGAAAAGAGATTGAAAGACAGGCTCAAAGCCAACCTTAAAAACTCTGGCATAGACACTGAGAACTGGGAAGCCCTGGCCCTTGAACGCTCCAGCTGGAGGTCAGCTGTGACCAGCAGTGCTGTGGAGTTTGAGGAGGCACAAATGGAGGGCGAAAGAGAGAAACGTGCCAAGAGGAAGGTGCGTCAAGCCAACCCCAACCGAGACCGCCTTCCACCTGGAAACCAATGCCCTCACTGTGGGAGAAGATGCAGGTCAAGAAGAGGGCTCCACAGACACCCCTCAAGAATACTGATCCTGGAAGACTATCCTACTCGGCCAACGAGGGATCGCCTAAGTAATTAATTTCAGCTCTGGGATAAAAGATACCTCTCAGTCTGTTGTCTCTCCTATGAAACTTATCTCTATATGTTATTATATGTATTGGAAATCTTATATGTGGTTGGCTTAACCTGCCGTGTGCTACTTAAACTGAATTACACAAAAGGACGCTTGTCTAAAAAGTGTGTCACCGGCATGAAAAGTCTGGAAAGCTCGATCTTGGAGAGTCTCTTTGGGGTCAAATACCACTGCTTTCTCCAATGTGAATCTTTATGTATGTATTTCTTTATTTAGTACGTTTCTATTCCGCCCCTCTCAGCCTTCCGGCGACTCAAGGCGGTTTACAAAGCAAGAGTTCAATGCCACCAAGGACACGATTACAATAGACAATATAAAAACATTAGCAACAGTAAAACCAGCCATTATAATAAAACATACTTCAATCCTTAAAACAATGGCCAGTTCCGCCATGTAGTTATTCTGTCATTACATCTGTTACTCCATATTTTCAAATGCCCGCTCAAAACGCCACGTCTTGAGATGCTTTTGGAATGATAGGAGCGAAGAAGCCGACCTAATCTCCCTAGGAAGGGCGTTCCATAGCCGAGGGGCCACCACTGAGAAGGCCCTGTCTCTCGTTCCCGCCAACCGTGCTTGTGATGATGGCGGGACCGAGAGCAGGGCCTCTCCAGATGATCTTAAAGTCCTCACAGCTTCATAAGGGGAGATTCGTTCAGACAGGTAAGTTGGGCCAGAACCATTTAGGGCTTCATAGGCTAAAGCCAGCACTTTGAATTGTGCCCGGTAGCAAACTGGCAGCCAGTGGAGCTGGCACAACAAGGGAGTTGTATGCTCCCTGAGAGCCGCTCCAGTTAGCAATCTGGCTGCTGTCCGTTGGACCAGTGGAAGCTTCCGGACAGTCTTCATGAATCCCATGTCTATGTAGATTTGGTATCTCAGAAAAGCTCTTTCCACACATCAAGCATTTATAGAGTTTCTCTTCAGTGTGAGTCCTTTCATGAGAATGTAAATTTGAACGATGAGAGAAGCTCTTTCCACACTCCAGGCATGTATAGGGTTTCTCTCCAGTGTGAGTCCTCTGATGTCTATGTAGATCTCCACTCTGGGTGAAGCTCTGTCCACACTCCAGGCAGGTATAAGGTTTCTCTCCAGTGTGAGTCCTTCGATGGGAACGTAAACTGGAACTATGAGTGAAGCTTTGTCCACACTCCAGGCACGTATAGGATTTCTCCCCAGTGTGAGTCCTTTGATGTGAGTGCAAACTTGAACAATGAGTGAAGCTCTGTCCACACTCCGGGCAAGTATAGGGTTTCTCCCCAGTGTGAGTCCTTTGATGTGAGCGTAGACTCAAGGCATGTATAGGGTTTCTCCCCAGTGTGAGTCCTTTCATGTGAGCGCAGACCTGAACTATGAGTGAAGCTCTTCCCACACTCCAGACATGTATAAGGTTTCTCCCCAGTATGAGTCCTTAGATGTCTAAGTAGATTTCCATTCTCAGTGAAGCTCTGTCCACACTCCAGGCACGTATAAGGTTTCTCCCCAGTGTGAGTCCTTTGATGTTTGTGTAGATCTGCACTCTGGGTGAAGCTCTTTCCACACTCAAGGCATGTATAGGGTTTCTCCCCAGTGTGAGTCCTCTGATGTCTATGTAGATCTCCACTCTGGGTGAAGCTCTGTCCACACTCCGGGCAAGTATAGGGTTTCTCCCCAGTGTGAGTCCTTTGATGTGAGCGTAGACTTGAACTAAGAGCGAAGCTTTTTCCACACTCCAGGCATTTATAAGGCTTCTCCCCAGTGTGGATCCTTTGATGTGAGCGTAGACTTCCACTCTCAGTGAAGCTCTTCCCACACTCAAGGCATGTATAGGGTTTCTCCCCAGTGTGAGTCCTTTGATGTGCACGTAGACTGCAGGCATGTATAGGGTTTCTCCCCAGTGTGAGTCCTTTCATGTGAGCGCAGACCTGAACWATGAGTGAAGCTCTTCCCACACTCCAGACATGTATAAGGTTTCTCCCCAGTATGAGTCCTTAGATGTCTAAGTAGATTTCCATTCTCAGTGAAGCTCTGTCCACACTCCAGGCACGTATAAGGTTTCTCCCCAGTGTGAGTCCTTTGATGTTTGTGTAGATCTGCACTCTGGGTGAAGCTCTTTCCACACTCAAGGCATGTATAGGGTTTCTCCCCAGTGTGAGTCCTTTGGTGTGAACGTAGACTTCTACTCTCAGTGAAGCTCTGTCCACACTCCTGGCAGGTATAGGGTTTCTCACCCGTGTGAGTCCTTTGATGTGAATGTAGATGTGCACTCTGAGTGAAGCTCTTTCCACACCCCAGGCATGCATAGGGTTTCTCCCCAGTGTGAATCCTTTCATGTGAACGCAGGCTTCCACTCTGAGAGAAACTCTGTCCGCACTCCAGGCATGTATAAGGTTTCTCCCCGGTGTGAGTCCTTTGATGTTTATGTAGATCTGCACTCTGAGAGAAGCTCTGTCCGCACTCCAGGCATGGATAAGGTTTCTCCCCAGTGTGAGTCCTTTGATGTTGCTGCAGATGTTCCCTCTGAGTGAAACTCTTTCCACATTCCAGGCATTTAGATGCTTTCTCCTCCATGTCAACAGAGATACCGGGGTTTAATTGTAATACAGATACTCGAATCTTCTTTTTTCCTTTGTTATCTGTAAGTGAGGTCAAGAATTCAGCCACACCATCATCTGGAGATGATTTCTTCTTTTTATATTTCTGATTTCATGACTGCATCCAAGAGGTGGCTCCACGGAATCCTCCTTTCCCTGGTCAAGAAAGAAGCAAAACATCAAGGATGAAAGCGCGAACCTTCTTTACCGCCACGGTTTCCCCCCTTTTCTTTCATATGCCAAGAAATGCAGACATCAGGGTCTCACGCACATATACAGATACCAGCAAAGGCAATCACTGACATGTAAAAAAGGAAATGAATCCAGAAAGAAAGGAGAAAAGAAGGGAGGGAGGAAGAAAAGAATGAATGACAGAAGGAAGAAAGAAAGGGGAACAACTTCCAATATCAAAGCATCACGTTGATTTCATTGGGTCAAACAGAAATGTGGCCACAGGAACGGAAGGCAGGAAGTCCGAAAGGAATAGTTCTTCCCAATATTAAAGGGTATYRTTCACTGGATAATGGGGATAATGGGTTTCCCTGAATTACCAGGATGTGCTAAGTCACGAGGGACACAGGATTGCCTCCCATCCCACAGTTAGTCCCACATCTGATTCCTGAGCATCCCAAATTGTTTGTGAATATTTTAATGAATATATTTTTGTGAATATTTTATGAATATTTATGCTAATATTTTAGTGACTATTGCAATGAATATATTTTGTGAATATTTCTGCAAACATTTTAATGAATATTTTTCAAATATTTGAGTGAACATGTTTTTTTTTTAAAAAAATTAAGATTATTTTGTGCCCTCTGCCTGCTCCTGTTCATTCATGATTAAATTTTGCTGTTCACTTCACTTCATTAAAATATTCATAGAAAGTCATATAAATATTCACAAGAAATAATTAAAATATTCACAAAATAGTAAAATGTTTGCAAAATATTCATAAAATATTCACTAAAATAATCAGAAAAATATTCACAGAAATAAATATTCATTAAAATATTTAGATAAATATTTGCAGAAATATTCACAAAAACCATTTAAATATTCACATTGGTGGAGACGAGAATATTCCCAATATTCTTGTCCCCGCCAATTCCTCCTGTGACAGTGCCTGGGGCCATTTAGGGCTTTATAAGCCAAAGCCAGCACTTTGAATTGTGCCTGGTAGCAAACTGGCAGCCAGTAACATGGGAGTTGTGTGCTCCCTGTATGCCGCCCCAGTTATTAACCTGGCTGCCTCTTGTTGGACTATTTGAAGCTTCCAAGCAGTTTTCAGAGGCAACCCCACGTAGAGTGGGTTGCAGTAGTCTATCCTGAATGTAACCAGAGCATGGGCCACCGTGGCCAAGTCTGACTTCCCAAGGTACGGGCGCAGCTGGTGCACAAGTTTTAATTGCGCAGAAGCCCCCTGGCCACCACCAAGACCTGGGTTCCAGGCTCAGTGATGAGTCCAGGATCACCCCCAAGCTGTGATTCCCCCTCCCCACTTCTCATATCCTACACAAGGGTTGTTTCCACGAGGAGGACATTGATGGGGAGGCAGAATAACAGGAAAACAGGAGGAAGTGGCTGTCCTCCTTCGCCCCACAAAGTGGCCCATCCTCCTCTCTCTCTCTCTCTCTCTCTCTCTCTCTCTCTAGCGCCCCCTGGTGGCCTCCGCCCGGATAATCAAATATTCACACAAACAGCATTAATAAGAGCATTAAGAAGACAGAGGTCCTCCAGGTCAGTCGCTCGGCTGAACGGGGTATAGGGTGGCAACCTGTGTTTGACGGGGCCACACTCCCCTTGAAGATACAGGTCCGCAGTCTGGGGGTCCTCCTGGACTCAGCGCTGATGCTTGATGTTCAGGTGTCAGCCGTGGCCGGGAGTTAAAAGTTGTGTGTCAGCTGTGACCGTACCTTGAGAAGTCTGACTTGACCATGGTGGTCCACGCCTTAGTTACCTCAAGATTAGACCACTGTAATGCACTCTACATAGGGCTGCCCTTGAAGATGGTTCGGAAACTACAGCTAGTGCAAAGGTCAGCTGCCAGATTGCTAACTGAAGCAAGTTACAGGGAGCGGTCAACCCTCCTGCTTAAACAGCTCCACTGGCTGCTGACAAGTTTCTGGTCCCAATTCAAGGTGCAGGTCATTACCTATAAAGCTCTAAACCAGGGGTCTTCAAACTAGGGTCCGAGGGCCAGATACAGCCCTCCAGGGTCATTTACTCAGCTCTCGTTCAGGGTCAACCTAAGTCTGAAACAACTTGAAAGCATACAACAACAATCCAATCTCATCAGCCAAAAGCAGGCCCAGACTTTCCACTGAAATATTAATAAGTTTATATTTGTTAAAATTGTTCTTCATTTTAATTATTGTATTGTTTTTAAGGGGKTTTTTTTGCGCTACAAATAAGATATGTGCAGTGTGCATGGGAATTCATTCATTTTTTTTCCAAATTATAATCCGGCCCTCCAGCAGTTTGAGGGACTGTGACCTGGCCCTCTGTTTACAAAGTTTGAGGACCTCTGCTCTAAACRGTTCAGRGCCCGCCTAACTACATGACCGCCTCCTTCCCTTTGAACCCACACGGTCCTTAAGATCTTCCAGGGATGCTCTTCTCTCGCTCCCGCCCCCGTCTCCGGTGCGACTGGTGGGGATGAGAGAGAGGGCATTCTTGGTGGTGGCCCCCCGTCTCTGGAACCCCCTCCCCAGGGAGATTAGGCTGGGACCCTCCCTATCCACATTCCGTAAGGAATTAACGACGTGGATGTTTCGTTGTGCCTTCGACTGATGACCCCTATGGCAAACGATTGTACCGTGATCTGTTTTCATCATTTAATCTAAATTACTATATCACATCATTATTCATATATGTAAGTTTATCTGAGATGATCCTGATCCTGTTTTAATTGCTCTGTTTTCACGATATCTCCTGTGCCATTTATGTTCCCATCCACCTTATCAAATTATTTGCCCTTTAATCATTTCTTATGTTGGCCTCCTTCCCCCACAAAACTGGTTTGCTGTTGCTTGATACTTGTTTATCACTGTCATGCTGTTTGGGCTATTTGTAATTTGCTATTGTTTTTGTTTTTAATCTGTATGTTGCCTGGGCTTGGCCCCTTGTCAGCCGCCCCGAGTCCCCTTGGGGAGGAAAATGGAGGCGGGGGAGAAAAATAAAGTTCTTCTTCTTCTAAAATGATCAAGGGTCTGGAGAACAAGCCCTAGGAGGAGCGGCTTAAGGAGCTGGGCATGTTTAGCCTGAAGAAGAGAAGGCTGAGAGGAGATATGATAGCCATGTATAAATATGTGAGAGGAAGCCACAGGGAGGAGGAGGGAGCAAGCTTGTTTTCTGCTTCCCTGGAGACTAGGACGCAAGGGAGCAATGGCTTCAAACTACAAGAGAGGAGATTCCATTTGAACACGAGGAAGAACTTCCTGACTGTGAGAGCCGTTCAGCAGTGGAACTCTCTGCCCCGGAGGGAGTGTGGTGGAGGCTCCTTCCTTCTTTGGAAGCTTTTAAACAGAGGCTGGGTGGCCATCTGTCGGGGTGATTTGAATGCAATATTCCTGCTTCTTGGCAGAATGGGGTTGGACTGGAGGATGGCCCAGGAGGTCTCTTCCAACTCTAGGATTCTATTATTATTATTATTATTATTATTATTATTATTATTATTATTAAGCAGAGGCTGGATGGCCATCTGTCAGGGGTGATTTGAATGCAATATTCCTGCTTCTTGGCAGAATGGGGTTGGACTGGAGGATGGCCCAGGAGGTCTCTTCCAACTCTTTGATTCTATGATTCTATTTAGATATAATGTGTATTTTTTATTTTATATATTCAATATGTTGTAAAAGAAAAAACAAGACACACACACACACACACCCCAAAAAACCCAGAAATCACCAAAAAGGAAGAAAAGTGTTTGAAGGGAAAGAAGTAAGAAGAGAAGATCAGAGAAGAAAGGAAGGAAGAGGAGAGAGGGGGAGGGAAGGGAGGAAGAAAGGAAGGAAGGAAGGAAGGAAGGGGTTGTAAGAGAGGAGTAACAGAAGAAAGAGAGGAAGCTGAAGGGAAAGAAGGGAAAAGAAGGAGGAAGGGAGGGAGGAAGCGCTGAGAAACCAAACCTGGCGAGGAAGAGATCCAAGGCCTTCTCCTTCCTTCCTTCCTTCCTTCCTTCCTTCCTTCCTTCCTTCCTTCCTTCCTTCCTTCCTTCCTTCCTTCCTTCCTTCCTTCCTTCCTTCCTTCCTTCCTTCCTTCCTCGATCTCTCTCTCTTCCTTCCGGAAACAGAGGCAGCCGCAGAGGGGGCGGGGCCTGCATGACGCCATCGCCTCTCTCCCGCCCTCACGGAGCAGCCGCGCTCCTGATTGGCCGCCCGGGAAACAGGTAGGTTAGCTGGCTCTCTTAACTCCGCCCCCTGCAGAGTTTATTTGCATATTTAAAGGGAAGCGGCCCCTTCCCTCATTCCCTCCCTCCCTCCCTCCCTCCCATTGACACACGTTTCTGCGCAGGCGCGCGCAGGCCTTCCTTTGGCTCCGTTTGCTTTTCTTGCAGCCCCGAAAAAAGGCCGCGGCGACCCTTCTTTAGGAACAGGACCGTGACAGACAGGAGTGGGGCCCGATTTATTTATCGTGACAGGAGCAACCAGACAGTTGTATTACATTTTTAACAAAACAATAAAAAAACAAAGTTTGCAAGCTTGGTAGTGGATTAAATGTCCTTTGACCAGTCTCTGGCCCCTTGGAGTGCTGCCTCTGGTGTTGCCGCAAGAAGGTCCTCCCTGGTGCATCATGTGGAAGAAGGGCTCAGGCTGCATTGCAGCAGGTGGTCAGTGGTTGGCTCTTCTCCACACTCGCATGCCGTGGATTCCACTTTGTGGCCCCATTTCTTGAGGTGGGCTCTGCATCTCGTGGTGCCCGAGTGCAGTCTGTTCAGCGCCTTCCAAGTCGCCCCGTCTTCTTCTGTGTGCCCAGGGGGGAGTCTCTCATTTGGTATCAGCCATTGGTTGAGGTTCCGGGTTTGAGCCTGCCACTTTTGGACTCTCGCTTGCTGGGGTGTTCCAGCGAGTGTCTCTGTAGAGCTTAGAAAACTATGTCTTGATTTAAGTCGTTGGCGTGCTGGCTGATACCCAAACAGGGGATGAGCTGGAGATGTCTCTGCCTTGGTCCTTTCACTATTGGCTGCTACTTCCCGGCGGATGTCAGGTGGTGCAATGCCCGCTAAACAGTGTAATTTCTCCAGACCCCTCCCGACAGAGGCCCCTCCCTCCCCGAGAGACAGAAAGAGGGTTCGCTTCCTTCCGGAGGCGGGGCTCCTCCCTTTGGGACTCCTCCCAGGGAGAGAGAGGGAGGGAGGGAGGGAGGGCCCTCATTGGCTGACCAAGTGGGGAGGGTGGGGCCCTGCCTCTTGAAGTCCCGCCCAGCACAGAGAGAGCCGGGCAACCGGGGCCCTTCTTTCAGTTTGGGACACCGCCATGACAGTTCCCCGCCAAGAGGAAGGAAGGAAGACCCCAAGGAGGGAGGGAGGGAGGGGGAGGAGCCTCCCGGGAGGGCGCCATTCCCCCGCGTGGCCCCTCAGCGGCGCCCTCCCGAGAGAGAGAGAGAGAGAGAGCTGCCTGCTGCTGCTGCTGCTGCTGGCGCTCTTGTGACGTCACAGGCCCCGCCCCTGCCCTGCCCTGAGGCCCCCGAAGGGCGTTGGGTTCCACGTGGGACCGTGTGGCGTGAGGACCAAACCCCCAAAGGCCAGGGTCACGCTGTGGCCTCCTGCGAGTTCGAGCCCCGCCTGCCGCCCGCTGCTGGCTGAAGCCAGGACTAAGGCCCAGCTACTCTCGCTCCGGTCGTTGGGACTTGGCCTGGCTGCTAGGACCGAGGGCCAGCTGCTCGACCAGTGGCCGGGACTCGGCTTAGAAGCCGGCTTCGAGGGCAGCAGGCGAGGCGAGGCTCCAGGCCTAGAAGCTTTTGGCCATTCCTCATCCAACCCTCAGGAGATCCTACAAGAAAGACAACCAGGAGAGGAAGCACACCTCGCTCTTGGAAGAAAGACAACTCCTCTCATCAGAAATCAGCTTCAAGGTGGAAGAAGAAAGAGAATCATCCATTTGATACTGGAGTCAAGATAGAAGAAGGAGGCAACAGGTAAGATGGATGCATGAAGGGACTCAGAGAACAACAGACTAGAGTCGCCTTCTACTTGTGTCCTTGTGAGGATCCCGCGCGGGCTGTCATGTCAATCAGAATCATCAACAACAACACGGGAGCAACTGTACAGCTCGCTCAGACTGATGGAAGGATTTCTCTTTGGGAACCAACGAAAATGTATCTTCCATTTGCTACCAAAGTGAGAAAAGCTCCGCAGCCCCCTCGGGGGTTGCCGCAAAGCTTTGGATTGCCTTCCTGTGTGCTTGACTGGCATTATTGCCATGGCCTGGCGACAAATAAATCATTTTTTGCCATTTGAAAATGCAATGTTGCCCTGTGTGTGGACAGAGCTTCACTCGTAGTTCAGATCTACATTCACATGATCAAAGGACTCAGACTGAGGAGAAACCCTTGACATGCCCGGAGTGTGGACAGAGCCAACCTCAAAAACTCTGGCATAGGCACTGAGAACTGGGAAGCCCTGGCCCTTGAGCACACTAACTGGAGGTCAGCTGTGACCAGCAGTGTTGCGGAATTCTAAGACTCACGAATGGAGGGTGAAAGGGAGAGATCCTTTACATGTCTGGAGTGTGGAAAGAGCTTGTAGTTCAGGTCTATATTCACATGATCAAAGGACTCAGACTGAGGAGAAACCCTTGACATGCCTGGAGTGTGGACAGAGCTTCACTCATAGTTCAGATCTACATTCACATCAAAGGACTCAGACTGAGGAGAAACCGATATCCTCACTGCGTAAGGGAGAACACGCGGATGAAGAAGAGGGCTCCACAGCCACCTACAGACCCATCGCCAAGACACTACACTTGGAGAACCATCATCCTCAGACTACGAGGGATCGCCTAAGTATTTGAATTGAACTGAATCACTTTATTGTTTTTGTACATTGTACATGAAATGCCTTCCCCAACACACATCACAAACCAACACACCCATCCCTCCACACTCCCATCACCACCACACAGCTCCCATTGCCACTTAATAATAATAATAATAATAATAATAATAATAATAATAATAACAATATTTATAGATGGATCTCTCTCCCCGAGGGGACCCTGGGCGGTTTACATACAAAAAGCATTCAATGCCATAATCAAATTCAAACACATCAGAAAACAAGCCTGCTCTCTCCTCCCTATTTATTTATTTATTTATTTATTTACAGCGTTTTTACCCCACCCTTCTCAACCCCCGGGAGGGGGGGGTGAGGGTTAGGTCAGGGTCGTGGTAGGGGTTAGGGTTAAGCCTGGCTGCCGATCTCTGAACTAACTGTAGCTTCCAAACTACTTTCAAAGGCAGCCCCACATCCCTACAAAGCCATGGAGTTCAATATAGCTGATAGCGGACAACGGAGAGCCCCCTGCATTCAAACTGGTCTGATGTGCAGCAGGGAGTTCCGCAGTTCCTGGTTGTCTGATTGGGCCAGCATCGCTGGGAATGTAGCCAYAGCAGCAGCTTCAAGTAAAAAACCTCCTTTGGCCTGGCTTGGCCTTGCTTTCTCCCCCTTTCCCTAACATTGTAACAAATCCCCCAATAAAGTATCATCCAATTGTCACTTTTTCCTCTCCTTAGTGACACATTGTGTCCGTTTACTGTCTCTTAACTCTCTCCAGCATGAACATTCCCTCTCCCAAGCACAGTATGTCACAGCAAACGAGATCTCTCTGCTGGATTTCGTATCACAAAATCATAAGTCGAACCCTTCCCAAGCGTCTACGACCATGAGATGTATTGAGTCGCATTGAGTCGCCTGATTGGGCTGAAAAATGCGGTATAGAAATAAAGCAAATAAATAAATATTTTCGGATGATGCACGCAGATCCAAGTCAGGCGGCCTATTGCAGTGGACAGATCGTGATTTTGTCCATGTTTATTGTTTCCAAATGCCGGCTGAGATCTTTTGGCACGGCACCCAGTGCACCTATCACCACTGGGACCCCCTGTACTGGTTTATGCCATCAGAGCCTTTGAAGTGCGATTTTGAGGTCGAGATAGCGGCTGAGTTTTTCCTGCTGTTTTTTTTTTTTCAATGCGGCTTTCACTCGGAATGGCGACATCAATAATCCAGACTTTTTTCTTATTTGCAGTATGTATATTCTGCCCTTCTCACCCTGCAGGGGACTCAGGGCGGATCACAATGCACATATACATGGCAATACGTTCAATGCCACAGACACACAACATATATAGACAGACACACAGAGGCTATTCAACATTCCAGCTATTTTCATGAGGGTATTCTGGCCACCAGGGGAGCTGTCACTTCACCGACCATTTTTGACACTGATGAAGTACTTCCTCATTCTTTCCTTGCTTGTTGGAGATTTTTATGGCCTTGCAAATGGGTTAAATTAGCATCCCCACATACCTAAACTCACTGGGTTGCGGTGAGTTTTCCGGGTTGTCTGGCCAT